ATTTTATATTATCAATACAATTTTTAACAGTAAAAAAACGTTTACATTTAGAAATATAAAGTGAACAAACTCTGAATCAAAATAAAAAAAAATAATAATTGTTATTGTCTTTCGAATGATTTTTCGACAGTTTAACAAATCGAATTCTTAGAAAAAGATCCAAAACTATATCGGATTTTGAAATAAATGTATGGAAAAATTGAAGCGAGCTAAATATAGGGAGATTAATTACTGGAACGAAAAAAGAATCTGAACAAATTCATAAAATAAAATGCAATAAAGAAAAGCAATATAATAGAAAATCAAAACAATTAATTTCGGATGTTATTTACAATAAATAAAATAAATTAAGAAAATGGCTCAAAAATATTTCTTGATTTTGGGTCAAACACCTTTCTCAATGGGCCGACTTTAATAGACTTTTTCTTAACCCAGATAAGGATCAAATACCAATTAATTTTATCCCAAAGATAATTTTGGGGTAACAATAGTATAAATATAAATTTAAAGGACAAATTTAAACGTTAACTGGGGTTGTATTCGATTCGAATTCTTTAGGATTTTGTTAGATTTTTAAAATTTAGGTGTACTCAATCTAAGATTTTTAGTTGTGTTTTAAAATTTGGAGGTATTCAATACAACTATTAAAAGTCTTTCAAAATCCGGAGGTATTTAATGCAAACTTTTAAAAGATATTCAATACATACTTTTAAAACTTTATAAAATTTTGAGATATTCAACAATTTATAAACTTTCAAAGTCTATAGATTTTAATGAAAAATTGTGAAATTTTTGTATAGTATAACTTGATGGATTCTTAAAACTATTATTATTATTATTATTATTATTATTATTATTATTATTATTATTATTATTGTTGTTGTTGTTGTTGTTGTATAAGTGATAAAATATGATACTATTTATTAATATTATTATAATTTTTAATAAAAATAACAATTAAAAACTAAAATATATTAGCGAATTATTATCAATTTTTTTTAAATATATAGTTTTATATTATAAATATAATTTAAAAAAATATTATTATCATAATAAATATGTATTACCATCGTCTTTTCTTTTCAATTATCGAATAAAATATATTATCATTACAGTGTTATTTTTCTTTTTCAATTATCGAATATAATATATTGTTATTCCGGTGTCATTCTTGTTTTTAAATTATCGAATATACTATATTGTCATTCCGATGCCAGTGGAATAAATATTTCAATATATATTTTTCGTTGAACTGTTAATTTATATTTATTTACTTTTTTATTTTAATATTATTAAAAAAGTCGTAAATTATGTTTTTTATTTTATTTATATACGTATTTATTTTTTTATGTAAAAAATGTATATAAATAATAATAATAACTAATAAAGAAATATACAATTAATTTGATATATTGAATGATTATAATACTAAAATTATAAAATTTAAAATATTAATATACAATTAGCAGTATTACATGTGTTACAATGCTTCTACGTTACAAATACTTAATATTAAATTTTATTTTATAAAAATATAATAATATATAATAACTTTAATTATAAATATATTACATTTATAAAACTTGTATTTTAATAATATATAAATAAATTTTTAAATTATAAATATATTATATTTATAAAATTTATATTTGATATAAATTTATATAATTATATATATCCATAAAAAGATTTTTTTTACAATCTCATGTAATCCAAATAAATTCATAAAGAATTCAAACAAATTTGTAAAAATCTATGTAAATCAATTACTTAAAATTCATCAAACTCAGTGTAGACTCCGTGGATTTTCTAAATCTACAAAATTTATACACTTTTTAAAATAAAATAAAGAAATCTATTGAAATCCCAATTGAATACACCCAAAAAATTTTAATCAATTCTTAAAACCCAAAATATATATATATATATATATTTAAAATAAAAAAATAAAAAAATCAATCTAATTAAACTAGGCCCGATCAGACCAGAAGCCCCTAAGTCCATTTAATTTAAGCCTGCGAAGAGCCCAATTGAGTTAAAATCAGACGCCAATTTAAAATTTTTATTTAAATCAGATTTTTTAAGTTCTAAAATTTTATGTAATATTAAATAATTAACTTTATTTATTTTTTAAAAACTAATATATTAAATATATATATTTTTTCTTCACATTATTAAATCAAATACCAAGTGAGTGTATTCAATAATAATTTTATAGGATTTGGTTGGATTTTTAAAATTTAGATTTTTTATTTTTATTTTTTAAATATAGAGATTGAATCCAATTTTTTAAAACTCGTATATTTAATTTAGACTATAAAAAAATTATGAATTTTATTGAATTTTAAATGATATTTATATAAAAAAAATTATATATTATAAAATCTCTTACAATAAACAAAGATTTGGATTTAAAAAAATTTAATTTAGATTTTAAAAAATTAGATTTAAAAAAAATAGTCCTATATTCAATTTAGATTTTAAAAAATTTATAAATTTTTATTGAATTTTAATTGACATTTATTAAAAAAAAAAAATTGTATGTTATAAAATCTTTTACAATAAACAAAGATTTTGATGGATTATTTGAATTTATAAAAATATATATTATTATTGCTATATAAATATTAGAATAATATTTATTAATGTTACTATAATCTTTTAATAAATAAAAGAAAATTGTATGTTATTATGGTGTGTTTGTTTGGGGGTTTGGATTTTGAGTTGGGATTTGAATAGTAAAAAATTTTGAATTTGAATAGTTGTATGATGTGATATAAATATGTGTTGATGTGATGTTTTGAATGTAAAATTGATTTTTAGTATAATATAAAAAATAAAAAATAAGTATTTGATTTGATGTTTTTAGGGAAAAAAAATTGGATGAATAATAGAATTTTGTTAAAATTCTACAAACGAACGATATTGATAAATTAAAAGTAGTGTAAAGAAAATTTGATTTTATATTTTTTAATTTGAAATTAATGATGTCATACTAAAATAAGAGTATTTAAAAAAATAATAATAATAAGGATTTATAATTACTTAAAAAAATAATTATTTTATAATTAAATAGTCAAAATAAATTTTGTAAATGAAACAAATAAAATAATAATTTCAAGAACTAAAATATACTAATAAATTATTATCAAAATCTCAAATATAATTATATTTTTATATTATAAATATAACATATAAAAATATTACTATTTTATAATAATAATTATTCTTTCATATAAATTTAAATCTAAAGAATAAGGAGAGAATTTAAAAACATGTCAAATGATAATAATACATTAAAATACTCATTCATATTACTTTTTTTCATTGTCAGTGCATATTAAAATTATTAAATTAATAATATATATATACGCATCTCAAAATTAAAATAAATTGATATATTAAATAATACTATAATAAAGACTTTTAAATTAAAAATAATAATATATAAAAATAGCATTATATTACTCTCTCCGTCCCAGATACCATGTCTATGTTGTCGTTTCTATCTGTCCTACATATTATGTCACTTTTTTTTTTTTAAAAGAATTACACACTTTAATCTCATTTTAAATTTTTTAATTTTAATTAAATTAATTAGTTATCTTAATCTTAATTTATAATTATTTATATTATAGAATAATTATTTTCACTAATATATTTTTAATTATCTATTAATTGCGCTCCTCTTAAAATATCGTATCTTAAAATACCGTATCTGCGCAAACAATGACCATAATAAAAATAGTACTGAAAAATGAAACAATAATGATAAAAATAACAATGACCATAATAAAAATAATGAATAATAATGTATTTTTTAAACTAATATTTCCTCCGTATCGGAACTAAATATCTATTTGCTTTTTGCATGTAATTTTAAAAATATTAGTATTATATTGAGATATAGTAAAAATAAAATAGCAATGACTAAAATAATCTTATTATTAGTATTAGTACGTGAGATATAAAGATAATGACATTTGTGTAATGTATTTGTAATGTTAGGTAGTACAGTTACTAAAAAAATAAAATTGATATTTTGTTATGGGGTGGACTAAAATGGAAAAATGGATATTTTGTTATGGGACGAAGGGAGTATAATTTTAATATTTTTATTTAATTAATTTAAATACTCCATCCGTCCCATAGATAGGTTATCATTTTCCATTTTCGTCGGTCAGTTACCATTTTCTAATTTTTTAATTGTACTACTTACTTAATATAATAAATATCTTTTCAACTTACAATATATTACACAAGTGTCATTATTTTTATATTACACCATACTAATAGAGACATACTTGTTTTTTTACTATAATCCAATATAATACTAATATTACAAAATCTACAAAATACAAACCCCACTCTTTCTATGGAACGAAGGGATTATTTTGTTTTCTATCTACAGACTACAAATACAAACGTATTTGATAAAAAAATTATAAAAATTATGTAAATAAATAAATAAAAATTTACAAATTTATAAAATCTTTAAATAATTTAATCAAATTTATGAAAAAATTATGTAAATAAATAAATAAAAATTTACAAATTTATAAAATCTTTAAATAATTTAATCAAATTTATGAAAATATTTTAAATCAGACTGTAAATTTTTTATGTTCACATAATATTTTTAAAAATTTAATAAAATTTCAAATTCAACATACCTTATTTTTTAATTTAAAATTTTAAAAACTCACGTACTTTAGTGTGTGTTTGTATGGAGAATTTTTTTCCAAATATACTATTATTTTTTTAAAAAAGAAATATCAAATCAAATATTTATTTTTTATTTTTTATATTATATTTAAAAAAATTAAGTTTACATTCAAAACATCAAATTAATACTTATTTATATCATTATCATATAATTATTTAGATTCAAATTTTTTACTGTACAAATTCCTAGCTCAAAATCCAATACCCCGAACACACCCTAATTGGATATCAATTAATACAGTATAAAATAGAAGCCCAACAGAATTAAGCAGAAAAGTGAACCCTGTTGCGGGAGAAGACGACGACGCTGCACGGAAAGTTTGATCTTGGCCACGATAATAATCCTGTTTGTACAAATAGATTTCTACGGCGGCGGCCGGCGGCCGGCGGCTAATGTCTTCTCCCTATCACCGGATAATTTGAAATATTTTGTTCTGCTTTCCAAGTCGTTTTGGTTACGGCTGAAGTGAAGTGAGAGTGATATGGGGGAACCGTCATCTCCTGGTCGGAGCCCGACGACCATAGCGGATCTCCACTTGGACGCTCTGACGCTGTGCGCTAGTCATCTCAGCATCCGAGATGTCTCGAACATGGCGATGTCATGTAAATACCTTAGTAGAGCGGCCTACTCTGATTCCATCTGGTTTTCTCTCTACAGGTTGTTTTCTTTAATGTAATTTTGATAAAAATTATCTGAATTTTAAGGTTATTCTTTAAGTTTTGTAGTCTTGTTTCGTTCAATTTGAGCATAGGCTGTTCTCATTGTTGTTTATTTTTTATTTTGGAGTGTTCTTGCTCGTTTTTGTGATATTTTTGTGCGGCATTCTGTGTGTTCTGTTTTTATAGTTCTGAGTTATGTTCTCCAATTGAAATTGGCAGGAAAGAGTGGCCGATGGCTGCGGTTCCATGTTGGAATTCAGCATCAAGCATTAGGGAAACTTATATATCTAGGCATACTAGCTTGCATCAGTTTAAGTACATCGATCCTCTTACTTTCAATATGGATGTTGGGATACCTCCCCAGGACATAATTTTGGACAAAAACAGCATTATAATTGCACAGGTAATTCTGGTTCAAGAATTTCCATTTTCAATCTCTTAGTCATATTGAACTGGGGTGTGCTTAGGTACTCGAAAAAAAACTACCGTGGATACAAGTGAAGCTGATTCATGTTTATACTATGACTTAAAGAATATTGAGTCAGGCATTAAGTGAGGCGTTTTGAACTGTGATAGTAGCAATTCAGTTGTAGTTGAAAAAGAAATCGAGAAATGTTAAAGAGAAAGAAAATGAACAGAAACTTTAAAATGCTCAATACAATCACTCTCATTCCACCATTTTCTAGTTAGCCAATGCTATATCATCAGGGCTTGCTCCATTTGAACCTTTAACCATATAACCCATGATATCTCTTTGTTTAACTCTTACTATATGTCAATACAATTGAATTAGCATGCTTTGAATTTTCTGGTGGCATCAGTCTAGTTATGATAGCAGATAGTGTTGATGCGTATTGTGGTTTATTGTTTACTTATTTTTAATTTTCTTCTCATTGGTTATGATTCCAGGGCCGATCGATGCGTTCCCTGAACATTGATGACTTTATGAATCACGGGACCTCAACTGTTCTTGGTTCCCATAATGCTAGAATTACTTGTATGAGGTTAGCAATTTGTTGGGTTATAAAATTTGCCACTCACTCTTTATTTCCACTGTATTTATGTACAGATGTAGAATGTACTGCTAAAGCTAACTTATGGTATAAGAAATTATCTAGATAAATTTGATATTCATTAAATTGACTTTATCAAACCTTTTTTGAGATAAGCAGTAGTTTCAGTATACTGTGATTTTTATACAAGGTTAAATGTGTTTTGTAGTAAATTTAGAAAAATTATGTGATCTGCAGATTGTTTTCACTGAGTGAAAGCCTACATCAAAATGAGTCAGACAAGGATGCTAATATTCTTGTAACATCAAGTAGCGACCATTTTATTCGCCTATGGTCAAAGGTACTGAGAGAATTGTTTAAACTGATGTTTAATTGATTGAATGTCGAGTATAATTTCTGCAGGTTTTAAGTTCACTTTAGCCCTGACACTTACTGTTGTTTCTTTAGTTGAATTATGAATGGATCATAGCTGAGACATTTACTCTTTCAAATTATCTAAATCCATGTGCTTCTGATTTATAGGGAGGTAGCCGTTGCTATAAAGGTCATACTGGCCCTGTGTGCACCCTCTCGGATAAATTATTAGGTGATGGTATACGAAATATATTTGCTAGTGGAGGTGAAGATGGAACTGTTCGCCTCTGGTCCATCCATCCCTCTGGGAATCGAGGCCAGCATGCATTGAAGGCCACCTTTCATGGGCATGAAAAAGCTGTGTCACTGATGTCAGTCTCTGGGTATGCTTCTTTGCGGTTTTATGTGAACCGCGAATTATTTCTCTTTCTTCATTTTCTGTTCATTCCCTAATTTTTATAGACCATATTTCCTGAAGATCAAATGCACATAAATATGGTTTGTTTTTACTCTGTTTGCCAGCACCCGAGACTTGGACCTACAGGTCCTTCACAATAAGTTTAAACTTAAATCTTTTCTTCTTGATATAGGATCTTGCCTTCCAATTATCATATCTATTCTCCTGTTTTGCTTATCACCCATTGGATAGTTCAAAGTAATCTTTCTTTTTTTCTTTTTTTTTAATTGCCATCTGATAAATCAGTGGTAAATCATGTGGCCTAAAGTTGTTAATGAAACTATTAGCATTCACTCATGTTCATACACTCCCCACCTTTTGCCAGGCATAAAACTTCTTTGCTGGTTAGCATTTCGAAGAATGGAAAGGTATGCTCTCTTTTCTTTATTGGTCTTACTAATACTTTTCCAAGTTCCTCTTGCTGTGTAATAGTTCTGTACATAGTTCACTAAATGCTAAATCTAATCAAACCATGCGATCGCATCATAGATAGTTATTTCTGTAAAATCCATGTTCCGTCTCTGTAATCTGATAGGTTAGGGTTTGGGACACCGCTGCTGCATCATCTTCTACACGTACTTCATGTTGTGTGGGAATGAAATCTGTGCCTCCAGCACCTGTGGGTATGAAATGCCATGAGTCTCTGCTCTATGTGGCTGCAAGCTCTTCCGTAACTGCAGTCGATTTGAGAACAATGCATAGAGTATTCACAGTACCCCAGCGATCAAGAATAGAATCATTTGACGCCTTACCCTCAAAATTAACATTTTGCACTGGTGGAATAAATTGGTAAAAAAGTTTGCTGCTCTTGTTGTAACTAAGCATTTCTGGTTTGCTCTATCCTCCAAAACTTCACCTATTTTTAAATTACGCGCAGGGCGATGCTGTGTGACATCAGGAGAGTTTCCGACACACTGAAAGCCCATCCATCTGTTGAACTGCACGGGCACGTTGGCCCAGTCGAGCTATTACACATGGACTCGCACAAAGTGGTCACTGGCGGACCGCGTGATCACTATATCAAGATTTGGGATACCAACAGTGGCGCGCGGATTAACTCCTTACCATGTTCCAATTCAGGTGGACTTCGTCCAGACCTCGGATGCTTAGCAATGGCTGTTGATGGGTGTCGAATTGTCACTGCTGGTTCCAGCGGCGAGAACCAGATAGCAAATGCCTCTCTGTGCTACCGCAACTTCAGCACTGCTACTTGTCTTGTTCCTTCCGATGAAAATGCTGCCTTTTCGAAATTCTGGGAGGTTGGGGGCTCCGAAGATGAAGATGAAGATTGGCCTGCTTTTTGATGCTGGTGATTTATGCTTCTTTCTGAATTCAGAAAACTAGAAAAATTATGTTGATTCCCATCTTTTCTCTGTTATCATTGATCATCAATGTGTAGCAATCTATAGGTAAGACTAAAGTGTCTCTCAAGAAACTCTCCATGCTTAAAATACACAGATTTTAAGTTGAAGTTTCCTATACCCAATGTACAAATATATATACATACATGGCCCTTAATACCCCCTCAACAACAGTGTCTTATCAAAGGATGCCCTAAACGACAATCTCATAATTCACTTCTGAAATTGTCGAAATTCATCCTATAACCTTTTCAATTTTCCGAAATAAGCCACCGTTTTGCATTGTATTTGCAAGTTTATAATACTACAGTAGTTGTTGGATCCCAAGTCGATTAATTTGAAAGAGCTTATTTTAAATATCTTTTCAACAATCAATTGCATAATTTTTTTTTTTATCAATTATGTTCATCATCAGTGTCACAGTAAAGAAAGTTGTTTGCCCACTAATCTTTAAGATTTAAGGAGTATTCACTGTTAGGTTGAAAAATTGTTTAATAAAAAAGTTCAAATATTTTTTTACCATCGAAAGTACTCTAAATTTAGATTATTTAATTATTACGATAAGAAAATATATTGTTTTTGGCAGTTGAACATCACCTCTTACCTATCTCTTTTTCTTTGCCAATATGATAAACATTTATTTGATCAAACTATGGGATTTGTTTGATCATAATTTGGAATTGATTTGAAATATTACAGTAGGAATAAAGTAGAAAAAACTAAAATAACTGTGATATATAAAGGTAATGACATTTGTGTAATATATTGTAAATTATAAACGTATTTGTAATGTTACGAAGAAAATGAATAACGGAGGGAGAGAGTATATTATTTAATTATTAAGTAATTAAGAAATATATTAATAAAAATAATTATAATTTAATAAAAATATTATAAATTAAAATTAAAATAACTAAATAGTTTAATTAAAATAAAAATTTTATAAATTAAAAATTTTAAAATATGATAATTAAAACAAATAAATGCAAAATTGCGTGAAAACAGATAAAAATAAAAAAAATGAACAAATTAAATTAAGTCGAAGCCACGAAAGTTTTTTATTATTGTTAAAATTTCTATTATTCCAAGATTTCAACAGTGCTAGAGTTCGAATGTTCGATGACTTCTTATTATTCATTTTCCAGAAAACAAACAAACAGTCAAACCCCAACCACTCTTCAGATCCACAACCCTTCTTCTCCCCCCCCATCGCCGGAGATGCTTCTCCCCTCCGCCGTGCTCCTCCACGTCCTCCTCGTCAGCGCCGCCGCCTCGGCGCAGATCGTCGGCCTGGACTCTTTCCTAACCCAGCAATTCCGGAAAGACCCAAATGCCGCGAACGATTCCTTCCTCCTCCTTCCTTCCTCACTGAAAAAGCCCCTTTCCCACCCTAACCCCGCCCACCCAGCAAACCCCACCTCCCTCCTCTCCCTCGACCTCCCCGTCCCCATCACCGTCCATTTGGTCGGCTCCACGTTCTCCTCCTCCGCCACTTCTTTGCTCTCCTCCTTCATCTCTTCCGCCGTCTCCTCCGATTACTTCCACGTCATCTCCCCATTCTCCTCCTCCGCGCATCATCTCTCCGTTTCTCACTCCCTTCACCTCTCCGCCACTCTCTCCCCGCCGTCGCTCGCTGCCTCCCTCTCCTCTGCTCTGAATTCTCATCTCATCTCAACCCCTTCCTCTCTCCGAACCCCTCTCTCCTCCGTCCCTTACTCCCTCGTCGACCAAATCATCCGCCAGGACTTTGAAAAGGAGAACCCTATCAATTCCTTTCACATCTACATCATCCATCTCGGATCCCAGCCGAAGAGCTATGCTTACAGCTACACTCCCGGAGATAGCTCCCCTGGTTACACCAAATGCTTGGGCAGCATCTGGACGGGAAGTGATCGATATTTGTGGATAGATTTAGGAGCAGGTCCGGTTGATTATGGCCCTGCTTTATCCGGCGATGGTGTCTTGCCAAAAGGTGAGTTTCATCCATTGGCAGCCATCCATGGTAGGCCCAAGTCGCAAAAGGCATTGTTGCGGGACTTGGCTTCTTTGGTGTGGAGTGCTTATCAGGTACTTCTTGTCCCCTCTTTAAGGATTCCTGTACCTTTTGAGAATACCTTGATTGTCGAATTTGTGCACATTCGTGGTGAAGGTGGTAGTATTGGTTTGGATTGGAAAGTGATAGAGAAGAATTTCATGGATGAGGCGAATTCCCGGGGATTGTTGTTGTTGGGTGATCAGAATTTGAGTTTTAAGAAATATGAAGTGAAATTTGATGAGTGTCCAATTTGCTCCTTTGCCGTTGCTAGGTCGACTACTTCGTACACTTCTAGGTACTTGTTTGATAACTACACTTTGATAGTTAGTGAATATCTCGATTCGAAGAGGTTGCATCAGGCAATCTTGGAATCTTTTGAGGAGTTTAGAAGGGTAGGGAAGCTGCCGGAGGAAGACTTTGGTAGAGTCCTTCCTGTGTATGTTTTTGATCTTGATATCCATAATATGTTGTTGCTCGATCGGTATCACCAATCTGTGGCGTTTAAGGATATGGTGATTGCTGTTCGTACAAAAAGCACTCAGACTGTGAGCGACTATAGCTGTAATGGGCATCATGTTTTTGCACAAACTCGGGAGCTTGAAAGGCCTATTGTGGGTTCCATCTTGCAAAGCATGTGGGGGGTTTCGCCTACGCATCTTGTCTGGAGCCCTAGGCATAATAGTACTCTCATGGACTATACATGGAGCGTTGGACAAACACCATTTGGACCATTCTCGGAGCTGTCTTCGTTATCGTTTGTGCAGAAGGATGCTGCTCAGAGAAATATTCTTTTGACATCTTTGAACTACAGCATTACAAGTGGGATCGATGTTCTTGAGTCCATTGCTGCACATGGTGGAGAAAGAAAACTCCTGAAAAAAAATCAACATTCTGAATTTTTAGGGAGGTGGAACCTGTTTAGGTACAAGCTGGACAAAGCGGTTTCTGCTATGTCTCATTTTGATTACGGGATGGCTCTATATTATTTGAGGTCTTCAGAGCATGATCTTTATGCAATGCACTCTCTTGTTTACCAAGTAACTCAAGACCTGGAGGCTTCTCTTGTTTGTTTCAAGGATCCACCAATCCCGTGGAAGTCGATTATCTTGTCGGCAGGATTAATATTTGCTTTCCTCTATGTCTGTGCTAAAAGAGACAGATTGTTTCAGAACAAGAGAAAGCAGTTCTAAAGTATTGAAGTTGTTGGTATGTATTAATCAGGATGGGTACTCTCCAATCCAGAGGTAACTCACTTTCTCCTAATGTAGCATTCAGTTCTAACATGTTTTTATTTTGAAGTGATATTCTTTCAAATCCTCATGTCTGAGCCATTTTTAACACGACCTGATGTAATTCCCGGGTGTATTGCCGTGTTTCTTTGTTAGTATCAGATATCAATGTTTATGCTGGAGAATTACACTGTGAATAGATCATATGAAGCTCTACTAAAATTTTTCAATCTTTGCATATGTTTTCAGATTTCTAGTGTTATATTGTCGCTGACTCTTGTTTGAAATATACTGAATCCGGATCGGTTCCTTGAAGCTCAACTGTCAAGGCATGCCCAAATGATCATATGCAAAAGGCTACATGAGCTGGTTCGAACATCGGCCGCACCCTCCCTTCCCCTCAATTATAGAAGAGTTTTTGTGTATTTTTTCGGCACAATCTAATTCAGGAATTTTGATTTGTAGCCAATCATTTTATTAGCTTACATATGATGTTGGTACAATCGAAGTTTCTGTGGCTTACTGACCTGCTGCTTCTGTTTATACCACAGAACATTACATACATATCACCACCAGACAGCCTGTTTGTTTCTTGTAATATTTGACATTTTCCAGGCTCTTTCAATCTTTTTTTCTGTTATATTTCATTTCACGGTTAAGGTTTACCCCCCCCCCCCCCCCCCCTTTTCATTATTTTTTTTTCACACACCCACTCGACCTAAAGGCAAGTCAGGCAGCATTGCCCATTTTTTGTATTGCACCGTGATCTGGTACAGGACAAGAAAATTTTCAGGAAATAAAAATCTTATATTTCTTGAAAAAAAATTATTTCACAAAATATTCATACATTGTTTTAATACCAAATTCAAATAAAAAAATTTGAAAAAATAAAAGAATTATGTTCAAATATAAAAAATTCTTCAATTTGAGTTCTATGATAAACTATTTCAATCATTTGGTCTTACTGTTAAAATCTTTGACCTGACTTAAAAACTACAAACTACACGGTGATGTATAAACAACATGGTTAAGATCATAGTGTCACACTTATCTATTTTAATGAATTGATGATTAACCATTAATTCATCTGGTTATGCAAAATTTAGCTGTTTAGCACTAAATTATCATTTTCAATATTTAATAAACAAATGGATTGGGCCTGTTCTTATTATGGGCCCAAATTCATTAAATTTATTGGGTTTAGTGTGCCCGGTAGGGGGAGAGTTGGGCCGAAGTTACACGACATACTGTGAGCCGACATACGCCCGATTATTTCTCTTTCGCGCCACATGCTCTTCCCGACATTCTGCTTAAGTTCACCGCGACGGTCTGCTTTGCTCTGCTCTTCTGCGCACTTTTCGTTTCACTTGTTCGTACCGGCGATGACGGATGGTCACTTGTTCAATGGTATTTCTCTCGGTGGTCGGGGAGGCTCTGTAAGCACAAGTTTTACTAGTACTTTATATTTACTTCCAGTTTTGTGTTTTGCTGTCTTTGCTGTTGTTTTTCTTCAGTTCTTGGATTATTCTTTGGTTTTCGGGGATCTATGTTGTAAACCTAGCTGTGTTTCGGAAGTTCTTGATGTATTGCGTCCCAATTAGTTTATATTTTTGGAAAAATTCCTCCTGCTAATCTTAATAGTTGTTCTAGGGTTTTATGTGGTTTGTTCGTTGATTTAAGCTGTTAGTCAATATGGCGGTTGAGATCTGATGTCTTTTTATTTTGTAGGCTTTTACGAAGGCGAACCCTGACTTTAGATATATATACTTTGGCTCTTGTGTATTAGTTCTTGAGTAAAAGAGGGTCCTGTTAAGGTTTTCGGTTCGACCATCTGGTTTGAGTTAGTGGTTTTGAAGTAAGTGCAAAGATTTCTCAAGTGATGAATGTGCTGGAAATTCTGCAAAAAATGAATAAAAAATGAAGGCTTTTATAATATTCTGAAATCAGACAAAGGTTAAGAATAAAATAAGTGAGATAGATCGCTTGGTATTGAATATTGATGGATGGAAAAGCTGTTTAGTTTGTTTTATAAGACATACTGTTTGAACTTTCATGCTACAATTTGCAGAATCCAGGACAGCTCAGAGTTCACTCAAGTGGTATAGTATGGAAGAAACAAGGTGGTGGGAAAGCTGTGGAAGTTGATAAATCTGACTTGCTAGGTCTTTCCTTGATGAAGGTTCCTCGATCCAATCAACTTGGGGTCCGGACTAAAGATGGCCTGCATTATAAATTCACTGGGCTTCGAGATCAGGTGCCACATATCATTTTGCTAGAGCATCTATATATGTTGAATTATTTAGATCAGTATGCTCATATATCCGCTTTGTTATTACTTAAATGTCTCTTGGTTGTGAATGGTGTATTTTCTTGTCATTACTGTAATCACAGCCTAGAAATGATAAAACAAATGTGGAAGATTGCTTTATACAACAAGGATGGTTCCTGCAATTCCCACATATGATCATTTATTTTTCTTTATTGTGCACTCAACAAAAATTAAGTTCCAATTATGAAAATCATTCAAGTCCATATGATTTATTTGTCCTTTTTGTGCAGGATGTTGCCAGCCTGACTGCATATTTTCAGTCTAATTTTGGGAAAACACCAGAGGAAAAACAGCTATCCGTTAGTGGAAAAAACTGGGGAGATGTTGATCTAAATGGTATATAAGTTATGTTATTTTGATTGAGCTTTCCTTAAATTTTCAGTTCTTTACCTAGTGTAATTTTTTTCAGTGTCGTGTACTGCTGATGTATATATTGGAACAATTGGCTGATAGAATATTTGCATATACTTCTTTTGCTTACAACTTATGATTGCTAGTCTTGTGTTGAAAATTTCCAGCTTAATATATATATATATATATAATATATTTTATATATGACTAGCCTATATTATATGCAAGATTGCTGCTACTTAAACATTTTGTTTAGACTGACGAAGGTAATTGGTCTCTGCCTATCCTTCTGTGTGTGGGTAGCATTATGGTTTATATATTTCGCGGAAGAGTATAACTGTTCTTGTCCTCATGTGTTCACACTTAGAAAAGCCATTTCTTTTACACTTCAATTATGTCTTGCTCCTATTAGTTCAGTCACCGTCTTTTAATTGATATTCATTTTATCTTCAATCAGCTTTATGTTATGTTTATGTTTATTCATGACAATCTGCTTGTTTCTGTCTTGTTTCCCAGGTAACACTCTAACTTTTCTTGTGGGTGGTAAACAAGCATTTGAGATATCGTTAGCTGATGTCGCACAGACCCAACTTCAAGGAAAAAATGACGTCATGTTGGAATTTCATGTAGATGATACAACTGGGGCTAATGAAGTAAATACTTGGTGATCTCGATCACATTCAGTTATTAATATGCATGCGTTGCTGAATATCTATTAGTCTTTAGAGAGCCTTATTGAATAAAAGCTATATTGTTAACCTTATTTAACATTCTCTTTTGTATTGCTAGTATATTTAATTATTTATAAATTGGATTGTTTTGCAGAAAGATTCCTTGATGGAAATAAGTTTTCATATTCCCAATTCAAACACTCAATTTGTTGGGGATGATAACCATCCGTCTGCTCAGGTGATTATTTTTTTCTTGGAATCTTGGCTTCGGTTCACGAGACCTTTATTAATTTTTATTTGAACAATTTATAATGCATTTTCTGGAATAGGTGTTCCGAGACAGGATTGTTTCAATGGCAGATGTTGGAGCTGGTGGCGAAGAAGCTGTAACAACATTTGATGGGATCGCCATACTCACACCTAGGTAGGTTTATATGGATACTTGTTATCCTAGTGGCATGTTCACGTTTGGTTGCATCTTTTGATTGTAGAAATGTCTTGACATATTTGTTTATCTTAGGGGGCGATACAATGTTGAGCTTCATCTGTCATTTTTACGTCTCCAAGGGCAAGCCAATGACTTCAAAATCCAATACAGCAGTGTTGTTCGTGTTTTTTGGTTACCTAAGGTGCTGTGATCATCCATTTCTTGATTGAAATCTGATAAATATTTGTTAGCATAGATCTTAAAGTAAAGCTATCACTTCTATTGTTGATTTTCTGAAAATAGACTGACAGTATTTATTCAGTGGATCATGTTTGATACTTAAATTATCTGTTTTTATGCAGTCTAACCAGCCACACACCTTTGTTGTAATTACTCTTGATCCGCCAATTAGAAAGGGACAAACTTTGTATCCACATATTGTGATGCAGGTATTGATTTGTCAAATTTTTTAATTTCTGTGAATTGGTAATGAGATTAATGAGGTTTGTTGGGTTCTTCTGCAGTTTGAGACAGAAGCCGTGATAGAGGCCAAATTATCAATGAGTGAAGATCTTTATAACACCAAGTATAAGGACAAGCTCAAGCCATCGCAAAAGGTATTCGTCTTGTGTTGCTATTCACATGGGTTTTGTTAGGAGTACCGATAAAGTTGCTACTGTTATAGAAATATACGAAAATAATCTAAAGTTTTATTAACGAAATCGAGTTAAAAACAAAAGTATTAGACTAGTTTTGGTTAGGCTCAGCCCCTAACCACTCAAAACATTAAGTCGACACACAAATACACCTAACTAGCGACTACACACTTATAACCGGCCCGAAACCAACATGACTCACACAAAATGAACCCCCTAAAGTATATACAAGGCGAAACAAATAAAATACAAATGCCTAAATGTTGAACGAGCCCTTTCCGGCTACGAACAACAAAACAGGGGGTAAAACACCGCGCCACAGGAATTACACAAGTTACAGGAGGAAGGCGCCGCCGTGAACCGCCTGAAAAAGTCACCGGAAAGGGTAAACAGAAAGGTCGAGAGAGAAGGAGACTAGAGAGTGGGAGAGTTAGAGCGAGGGAGTGTGAGGGAGAGAATGAGAGTTGCGCACTCTCTCTATCTATATATATACTCAGGGTCATATGGAATGGACGGCCGAGATCAAAGACCTAGAATGGATGGTCCAGATCGCATCTAGCAAGAGGGATGCAGATCTTAAGCAGGTCATGGGCACGGGTCAGGTAAGTGGGTATGGGTTGTGCCATGAGTGTGTAAGCGGTTCGGTTTAAGCGGGTCACGGGTCGGCGGGTGTGGGTTGCGGTTAGGGCCTGGGTTTAAAAGTAGGCTGCATAATTAAGGTGTGTGTCTTATATTGTGGTGGATCTAATTGGATCAAAAAATCCAACAGCTACCTATATTATCTTTAGTGGATCTTTTGTGTATTATGTCAGCTTATAACTTATTGATTGAAGAGCCAAACAAAGTGATTTCATTTTTTCAATTACACTGTGATCGTGATTTGATAATACAAGAAGTCCACTAAAAGATAGAAGACCGAAACAAGGAGATTCCATTTTTTTAGTTACACATGATTGTGCTTTGATGTTTTCATGCAAATTACAGGGACTCATCCATGAGATCTTTATTGCTATTCTTCGAGGATTATCCGGTGTCAAAGTCACCAAGCCTGGAACATTTCGCAGTCATCAAGATGGTTATGCTGTGAAGTCATCACTCAAAGCTGAGGATGGAGTTCTCTACCCACTTGAAAAAAGCTTTTTCTTTTTACCCAAGCCTCCTACTCTAATTCTGCATGAGGAGGTAAGAAATCCATTGAAGAAGTCTATAATGTTGGTGTCGTTTATCCTGCACAGATGCTTGTGAGGTCACCTGATGATATTTTATTTTATTTATTATTAATAATAAATAGATCGACTATGTGGAATTTGAGAGGCATTCTGCCGGAGGGTCAAATATGCACTACTTCGATCTTCTCATCAGACTTAAGACTGAACAAGAGCACCTTTTCCGTAACATCCAGAGAAATGAGTACCTCAATCTGTTTAAATTTATCAAGTCAGTACATGTTTTTTGTCTCATTTTTTTGTTACTTATTGTAACAAGGCATGAGTGAGGTCTCGTGTTTGAAATCCAGTTCTGATGATTTTTTCTTATTATATAGTGTCAAAGGCTTGAAGATCATGAATTTGGGAGGGGGAGATCGGGCTACAGAAGGAGTAGCTGCTGTCCTTACTGATATTGACGATGCTGTTGATCCTCATCTTGAGAGGATCAAGAATCAAACCATTGGAGATGAGAGTGATGAGGAGGTGTGGTTTCTATTTCCTCCATTTGCGAATGCTATGTAGTTACTAATTACATGAATGTGCATCTATAGCTTCAATTATGCACAATGAGTTATCCTATCAGTTTACAAATTGAGTATGGTGTGTCGATATGCAGGATGAAGATTTTGTGGCTGACAAAGATGATGAAGGTTCTCCCACAGATGATTCTGGGGAAGGAGAATCTGATGCAAGCGAGGGTGGCGAGCCGATGGAGGTGGCCTTTTTTCGCTCCACCCCTCATTTTCAATGTTTTATTCAGTTTTGTATATTCTACGGGCCTTACCTGAATACATTGTTGTTTCAGACACCGACTAAAAAGAAATCCAAGAAAGAAGCTTCTGCTCCAAGGGCATCATCTAGTAGAAAAAAATCTAAAGATGGGGACGAAGATGGGACAAAGAAGAAGAAACAGAAGAGGAAAAAAGATCCAAATGCACCCAAGAGAGCAATCAGTGCCTTTATGTTCTTTTCCCAAACCGAGAGAGAGGTTTGTGTCATCAGCTTTAAAGCTTTTTTCCTAAACCCCATAACCAATTCTTGTCTTTGAAAACAGAACTTGAAGAGCAGCAATCCGGGAATCTCGTTTACAGAGATGGCGAGAGTACTTGGAGAAAGATGGAACAAGATGACAGGTATGGATTACAATTAGTATATAGTATCTATTACACTTGTCGTACACATTGCGTTGATCATCTGCATATTCTAACATCATGTTATGTTTCCAAAGCTGAGGAGAAAGCTCCGTATGAAGCTCGAGCCCGGGCTGACAAGAAAAGATACAGTGAAGAGATCAGTGGCTACAAAAACCCTCAGGCAAGTAGTAATAATGTAGAAATGGTTGAAGAATCTGACAGTGAGTGAGATTAGTCAGTCAGTGAATGAAGAAAGGTGTAACTTAAAAGACTAGTTAGTATTGCATTGCTTGTAATGTTTAGTCTCTCATATTTATGCTTTAGATGCATACAACGAAATGCCATCACATGTTTTCCATTATATATATATATATATTAATCTGTGTGTGTGTGCATGTGGTGCGTATCCGAGAATCGGAGGTGTCGGGGATTTGAACTATGTGTGGCAGGTGAGTTGAGCGGATTTGAACCCATAACCTCACGAATACAAATTCATGTGTTGATTGGGAATTTGTTTGTTTTGTGTCGGTAATATATATAAAATTAATGCTGTGTTAAATTATTTATTTGATTATGAACAGCTTTTAAGAGTTCTATTATTTTAAAAAATAACAAATTAAATATTTATTTTTTAGTTATTATAGTATTAAATTAAAAATAATTTTTTATTAAAAATATTATTTTAATATAATGTTTATAATTTATGTTTATATCACTGTCTAGATACAGGGAAGATTTGTATTTTAAATTATAAATAAGATACTTGAAGTATTAAATAATTATAGTTTATAGTAATATTTATATTTTTGTTATTTTAAATTATAAATTATAATTATTTTATATTTCTAAAATTATAAATTAAATTTATTTTGAAATTTCTATTATAAATTTTGAAAAATACTATATAAAGTTACGACTATTAAAAAAATATATTAATATAGGAGTATTATTATTTTTATAATTTTTTTCAATTATTTTTTACAATATTAAAAATGAATTATTTTTTATATTATAAAATAATTTTTAAAAACATTTTTATTAAATTATAGATATAGATCAAATAATTTTAAAAAATAAATAAAAATAATAATAAATATGATTTATAAAACAGATTTATGACGAGGTTATTTGTGACTAGGCGATGAATATGAGCATGAACACGATGTTCTGGCAGGAACAAGCTGTGTTTAGACCCTGTTAGTTGTGGTCAAGCAACAGGACTGTGTTTAATCCGGTCAATTAAAATTGATAAATTTTTATTTTAGTCGAACCAAAATGATAATTATGATATTAAATAAAATAAAAAAATATTTTACTCTAATATTTATTTTGTTTGATTAAATATTAATAATTTGTTTGTTTGGTGAAAATAAACTAACATATATAGCTATTTACACTTCTTATATTACCGGAATAATATTCTATATTTTACGTTAAAATATATAATATATATATATATATATCAATCCCTTCAAATTCTTTTACAAAACAAACAAACCCTAGATAAAATTATATTGGGATTACTTGTGCTTAATTTCGAAAATGTTATCTGGACAAAAAACCATCTTGTTCTGCTTCTTCCCGGCAGCCATCTTCTTCTTTCACTTCCCCCATTCTTCTTCTTCTTCTCCACCAGCCTCCGCTACTACCCAGCCTCTCGCTGTGTCCGCCATCGTTCGTCCGGATTCTAGAGCCTTATAAATAAGTTATCACTTTGATTCCACCCTCAATTTCTTTCCGCATTTTGCCACTACATTAAATTTCCCCATTCCCCTCTTCCGATGCCATTGAAGAAGTGAAGCTCAACATCGTTGAGGTCAGTATAATATAGAGAATGACCAGACTAATAAGTTTATCGTTTGTTTAATTTTATTGTATTTTGTGGGCTACGTTTTCTAGATTATCGTTTTGTTTTGTGTTGTTCGCCATTTTATCTACATATGGTTTGCGTGAAGCATTAGAATCATGGAAATTTTGATAATATAGAGAATGACCAGACTAATAAGCATGTTTTGAACAAAATAATGTAAATCCAGCCCTAACCTTTCCAAATCATTCTATGCGGGTTCTAAGACGGGTTTAAGATTGTTAGGGACTTAGGGTGTGTTTCTTTAGGGTTTGGTTGGGAAGGTCTGGATTAGGTTGGTATTGGATTTGAATTTTAAGAAGGCACAAGATTTTTTTGGGTGTTTTTCTTTTCAGGCTGGGAGAGCTTTGGAACTGTATGGTTACTTTTGTGAATCATCCCTAAACCTCCAACTTTTTAATGAAAATTTTCTTAATAATGTATACATATGAGCTTCGGTATTCCTTAATGGATTCGAAGATATAATATCTTCTCATCTGTGCACTCAGGCCGCGGATGGGTTTGTTCTAAAGATAAATTCATGCAGTGAGCTAATTCTGTGGTCACTTAGGTTGAAGATTGATTAAATATCCAACAAGATGGAACATACCTTTGAAGGAGTATTGAATCAGGAATGGCATATGCAAGATTTGAAGTGGCTTACTTCTCAAATTAGTGAGCACGAGTCTCTTCTGAGGCTCAAACGTAGGTACATTGCCTCTCTTGCCTTAAATTCTTAATATGTTTCTCAAATTTGTTTTCCGTTGGTTCGCTGTACAATGCAACCTTGGAAGAACTACTAAAAACTATTTCTCAGGTGGTTGATGGATATGGCATTATCTGTGGGTGAGCAAAAACAGATAGAGGAAACACTTCCTCCCAATGACAAGTATGTTCAAGTTCTTTTATTTTATATTTTTTTCCCTCCAAAATCGTATGTACTTGTGTCTTCCTTTATTCCTCACGTTTACTTGCCTCATTTGACCCACTTATTGATGTGCCGTTGATTGATAAATTATGTGCGTAAAGTTCTTGGGTGTGTTCCTTTAAGGCTTGTTTGGGCCTTGTGCTATTCATTACTTTTCTCCTCAAAACCATGAAATCAAAGACTTTTTTTGTTTGATATATTACATAAAAAAATATTTCTTTAATTTAAAATATCACTTCACTACATCTATTTATATCACATCAAATATTATTTCAATTTATTTTTCTACTATTCCCAAACCCCAGATGCAAATTCACCCCTTAAAATATATACCCCGTAAGATTCACTGGATATGGCTTTAAGGGATTTTAGATATTTTTCTTTGTTTAATAATTCTCCCTAATTTTCTTATTAGTGCTAAAAATAAAATTATGTAAAAGATGCTCAGACCAAGGGTTTGAAAATATGTTATATAGACTCTTAAGGATCATTAACAACAAACAAGCATTTTGAACTAAATTTATTAACGTCGGAATGCATTACATTGTTTGTTTAAAATTGTTCTCCTGACTTGTAATTAAGTTAAATTAAAGGCCTATAATGTGTGTGTTGTGGGTTGTTTAGGGCTGAAAATAGCTCAACTGAAGTTACCATGTGACTAGGAAGCTTGGCATAAGTGCGCGGCTGGACAATTTCTCAGTTAGAGAGAAGCATCTTAACTTTGTTTTATCTCCAAGAAGGCTTTGAAGTTAAAACTGAATAAAACTCTCATTACTATTGTTTTTAGTTCCTATTTTTGCTAGCTTTAAACTATTGCTGCTACTTTTATATTTGAAATTTATTATTACTCCTGTCTTGTACCTTTGCTACATATGATTTTTTAGCTTCTTGGCTACTCCTGAGGGTTCCAACTACTTATTGAGGCAATCTCCTGACTTTTACACTTGTTTTTGTAGGATGTTGCTCGAGTCATTACTTAGAGAAGATGACGTAAGTATCCTGTCAATTCAGTGAACTATGCCTTTTGATCAAATGATTTGGCTTATGTACGCTATTATCGCTACAAGTGACAATTTTAATCAATTTCAGCACTGTATGAGATTAATTTGGAATAATACTTTAAATTTGTTCTTAATGTTCTATTTGGTAGTAATATTTTCTAGGTTCTAAGAGATCAACCCTTGAAACTTTATGATTATGTGAAAATTTGAAAAGGTTTTATGAGAAGGTATTTAGTATGTGTTAATTTTGTAGCTTTAATTAACTCGTCTGCTGGTTTGAACACCTTATGACCAAAATTTAATATAAAAACTGATTGACCTAAATGGTCTATTGAAAGAAGATTTTATTTGTTCAATCCTAGCCAAACCAATTGTTTGATACAAACAAGTACTTCATAAAGGAAAAATGCCATGAAATATTATTTGATGATGTGAATCTATGCATGCTTGGGGTCATTTTGTTGTATTCCTTGAGCTGTATACTTTTTTTCTATTTCAGGTAAGCTATGAGAGTATCAGAACTTGTATTGAGAAGGGGTTTGGTGTCCATCACAGTAAGAGTGAAGTCAATTTCCACAGGAATCAGATGGTCTGCTCAACAGCTTCTGAAGCTTATCATGCAGATGCTGAAAAGGTACTGGAAGGACTTGGTGATTTTCCTTTCAGAACACTGCTTGCAATGCACAGGAAGTTGAAAGGTGTTAAAGGGTATATTCCTTCTATGCTACCTAGAAAAGATGGCATGGGGCGCATTAAGTTGACCGGCCTAGTTAAAAAATACTCTAGGAAGATGCTATCAGACCTTGGTAAAGCGGGTGAACCCTCGGAAGAATTGGTGGGGGCATTAGGTATTGCAGGTTTAACATCTAAGTTTGTAATGAATTGTTCAATTGGAAGAGAATTCCGGATATTTTCTCCTGAAATTGAATCATTGCAAAATGACATAGCAAAAGCTATCCGTTTGCTCAATGATCCAAAACATGTTAGTATGTTAGAGTTGAGAAAAGTGCGGCGATTATTGGATCCTAGTTTTCAGGTGTCTGCCAGAAGTTTACGAGCAGCAATACGGAATCTTCTGACAGAGTACCTTTTTGAATGCAGTGATATGGATGAGGTCCCTGTTTGTATACTGCAAACTGTGAACATGATTAATCGATGTTCTCAACATTCCACCCCCAAAGTCTTTTCATCTCCAGGGGTGCTGAAGACAGAATTCATACAAAATGAGGTGGAACATGTGTTAACTGTCAGTGCTCAAGCGAAAGAAGTTGTATTGAGCTTACTTCCAACATATGAGTTTGATAAAGACTATACTCATGCATACATGGATGATTTTGAAGAAAGTGACACACTCTGTATTTCTGATGATGAACAAGTAGGGGATGTCTCTTGGCATGATGAATTTTATTGTTATAATACTAATGGTCAGGCAGAAAGTATTGGTGAAACAAATCCAGGAGAACTGAATCCATCCATCTCAACTAGTGAAACAGATGATTGCTCATTTTCACGGAATAGGACGTTGAATCCATCTCCGTACATGACATCAGAGAAAAATTTACTTTCTCAATCTCACACTTCTGACAGCAATTCACTTCAGAATGAAGTTAAATGTAAAGAAGCTACAAGTTCTGGATTTTTTTGTTCTGACATACTAGGAGAAGAGGCAAACATCATGCGTGAACAGAACAGGTCTGGGAATCAATACCTTGAGGTCCAAGAAGCATGTGATCTCTCAAGTATGATTGCCTATCGTTTTATGGGGCATTTACTAGGCAAGCTTGCCAAGGTTGAAGGTATAGAATTATCTCAAGGAGATAGCTTATATCTCTGTGGTCATTCTTCAGTTCCTGAAGATTCGGAAGGTGATGGAAATATTTTTAGTTGCTTTTAAATTTAGCGCTGAAATCATGTTTGTGCAGTTAACCTACCAATTGGTCTTTTAGTGTTCATTCTTCCACTGTGATTTTAATTTTGTAAGAGAGAATTAGAAGATTATCAATGTTTTAGTTGGGGTGATTGGGTACGAGTAATTTGTAATTTTTTGATTAACATATATGAGTATATCATGTTTTGTTTTTTCCTCTTCATTTAATATTTTTGCCTTTCTTGGTCAATCTAGAATTTACTTATATTTTAAGTTCAAGAATTTGTGGCTGCAGAGATGTATATATAATTTTGTATTTGGGAATTAGTAGTTATAGATTTGTTTTGAAAATATGTGTACAGGTATTTTTACTCATTTGCATAACCTGTCTTTTTGTGTATTTGTAAATTATAAGGCCCGCATATGGAAATTTGGGCTCTATTTTTTTTGAGAACTTTTTATTTTTATTTTCTTTACTATGCAATCCTCGTGATTGTCTATAAAAATGTATTATTTTTCCTCATAAAACATCACGTCAAATCACTATTTAAACACAAACACAAATCAAACATACCTTTGATTTTATTTTTTTTCTTGATTTTGCTCGAGTGTGGTTGTGTTTTAAACTGTACGGAGTTTTGTATGGGTTGTTACGTGTGTTTAGGGTATACGATCTTCTTCATGGTCCATGCTTGCGGGGAAAGTTCTAATATTTCACTGACAGGTTGATAATTTTATAAATATTCTCATTTTTTCCCTTGTCTTTATTTCAGGGTCCCCAAATTCATTGTTCATGTCAGAGTTTTCAGAACTTTGGAGAAGTGTGGTTCAGGAGTAAGACTGTAAGACTTCTTTATTTGATTTGCACAATATCCTACGGCTTCGCTCCATGTCCTGTCCATTCCAATGATCTCAAGAAAACTATTTTGCCCATTTGAACATTTTCATGTAAGATTTCTTTATTACAAAGCAGTAAATTTGATTGTCAAAGCATGATGTTAGTGCTGATGCTATTTATCTGCACTGCCATTTTTTCTATAATATACGTGTGTGCAAGAACATACATGTATGTGTGTGTACTCTGTAAGATGCATGGATATAATATATACATATTTATATATATATTAATACTTATAAACACAGGTAGGCTCCCAAGTACTTATGTGTGGTGGGCTGCTGTATTTATGAGGTTACTCACAAGTTGAAGGGCAAGACTGTTATGACTGAATCTTACCGATATGAATCCCTTCGCCATTGCAAGTTGGTAACTTTTCCATGCTTTCTTTGGTGCCTTAATTTCATAGAGCTTTATATGATTTATTTGAAGCCCAAGACACTGTTTTATTGATATCCTAAAACATTCTAGCTATTGTTAGGTAGTCAGATGGTTGAGCTGATACATACATTTCCACGTGCTCATCATTGGAGATCAATTATGTGTGTGGAGAGACAGATAAAGGAAAAATGCCATGAAATATTATATGATGATGCAAATCTATGCATGATTGGTTTGTTTTCTTAATTCTTTTTATCTATCAACATGGTTTTGAAACACACATCTTAGATTTCTTAGTCTTTCGAGTATTAAATGCTAAGGTTTGATTTTCAGAGAGGTATATTATAGCTTATAACTTAAAGTAAAATTTTGCATCATGCTATGTATAAGAGTCAATTTGGTTAAGGATAAAAGAGAAAAAAAAAGGTTAAGCATAAAAAATAGTGGGTCGAACAAAATAAGTATAAAATATGCTAGCATGTTTGAGTTATTTCAAGGTGCACAAATCATTGCCCTTAGTTTTATTTTTGTGGGCTGAGCTGTATATTTGCATTATCCTGTCATTATTCTGCTTGTTTGATATAACTTTCATCTCACGGTTATGCTGATGCAAGTGAACTGCAAATGACGTTTATGAATTTGTGAGTGTGGAATTCTGTCTATATTACCTGCATTTTGTTTTTGTGCATGCTGGTGATCTTTCCTTCTATGTGTTCTTTCTACCTGACAACCACATTTTACTTACATCTCATGTAGGACAAAGCTGCAGGCAGATTTAAAGAGACTCAAAGAACTGAGGGAATTTCGACCTCTTGACATTATTATGAGGATAGTAAAGGATTATAATCAATATGTAATGCACTATTTAGATCGTGGATATTCAACGAAGGAGCTTAATCTGAGCTATGTTAAGGCAGGCTTTTCAAACACTCATCTTGTTCTGTCATGAGTTACTCCAGGTGTACAGTGGTCTTGCTTTGTTTATTTGCCAAGATACGATCACTTTGCACTTTTAGTGAGGGCGGGCACCCTGATTTTATTGCCCACATGGCAGTAAAAATGAATGAGGGTGAATATGAAATTGAAGAAAATACAGGAGAAGTTAGGAACAGCAAGAAAAAGTTGGAGAAGGTAAAACCTCTGCTCCTGCCAAATTTGTTCGTGGGAAGTTTTTTATTTTTTATTTTTATTGTGAGTTTGTTTTTTCGATAGAGGCCCTTTATATGTCCGGTCTAGGTTGCACCGTTTTAACATGCTGGACCTTAATGAAACTAGATTATATTGGAGACGATGTTACTATCAACAACTTTTTTGGCAGTCCAGGAGGTAGTGGAAAAGTGGTTATCAGCAGTCCATATGATCACATTTTCATATTTTACTCTGTTAACAGTGAAGCTGGGCTGCTTGGTTAGTATTTTGTAACTTAGACTTGGAGGTTTTAGTTTGTGAACCTATACTGCATAATGAACAGATTACTCTATCCTTTCCCCATTTTGATAGCTTGTTAATGTGAGTAGAGATTGCTCAACCAATTGTACTTAATTGATTCTCTAAGTTTGGGATCGTGGCATCCAGAATTTGTTGATTCTGGCCATTGTTGCTGTGGAGAATTTATTGCGAGAATCTCGTCAATTCAATATATTTTGGTGCAGTGCAAATTCATTTGAGGTCTTATTTTTTGTTTTCAACCTAACTGATGACGCTATTAAATGTGTTCATCATAGGTCTACAAATCAAAATATATACATGCCTCGTCCCGGGATTGGACTTGTGATTGTAAGGTCATGGTTTCGAACCTCTGACGCCTCAGGTGACCTGTAACACATGGTTCGTCTAGTGTGATTTACTTTGTCGGGCATAGTTTGCAAGATTTCAAGATTTGGTCGGGAGTTCAATTTCGAATAGTGGCTGCAAGTTTCTTAGTCGTAAAAAAAATATATATATATACATGGGTCGGCTGTGTACTGATTTTAGTTTAGGGTATATTTTTTATTAATAAGCACTTAAAAGGCAAATATAAGGTTGTTCTTGCCTCAAATATGCCCAAAACAGAATAGAACGTCCAAATTATAAATATCATACTGGGGTCGTGGTGTATATGGATGGAAATACAGGGTTTGGATTTTCAATAGTAACTATTTGAATTGAAATGATTGTATAAAATTAATTTTTAATATAATTAAAAAAAAAAAAAAAGAGAAAATAGATGTTTGATTTTTAATATGTTTTTAATATAAAAAATTTGATGTATAGTAAATATTTTGTAAAGTTTAATAGAAGAAGCCACTGTTAAAAAGTTACTAGGTTATATTAAGATGAAATCTTAAAAATTGTTTGAATTGTATATATTGACATTGACAATCATACAACTCAAACAATTTCTAGAGCAATGTTCACAATTTTTTTGTATATTTAAATATACAATTTGTATTGATTCAAAGTGTGCCTTCATACGATTTAAAACATATTAGATCATATTTTAAACAATTTCAATAAAACAAAATTCCAAAAAAAATAATGATCTTGAAGTATTAACTGTAACAATTAGTATTAACAAAAATCATGCATATCTAACAGCAGTTAATAACTTCAATAAATTATAAATATTAAATATTATTTACTTTGAAATAGATATATATTACAATATATTGATTGAAGTATATCAAACCATTTTTAAAATACAAATATAATATTCAATAGTATATAATTTTAAAAATATAAATAGTAATAAGTGAAAGATATAATTAATATATATATATATATATTAACAGGGCTTCCCCACTTCGCAGTTGAGTGCTCCGGCGAATTTGGTCATATCTCCGACGAGCTCGGCGGACGCAGCCTGTATGAGATCATACTTCTCCGGGTGCTTGCTCGTGTAGGTCGCATCTCCCGATTGCCGGAAATACGCTCCCCTCAGGAATATGTCCCCTTCCGACCTCCATGTCCAGCTCGACCACTCCGCTTCCGTGGCGTACTCCCTCTTCGTCACCTCCTTCGCGTAGCCGTTGTCCGGCGGGGCGATGTAACGATTCCCCTGGCTTATAATCGTCGGGTGCTTGCTGCCTCCAATGGCGTACATGTTCCAGTGCGTGTAATCGTTGTTGACGACGTGGATGTACCCGAATCGGCACCGCGGCATCCTCTGGATCATCCTCTTTCCGAAATGGTTGAACGCCACAGTCACCTGCAAATTAATTAAAAAGAATGATTATTTGTTAAAATGGAAAATAATAATTAAAAGTAATGAATGAACGGACCTGCATCTTCTCGTCGTTGGTGTAGCTGTCGCTGGCGCCGAAGAGGAGGGCTTCGTTGTGGTCGGTGAAGTGGGAGTTGGAGATGGTGACGCCGGTGGAGCCCATGATGACGTCAATGAGGCCGTCGTAGCATTTGTACATGGAGACGTGGTCGACCCAGATGTTCTGAGCTCCGAAGAGGGAGATTCCGTCGCCGTCGCTCTGCGTGCGCAACCCGTAGTGGTCGGTGGCGTCTCTGATCATGCCGCCGTTCCCCTGGACGATGTCGTGGATTCTGAGGCCGTGGATGATGACGTTGTTGACGAACTGGAGCGTGATTCCGGCGCCGTAGGCGATATCGACGCGGACGCCGCGGCCGTCGATGGTCTTGTCGCTCTGGACGATGAGCTCCTGGGAGAGGCGGATGAGCATGTCGTGCTGGAAGGTGATCCAGAGAGGCTCCTTCTGGATGACGGCGTGCCGGAGAGTGCCCGGCTTCGGGTTGACCATGTCGTTGTCGGAGGAATCGGTGACGACGTAGAACTTGCCGTTCTTGCCCCCCTTGGCCTTGTAGCCGAACCCCATGCCGCAGTCGGCCAGCCGGAAGCGGTTCTCCGCCCAGTTGGGGTTGCACCGCCAGCACCGGTCGATCGGATTTGTCACTGTGCATGGACCGAAATACCCCTTCCCTAGCTTTCTTCTCGTGCTGTTGCTCCCCATGCTCTCCTTCTTCATTTCCTCCAGCGCCCTGCAATTCAATTCAATTCAATTCAGAATTAACCCTAACCCTAACCCTAACCCTAACCCTAATTAAATGATACCTTTGGGCGTGGACGTTGAGATGGCTGACAATCTTGGCAGGGCTGGGCTCGTAGGATTGAAGAGTGCGATTCCAGGATTCCTCAGCCTTCATCTTCCAGAAATCATCGAACTCGGCGATGTTGCCATTGATGGTGGAAGCCGCTGCCAGAACCAAAACAGCCGCGAAAATCACAGATGGCCGCTGCATCTTGCTGCCAATGAAATAATTTCTCTAATTATTTATATTATATTATTATAGATCCTCCCCTCTTTATCCTTCTTTATTATTGTTGGAATTGAAATTAAATCTAGTTTTATTATGATTAAGGGTGCTGCAGTATAAGCAACACGGTCTGGAAATATAGAACCCCGCCGGCGAGCGCCACCGCCGAATATTATGGTGTCGGATCTTCCAGACCGCACCGCGGCTATTATTATTTAGTTGCTGCTGCAAATGAGCGAGCGAGGGAGAGAAGAACAGAGAAGGTGGTGCCCTTTCTTGGGTTGTTACCCGCTGTTTATATACAGCTCCTCCTCCTCTTTCTTTCTTTCTCTCTCTCTCTCTAATGGCGGAAATGAGGGGCTGCCTCCCCTCCCTCTGGTGTATGACCGTTTCTTGGGGATTAATGAATTGTTCTGCACAGCTATAACTATAAACAAACATCTCCCTCACAATCATTCTAAATTAATTAACATTAGTAAATACTACAATTTAATGGCATTATTTTTATCATGTTAAAGAGAGAAATAGAAATATTCTTATTTTTCTAGTTTGGTTGAACAAAAAAATTGAGAGTTAGAAAAATAATTTTTTTTTATTCTATAATTTCATTTATCTCATGTACCATGAGAGAAATAGAAAAAAATGAAATACCGAGAGTAAGTATATGTTTATTTATTTTATATTTTTATTTGTTTTTATTTTACTATTATTTATTATTTTATAAATTTTATATTATATAAATCTCATAAAAAAAATATCATATTTAAATTATTATTAAAATAATTTATCAAACTAAAAATATAAATAAATATACAATATATATATTTTTAATCTAATTTTTTTAATTTTTAGTGATCTATTTTTTTTAATTTTTTTTCATTAGTAATATAGTGTATTCTTTTTATTCGTTAATACTTTTTTAGATTTCTTAGCATTTTCCTTTTTCTTTTAATCATACCATTTTTTACTATCATTTTTTTATATTTTCATTCTACGTACCAAAAGCTAATATATTACACAACAGTTTGATATGATTATTTTTATTTTATTTTATTTTATCTATTTTTATATTTTAAATTAATTAATATATTTTTTATATAATTTTATTAGTTATTTATTGTATTTAAGGTAAATTTATGCAATTTTGTTATTTATTTATTCGATACAAAAACCGTTTGGTAGGCTATAAAAACTATTTCTAAATAAATAATTTAAAATTCATGGGAGATGATCCTTAGCATCACCCTTCTCAGCTACACCCATATATAGAGAGCACGAAGGGGATGATTCTGAGGATCCCCTCCCAAAATCTATATACAACATTAAAAATTAAAATCATAACCGACTAAGGTGATTTTTATTTTATAATTTTTATTGATTCATTTGTTCTAAACAATGTTGGGTAGGCTATATAAATCATTCCTGAATAAATAATATAAATTTATATAGAAATTAAGGCAATTTTTATTTTACTATTTTATTTTTAACTGTTTAGTATAAATAATTTAATATAAAAAGAAATAAAAAGCTGCAATTTTGTTTGATGCAACATGGATGTAGACAAGTGAAAATTTGATTTTTGATAATTAACTATGCTGAATATGAGAGACTTTATCAACAATATTTTATTAGTTTCAAAGAATATATATAATATTTGAAAGTTTTTAATTGTGAATGTATTTTCTTTTCTTTTTTTTTTTTTGTCTAAATTAATATATTTAATATTTTTTGTCGTATAATTTATTTATATATAAAAATATTTTATATTTCATTTATTACTTTAGAAATATATTAAATATATATACACTTGTACATAGCACGAGTTTAAACATTAATAACATTATTATATTAGAAGATTGTGATTTTTCAATGTCATTTGAATATTTATAGCATTTATTAATAATAAATATGTATCTAAAATATTTAAAATATTCAAAAAAATCTGAACAATAATTTGAAAGTTATAAGAATATTTATAACGTTTAATAAGAAGTATGTATCTAAAATATTTAAGATCTATATTTAAAAAAAAAAAAACTAAACAATAATTTGAATGCATTGAATTATTAATGTTGCCACATATATAAACACATTTGGTAATCAGAATTCATATTCAAAAACAAAATCTTAAATATTTTATTATATTTTTAAAATTAAAAAAATTAAAAATGATATTTAATTTTTAAATATAAAAATTAAAACTTTAATTTTAATACCTTCACTAATTAATCTTATTTAATGCCAACTTTCGAATACAAAAAGGGAATGATTGGCTGTCGAAAAGAATCCCATAAATAATAAAAAAAAAGATAACAAATTCTATATATTAAAAAAATAAAATTAAAAGATATTTTATTAATAAAAAATAGATATTAAAAATATTCAAAAAGAATAATTATAAAAATATAAATATATTATTATAAGTGATATATATTAATCACTACTAATAGCTACATTTGCGTTTCCAATAAATTTGTTTCCAATAAATTTATTGAACTCTTTAGCTAAATTTCCAATGAAAATTTTCTTAATTTTTAATAGTTTCAAAAATTATTCCTCATATTAGATTTCTTTGCTTATTTATCATTTTAATTGTTTTATGATACTTTATTTTATTTTTTTTATATAATTGGATATGTAAAGTGTCCAAACCTATTAATTATAAAACAAATAATAATAATAAATTCTTATAACCTTCTTGGTCTCTCCTCCGGGTGGAAGAGAGAAGGAAGTATTTGTTTTTTTTTTTTTTTTTTTTTTGTCTTTTTATTATTTATTTTGTTTTTAATTATATTAAATATTGTATATATTAATATTATTTTTATTAGTAATATGTTTACATTGTAAACAATTAATATTTAAATATATTTTTTATAAAAATATTTAATTGAATTTTATTTTAATATTAAATTTAAATTAATTTTGTTAAAATTTGTCTAAGAAACATATTGATAATAAATTTTTATATTCTATTAATAATTTATAAAATATAATTATATTAATTAAATATAATATTATAATATTAAATAAAATAATAAATTTGTTGAAATGAAAAAGAGAAAAATTTAACAACTTCTATTTTGGATTATTCCATGTAAGATAATATATTAGTAAATCTTTTGATAGATTCAAGTTGATTTGGCATGATGTAGCTGAGAGAAAAAATATAAGAACGATTCTTATTTATTTTGTATTATGAATGGTTAATAGAGCATCCCTCCCCACCCTTTTTTATTTATTTGATTATATTTAATTTTTTAAAAAAATACATATGTATATGTATATAGGATATAAACAATAGTTGAAATAACAAAGTTAAAAATTAAAGTTTGTTAATTTTTTTATTTTATATAAAAAATTATTACTATTCTTTTGCCATGTTTTTAATAAGAACAAATTTTTTTCTTTTAAAATACTATAAAAAAAACTTTTGTGGGAGTGGAACACTCTTTAATGATTAAAAAAATAATAAAAAAAATGAAGAGTGTGTTCTTTGTTTAAAAGAAGCCAATACATTTTTTTTTTATAAAAAAATTAATATATTACTTATTCATTATTTTTATATTATCTAATCAATTTTTTATATTTTATATGAAAAAATATTAAAACAATTTTACAAAACAAAAACAGTTTTTTTTCTAAAGAAAAATATATTTTTTGAAATTAAAGTATATAAAAATTGCAACATATGTAGCAACTGATATAATTTTTTATTTATTAATATTTTTAAAGATAGTGTTAGAATACTGAATAATACCATTCAACATCTCAAATGACAATAATTCACATAATACATGTCACTATTTATGTCAACGGATATTATATGTTAACATCATATAATATACTACCTTCGTCCGGCTATAAAAGATTTCATTTACTTTTTACGAATTGATATTTGAATATTAATTATTATATGAAAATGTAATATAAATAAAAAAAATAAAAAAAAATACTTCTATTAGTGTCTTATATTAATATTATAATGATATTTGTGTAAAAATCATGCAAATATAAAAATATTTTTAATATTAAATACGACGCAAAAATAAATGAGATCTTAAAGCAGAATAGAGGAAGTATAATAACGATGCTTGTTTCATTAACAATTATATGTTGTGGCTAATAAATATTACAAATTTCAATAAAGTAATGTAAAAATCTATTTTACCTTTGGTATTAATGGAATTAAAATAATAAAGACAATAAAACAAAGGGTATTTTAGTATTTAATAGAAATGTATTTTTACTAAAAAGTTATATAGATGAAAATGATCAAATATATACATTTGACTTAGGACGGTGAGAGTATGTAAAATAAATTGTGTTATTTAATTTGACTCAGGACGGTGAGAGTATGTAAAATAAATTGTGTTATTTAAAATTTTAGAAAATCAGCCTTTATGTTCGGATTTTAGTTCCACCTCTGGTTGGCGGTGACATGTACTATGATCCACTGGAACTGAAAGTGTATAATCAAGATAGTTCGAATTTTCGATAAGTATGCTACGAAACAATAATAAGGATCTCTATTGGACATACCAGTAATAATCTGACAAAGCAAACAATAGAAATTAAACGAATGAAGAAGAAAAATTGAGAGTATTATGTAATTTATGTATTTGTATTATATTTTGAAATAGAAATATTAAATTCTAAAATAAATGTGAGAGAAAAAAAATACATTATGTTTTAAAATAATGTAAAAAAATTAAATTATAATTTAGAAAAATGAGTGATTTATTTTTCTCTTTCTTTCGTCATAATTAATTTTAAAAATTGTTATTTTTTAACAGTTAATATTAAAAATTACTTTCATGAATAATAATTATTTTAATAACTACATTAATTATAACATACATTTCAATAAATTTTGAAAATAAATCTTATTTATAAAAATTATACAATAGACCCTTATTTCGTAGGCCCTGGCGGGGAACTATGCGGAAGGAGGAGACGAATTCTGATTAAAGCGGAGGCAAAACAGGTGGGGTGTGTTCTTTTTGTTTTTCAAGTCAATATATTTAAATATATATATATATATATATTAAATACATTTATTATTTTTATATTACATATAAATTTATCATTACAAAGTTTTAATTTTTATAATGTTGATAAAATATTAAATAAAATTATATTTGGTTTACTTTATTTAATTACATGATATAATTATTTTTTTACCCAAAATATCCTTCTTAATTTTATTTTAAATTATATAATTATTTCATACATTTTTTTCTTTTTCAACATATAACAATATAGTATAATTTATTTGTGACACTATCATAATAGATATAATTTGATATTATATTTTTAATTATTTATTAAATATATTTAAGTTTAATACAAAATTATAAATTAGTGTTAGAAATACTTCCTCTGTTCATTTTTTATTTTTCATTTTCGTCCGTCCCAAAACACGGTTATCATTTTCTAATTTAGTAATTGTACTACCTACATAACATAATAAATATCCTTCCAACTTACACTATATCACACAAAATGCCATTACTTTTATATTACACAATACTAATAGGGGCATTTTTGTCATTTTTTACTGCAACACATTATAATACTAGTATTTAAAAATGTACGTGCAAAAAGTAAACGACGACCTTACACCGGAACGGAGGGAGTACTATATTTTATTCTTATTGCTTAGGAACGAATAATTTAGACATTTCATGAACTAATACTAGGGGAAGAATTAGATTAATTATCTTCCAAATTCATATTAATGTCTCGAATTTATAGTTATATTGGATCATAATACATTAAAGTAAATATTAAATTAAGCCAAACATAATAATATTATCTACTATAATCTCATATAGTAAACAACTATTTACGTATTATTTATATGACAATTAGGGCCAATCAATCGTACCGTAATCTTTCTTATGTTACTGAATAAAAATATACTCCGATTGAAATATACATTAAAAACTAAAGTAAAACTAATTGAACTTTGTTGTTTTTATAATTTTTCATTTATTTACTCTCGTGATATTTAATAAAAATACACTGTATTTTTTGAAAAAATATAAATCAAAATAGTATTTGAATTATTAAACTTGAAATTCAAACCACAATTAAAAGTTCAAAGATAACACAGACCTTGTCTCCCATGATCTGATACTCCTTTCATTTATGTTCTTTATTTAAATTTGGAAGCTAATCCCTCATTAGCTAAAATTCAACCCTCCATTGGTTTGAATTTTGGGCCTGGAATTAAAAACTGTCGGATTTACCCAGGGTGTGTTTGTCTCGAGATTGAATTTTAAATATATTATTCTATCATATTTTTTTCCCCAAAATCATCGAATCAAACATCTATTTTTTTATTTTTTATATTATACTAAAAATCAATTTTACATCGTATCAACACCTACACCTATTTATATTAGGTCATACAACTATTCAAATATAAAAATTTTACTATTCAAATTCCAACTCAAAATCCAAACCCCCAAACAAACACACCCCTAGAAAAAAATTAATCGGATAGTGGTAAGAATGAAATGATAAATTAAGAGTTGATGGCATTATAGAAAAAATGAATGAAAAAATAAATAAAATAGATTAGATTAGAGGTAAGAAAAGCTGGTCATACAGAGAGATTCCAGATATCATCTCTCCAGAGTTATTCCTTTCTTCGAGTATATCAACCTATGGGAATGAATAATGCATGCACCTACATTGGCGGCATTAGTCAATTTTTTTTTTAAATATTATTATTATTATTATTATTATTATTATTATTGTACGGAAATATTTCTGATGTTTTTAACTGCTTGTAATAATATTAAAACTAGGCAGAAATAATCATATAGATTAGACTTATAAAAAAAGTGACCTAATACGCATAGAAATATGGACTATTTCTATTTATTTTTGGGTAAAATCTCAAAGACACACTACTTTACAAATCACACCAACAGAATAAACCATTTTAGATAGTTTTAAATGACCTACTCAATTGAAAATGTATTGACAAAATTCAAACTACTAACCTTACCATACCACACCAACTTACAGGACCTATTCATAGAAAGTGTTGAACGATGCAAATGTTGTCTTCTTTAAAAATGTATGTGATAAATTATTATATTCAGAATTTGGATAAAGTTTAAAAGAATAGATAGGATTGTTCTATCAATAATTTGCTATTTCCTTTCTTAGACAATTTTTTTCTAAATTTAATGAGGTACATTCAGGGAGGATAAAATATGCTGAAATAAAATTTATTTATTCATAAAGTTCATTTGCAATAATATAAAATGGTCAAATTAAAATGAACTTATAAGGACTAGTAGATATGAAAACAATAAACTTTCAAATAGAGTAGAGGATAGTAAGTACCTATAATAGCACCAAACACATAGGGAAATGCAAAGACCCTGTGGAGGATCTATTGCTTCTACCTTGGTATAAAATGGAAAGGGTGAGGGAGGGTTCAATTTGTTACCTCCATGGATATAGGCCATTTCTTTTTGGGTGCAACATGAGGAATTTTCAAGAGATCACTCATTCTAGTATTACTTTTATCTAAACACTCGACTTCAAAATTTTGATAAAATTCAATGTGTTAAAGCTACTGTAGGTTATGCAAAGGTGAGGCGTATTGAGCTGATTCAAATTTCAGAGGTGAAAGATGAGTTAGAGAAATCGTTATAGGAGCTCATGTTAAGAGTGAATGAGGAGGCTGCAAAAGTTAGAGACTCATAGTTCATGAACAAGTTTTCACCAATACCAACTCATCTAACATGAATTCCCGCGATATACAACAAGATTACACCCTTTAAACTACGAAGAATTACAGAAATAGGACGCAAATTTATTTCCAATTGATGATGAATATTGCTATTTTTTTCAAGCCATCAGTTTTTTATAGCATCAAACATGGAATGTCGCCGTGCATTTATGTTTTTCCGCATACACCTATTGACAAAGTGAAGATTTCCTACACAGTTTTAGTTATTGTGACGGTGTTTGTTATGAAATAGTAGATATGGCAAGTGGACATTTTATTGCAAATATCATAGTCATAAATAACAGAGTAAGTCATTCACCACTGATTTGCTAGTTATTGGCAGCTACAAATCTTGTCATGTCAGCAACTAGATCTTCCATTAACCATCTCAGAATTGTTAATTGCAAAGAAATCAAAGGCAGGAACAAAGAAGCAGAATTCACAATGAAAACATAAAATAAAGAAAAATAACTTAGACAAAGAGGGATAAAGATGTGTTTAATGTGATTGAAGGGAGCTTGAAGAAGAAATGGCTGGGCTTTTCTGGCAAAATTTCAAACTTTAGAAAGCAGTTCTCAACAACACTTATTCTCACACTTTTAACATATATAGCAAAAATTCTTTATTCACTGTAGTCATGACTCTAAAACATTTCATTACTTCCTTTCCAATGCACTTCTTTATTCCTCTTTGTTGCTTATCCTCGGAAAATCGACCTCGCATAATATTCATGCTAATTTCACAATACAAACATATCAAACAAATAAAATGAAATAAAGGATTTCTAGAGAGTTTGGCAGCAAAAAGTATTCCATGGTTTCAAAGTTAGAAGGAAAAATAATAAGAAGACAGATCTAAAATTTCTGGCAAAAAAATCATTATATAACACTTGAATCATTTAGAATTTAAAAAAAAAAAGGATAAACAAAGGAACTGATTCACCAAAACAAGAACTTATTTTCCTTCAGGTGTATTCTCACATCTAAGCCTATAACCTAGCTTTTTTAGGCTTTAAACCAATAAGGCAAAAAGAACATAACTGCAAGAAGAAAACTGGAATCAACTTTATGCATTGGCTGATTACAGTAAACTGTCAATCACAGAAATTCTTTGTAACCTCTACTTAAACAAATATTGATCCGAATAAGAAATCATTAAGAAACTTGTTCAGAGGATTTGTGTTAAAACACATAGGGTAGCCTGATAGATTCTCTGAAAAGAGGCAATCTGCTACTTTTTTTCTTCAATAATCAGCCATCCAATCAAAATATTTATATAAAGCCTTGTGGACAAGGACCAAAAATATACAAAGGCAATGGTCATTAGTTCCAACTAATAAGAGTCATGATATCCCTAGTTGATGTCTTACATATTATTGCTGCAATCATCCCCCTGTATGTTGCCATGATAGCAGCCTATCTATCCATTAAATGGTGGAAAATTTTTACACCAGAACAATGCGCAGGCATCAACAAGTTTGTTGCAAATTTTGCGATTCCCCTTCTATCCTTCAAGGTGATATCATCAAACAATCCCTACAAAATGAACCTGAAACTTGTTTCCGCCGATATACTTCAGAAACTTCTTGCTTTCATCATATTGGTGGTAATTACCAAAATAAAGTCCAGAGGACACCTAAGTTGGGTCATAACAGGCCTTTCCTTGTCAACATTGCCTAATACATTAATCCTAGGAATCCCACTACTTCAGGCTATGTATGGGAAGGAAGCAGCTAATCTCCTGGCTCAGATAGTTGTGTTACAAAGTGTAATTTGGTACAACCTACTTCTAATTCTTTTTGAAATAGATGCTGTGATGGAATCCATTGAAGTGACACCACCAGCAGAAGTAACAGGTATGCAAAGATAATATCTTCAGATGATTCTTTAATTTTATACATCAGTAGCTTCTACAGACGTGTTCCTCCCATTAAATCTGAAGAGACTATGTATCATTTCATTGCTTAAGCTCTCTATAATTTTTACGTGTCATGTTAGGTTTTGAGTTTGCTATTGTCACTACAACATAATTTTTGAGGCATCACATCTGACTCATACTATAAATCCATCCCTTTCCGATAATCTTTATTTTAGCTAGCTACACAACATCATTAACTCCAGTGATCTCAGGATAGTATCTACTATAGAGCAAAAACAATGTATGGTATATCCCGCATTCAACCATTATTGTTTTACCAAGAATATTCAATTAGTGATGGTCTTGTCACAGACTAACCCCCTTCATAACCCTGCGTCCCTGAACACTTAGCTCTGCACTCTGCAGTTTCAAAACTTTGCATCAAAATGTTAAAAAGTTAGAACCTTCCTAGAAACTGCCTGGAACATTGCATGCTTTCCTGCATCCCCCAATGTTTCAAGTATGCTCTCTCCACAAAAAGCACATTTTCTCAATTAGGAGAAACATTAAAAAAAACAACCATGCACACTCATGACTCAACTTTTCTTCTTCACTTTCAATGTTAAGATGTGAACTGAAATGCTATAAGAATAACAAAAACATGTTTCATTATTCCACTATTTTCCTATTTTTCTTTAAATCTTGCAATTATGTTCAGAATGATAATTTCTCTTTGAAGGAGATTCAGAAGACCCTGAAGGACCAGAACAAGTAGATGCAGACAAAGAAAATGGAAGAACTAACTATCAGAGGAAAAACAACTTTAGAAGTATTCTTTTGTCCGTAGGAAAAAAGCTTATCCGAAACCCCAACACTCATGCCACTCTGATAGGCCTTATATGGGCAAGCATACACTACAGGTAATAAGAATGCTGTATCTTTATATAGCCTGGTCAGTATTTGGTTCTGAGCAACTAGATGCACTAAATACAATATACTCACAACTTACCGCAGCTTAATAAAAGATTCTCTGAGATGTCGTAAGAATATAACACAGGAATACCAAGCATTGGCATAAACTCGGTGTTGAGCTTTACATTAAAAAATACATACTCCCAGATGAATTATCGAAATAAATGACATCACACCTGTGGTTGAGTTTTGACTATCATTTTGCCCAGTGAGTGATGAAAAAGAAACAACTGGTTTGTTCTTAAGACTAGAAACTGGATCCCGGCTGTAGATTCAGTCATGCAGCACAAAGTAAAACTAATACCATAATTGGGATGTTTTCTTTAAATTAAAAAAAATTTGCACCAAAGAATCAGGATGCCTGGTATTAACTATTTTTTTTGGCAAAGTATAACAGATGAATCATGACTCTAAAATGAATGCAGGTGGTCAGTAAACTTTCCAAAAGTAGTTCAAAATTCAGTAGGGCTGCTGTCTGATGGAGGGCTTGGAATGGCTATGTTCAGCTTAGGTAAGTTTTGAAGCTGTTCAGATCCATTGCACGTCTAGTGAAAGGATACCATTTGCTTTCGTTTATTGCTTGATAGGCCTCTTCATGGCATCGCAAGCCAGAGTGATTGCCTGTGGTACCCGAAAAGCATTATTAGCCATGGCCATGAAATTTATAGCCGGACCATCCCTCATGGCAGTGCCCTCCATCTCACTTGGACTAAGAGGAACTCTGCTCAAAGTGGCAATTGTGCAGGCAATAAGGGGCATACTGTTTCCTTTGTGACAGTCATTTTACCTTATATTTCACTAACCAAATACTATTTATAAGTTTTATGCAGGCAGCTCTGCCTCAGGGGATAGTTCCATTTGTATTTGCCAAGGAGTATAATCTACATCCAGACATACTGAGCACAGGGTAAATTAATACTTTTAGTAATATTAACAACTAATCATATACATCTAAACTGTTACTGTTTCCTGTATGTAGGGTTATCTTTGGTTTGCTCATAGCAGTACCAATTGGATTAGCATTCTACTTCCTTGTGGATTTGTAAAGGTATAGATGGCAACATATACAAGTATTTGAAGTGAATGTAAGAAAAAGTAGCTAAGTGCCATAAATAAGAAACTCTATTTCTGTAAGTAACTATTTTTTGTTGATTATTGCAATATAGGTTCTAGGTTGATTAACACCAAGACAAATCTGCACACACAAAACAAAGCTTAAATAAGAAACTTTATTGAAGAAAAGGTAGTGATTTAAAAGAAAAAATGTGACCTGGAAATGCTTGATTAAAGGATTGGGATGCTGTAATCATTCCAGGAGTTTCAACATCAAACCCTTCTCAACTTTGTCCTCTTGACAGATTGTTTTACTATACACCTATATTTTATAGAAATAAATTGTAAATATGTGTTTGAACACAGTTTCATTAATTTCATAAAATGGAAGATCATTCTTCGATCAAATTTATAAAAATTTATTCAAGAGCCCAACTTTATGAAAACATAGAATTCTGAAGATATGCAATACATTTAATGGTTAAAGTAATTTAGTCAAAGTTAGTAAGAAGCACAGAAGCCTAATGATCATATAGTACTAAGATTGGAAAAGCAGAGTGTTGTAAACCATAAACAACTAATTCTCCCTAATGATAGCAGCCCCATTTACCAGAACATGTTTATGATGAAAGTAGCATTTCAGGAAGCAACAGATTATCAATTTTAATAGCTACTTATAGTCAACGATGCTAAGTTAAAGAATCAAGAAAGATCTTCTCATATATATACAAATACCTGTCCATTCATAAACCATAACGAAACACTACGAGCTACTGCGGAACTGTACGTCACAGAATTTCCATTACCAGTCAATCTAATCGGCCGCAATTGTGAAACCCAACTTCATGCTTCCAAAAAATATCTCAAGTGAAAATTTCAGTCAGCACAACACACAAATTCCTTAGAAAAACTCACCATTAAGTTCATCCGGTCACAAACAAACGGCAATCTGCAAAAACATGTTGCGCCGTAACGATCAAGGAACAACATAGCACGCAGGCGCAGCAAATGCCAAATAGCGCGTCTAGAACACAGCAAAGATGGGATCATTCTCCTGAGACAAGGTGCAGGGTACCGTATAACTACACAGAACACCATGCGTAATCTGTAGAACCTCACCGACGGCCATGGTCTCGAATTGCAGAGCACCGTCCAAAAACGATTACTGAGCTTTTCACTCTTTTAAACTAAAAGCGTGTTAGATATATAACCTATTTATTTTATTTTTTTTTTAAAAAAAAGATTAAACGTTAAGACTGAACAGTGTTTTGTGAATCAGGTTTTCTTGAGAAGCAAAACCACCCACCTGAGATAACTAATGAAATAAGCACCGCCACGTGTTTTTTAAAATTCCCAAAATGCCCATCGAGGCAGCTCTCCACCGCATTAAATCAACGGTTCACAAGCGATGAGTGCCCACCAGGATCACACCAACGGACCAGATTATCTGAAAGATGCCCTTAAAAAATGAAGCAGGTGAACTAGGGCTTTGGCAGTATTAATGCCACCGAGCCATCGTTCGTGCATTTCTCTAACTTTATACAATTTGGTTTCTCAGCTGTAGGCTTAACAAAGACATGGGGAAGGGTCCTGGGCTCTACTCCGAAATCGGAAAGAGAGCTCGAGGTTTTTGTTTTTGCTCCAGCTTGCTTGTCTGCTTCGTAATCAACATAATATATTGGATTATTATATGTTGCTGCTATTACATTTTCTGCTTTTGATTTTGTTTTTTGTGCTGATTCTTTCTGCTTCCGTGATTGTGCTTGTGGATTTAGATCTTCTTTATAAGGATTATCAGGGCGACCAGAAGTTTACAGTCACCACCTACTCTCCTAGTGGAGTTGTAAGTAATTTTTGCTGTATTTTTATGGATCTGATTTTCTTGTATTTTCCTTGCTGACATTGCGATCGCAGTTTCATATTTGAACGTATTTATGATGTGTTTAGCTGGATTGAGGGTGACTGCATTTAGTTTTTTCTTTTAATTCCTTTTCATGTTATGGAGGAAGTCTGAACCTGGTAAGGTTCCATGTTTATCTTTAACGCAGTTGAATTACGTGTATTGCTGACTAAATCTCTAAGGTAAGTCTCGAAAGTAAGAATTTAGAAGAATTTAGAACAAATGTTTCTGTTTTCTAAACAGTTTGTTGCGCATTTAGTATCAAATGTTTCTGTTTTCTATACATTTTGTTGTGCATTTAGCGTTTGAGCGACCTGTGTATGGTTTATCATTACAGACAAATGTTCATTTATCTACAATACATAAAATAATGTGATTGGGATTGAAATTTTTAAAGCTTCCATTCATTAATTAATTCCCTGGTAGTGTGTTCCTAGAAGCCTAATACAATTCTGATTTTGTTAGGAAATTTGTGTAGTTTGTTGATTCAGGGAGGTAAATGTCGGTTCCTTCTGATTTCAAATTTTGAGTATAGCCTCTTACACAAACGAAATAGCTTTACAATAGGTTATATATCCACCTTTAAACTTTAAAAGGGATTCTTTTGTTTTTTAAAATTTGTGGCCGTTAACATTCATTATAATGTTTTAGTAACTTGAGATACTCTTATTTATAGTTCTGTTATATGCCATCTGTTTTGATGTATGTTTTTCCCCCTTTGGCTGCAGGTTCTTACTTCAACAGGAACTAAGAAAGATGACCTGTTTCTGGCTGATGTCAATGTGCAGCTCAAACAAAAGAATATCACCACTGATATTAAAGTGGACACAAGCTCTAATGTACGGTCTCTACCTCTCATCTTGTGGATTAGGTTCTGCAATATGCTTAGTTTTGATATATGTACATGTATGTCATGGCCGCCAAGAAGTATTAGACAATATTCTTTTATTTTATGTTATTGCTCTACACTGTTTCTTACAAATGTTAAATATTGGATAATTTGATAATGGTTTGTTGTATTATTTCTCTTTTTATAACTAATCGATTTCTTACGCCTGCGCTAGCTCTTTACTACTGTAACAATTGATGAGCCTGCTCCTGGACTGAAGACAATTCTGACCTTCAAAGTTCCCGATCAACGGTCTGGAAAGGTAATTAAATTTATTCCGCTTTCATGCCCAGCTGATTGTGGCCCTTGTTTGAATATTCTTCTCACTGATCACTGTAGTTAGAACTTCGATACTTGCATGACTATGCCGGAATATCCTCAAGCATCGGGTTGACACCTAACCCTGTCGTTAACTTCTCTGGTGTTCTGGGAAACAACAAATTTGCTGTGGGAAGTGATGTGGCATTCGACACTAAGGAAGGTGCATTTACCAAATACAACTTCGGAGCTAGCTTTACCAATACCGATCTTATTGCTGCTTTGTCTGTGTAAGTGCACTCCTAACCTTAAATGTTCGAATAAATGTTTTCTTGGGCATGTTTATCCTAAGTTCATCGACCGTTTTTACTCTCTTTAGGAATGATAAGGGCAACACGTTGAGCGCATCGTACTACCAATTGGTGAAACCTCTAACCAATACTGCAGTGGGTGCCGAGGCGACGCATAGCTTCACAAGCAATGAGAACACGCTGACCATTGGCACACAATATTCGCTCGACCCGTTAACCACTGTGAAGGCCCGGATGAACAACTCCGGCAAGGCTAATGCTCTCCTCCAGCACGAATGGCGTCCTAAGTCCCTCATCACTCTGTCAGCCGAGGTCGACACCAAGTCCATCGACAAGAATGCCAAGTTTGGGTTGGCTCTGGCTCTCAAACCATGAGCGGTGGAAGTCTGTAGCTGGCAAATTCTAGATGCTTTTTGGGCTTATTTTGATTTCTCATAACTCACATTTTTATCATTCATTCCATTGTGGCTTCTGATTTCAAGAGTGTCTTTTTTGTTAAATTTGATTTTAAGCATTGCATGTGTTTTTGCCCATTTATTATACTACTTAAATAGCATTTACCTCCACGAATCACGATGGATGTTACAAAAGTTATTACTATTAACCTTCCTTGCGTGAATGCGACTAGTAAATAAGAAAGCAAATACGACTGCATATTTTAATTATTGATAATGTTTAAAAAAAGAAAATGGAAATAAAAGCAGATATACGATATTTTTCCGTATTAGGGCCTAATCACAAATTGATTCTCTGTGCACCGACTTTTCGTATCACCGTTTATAATTGAGGCAAGTTGGATTGATGCGGTTAAATAAATAGCAGTGGAAGTTTCATCCGAGCTCGTCTCGTCTGGTAGACTCGTAGTTCGTGTTCTTTTCAGACGACAAACCCCAATAATCTCTAGGTATTGTCTCTCTCTCTTGTGCCTGTGCTTAGTTTTGTGATTTTTCTTAATTTTGTTGTTGCAGAGTACTTCTACATTTGTTTTGTGCTTTGTATTTTAGAAATTTAGGGCTTGTTGCTGTTTTATTTTATTATTATTATTTTTTTGGCTATTTATGTTTCTGATTATATTTTGAATACAGGAGAACAATCTGATATTTTGATCAAGTAGGTGGATTTCGGAAATTTTTATGAGCTAGTGTTGGTTAATGTTGTAGTATATTACTTTAACCGAACGACTGGTTTGATGTTCTGGCAGTGGTATGAAATTGCGTAAAATAATAACGTACTTGTGATTTTCGTCTTGGATAATTGATTAATTGTAGATCTGTTTTAAACATTGCGTGGTCTGTAATTTCTCCTTTTTAGTTTTCTTGTGTTGATTGTACTTTGTTAATTACCAAGGTTGAGTTTCTATTGAACTTCTTTACTTGTAAAATTGAAAGCATATAGCTAAGGGAGGAGGAAGTATATTCCTGTTGATGGCTGAGCCTGTAATTTCTCGTTTTTAGTTCCTCGTGTTGCTTGTACTTTGTTAATTACAAGCTTGAGTTTTTATTGACCTTCTGCACTTGTGAAATTGAAAGCATAGCTAAATGGAAGGCCCCAGAAACAGTTTTCTGCCAGAGGACGTGATTGTGGATATTCTGTTGAGGTTGCCTGTGAAGACACTGTCGCAGTTCAAGTGCGTTTGCAAGCATTGGTGCTCTATCATTGGAAGTTCAAGTTTTGTAAACAGTCATCTTACCCGGGAGCATAATCAAGACCGCCTACTTGTTCGACATTACAAACCAAGGGAGGGGGACAATGCATATGCTTTATATTTAGATGATACCTTATCTGCATATGAAGAGCCTGATTACCTGCAGATTCCTACATCTGTTTCATCTCTGATGGGACCCTTGAATGGTATATTCTGTCTGATTGGTATGATGGGACGAATTGCTTTAATGAACCCGGCCTTGAGACAATTTAGGCCTCTCCCATCAGTTCCTCCGAATGTCCAACCTCATCTAACCACTTATGATGATTTGCTAGGATTTGGAATGGACCCAAATAATGGAGATTTCAAGGTAGTTTTAATTCAATACTTTTGGAATGAAGATACGGATGTCCCACATTTTCCTTCTCAGGTTTCTGTTTACAGTTCATCTATGGATTCATGGAAACAGTTTGAGAATGCGGATTTGGTCAATTCAACTCGATATGCATTTCGTTCTCTGTGTAACACATACTTGAATGGAGTTTATTATTGGCTGACAGAGTTCAATGAGACTGATGTTGCTATCTTGGCATTTGACATGAGCACTGAGAAGTTTCAAGAAATACAAGTGCCAGATTGTATCAAATCTAAAGAGGGGGACCTTGCTTTATATCAAGATTCAATAGCTTTACTATCATGTGATCTAGACAAGGAGTTTGACAAGTGTGTCGATATATGGGTAATGGACAAGGATGAATGCTGGACCAAATATTTCACAGTAGGCCCTTTTCAAGAGATCAAATGGCCCCTTGGTTTCTGGAAGAACAATGAGCTCTTGTTAGAAACAGGAAGTTCACTTTTGACACTGTACGATGTCTTCGCCCGGAGAATTAGAACTGTTGAATCTCTAAGAAAAGAGAATGGTTTCTTCATCTACTGGATTTTTACTTACAAGGAAAGTCTCGTGTCAATTAAAGGAGACGGGAACAAGTGCAAGCTTTGGGACGCGTCTTCAGAAATTGTGAAGGATTTCTTCAAGTCATCGTGAAATGTACCACTAAATGAAAAAAAAAATGCATATATATATATACATATATGTTCTTGCCTGAAGTCCGTTTTCTAACTGTATAAATTTGTTCAGATGCAGCATTTAATGGAAAAGCTAGCAAAAGGTATGCAAACCCTCTAAAAAGGTTTGCTGGCTCAACTTCCTTAATCGTTACAGCTCAAACACTTAATCTGATCTTCGAAACATGCAGTTGAGATAACTCTTTTATCGGCTAATTCTTAGGATCTTGGTGAATATTGGCATGAATTTCCTGTCTTGCACCCCTCTATTGTTCTTTTTAAGTATAGTTTCTTGTTTCCCCCAACATTAGGAGATGCTTTTGTCTTGAATACTCATAGCCATTGAATCTTCTGCTTCACTGTTGCAATTAAGTATGGCTCTTTTTATGCCCCCTAATTTATTCAGGTGGCATTTTCTTTTAGTCTATGACTGCCTTGTTTTTACTGTGCAGTGATTCCGGGGGAATGTCATCATCAACCATCATGTTAATAGTAAAATTTGGGTTGAAGGGTTGTCTCTGAGGTTGGAAGAAATTTCTGTCCTGCGGTGGAAATCTTTTCAACATGAGTTTCCGGGGCTGGTTTTAATGTTTGTAGTGCAAATTTACCATGAGGTTCATAATACCATCTCTCTCTTACTTTTGCTTTCATTACTTTTACTTTTTGCACTGTCTATAATTTTGATAGTTGTCTAACAATTTTTTTGATGTTTTTTTTAAAAAAAAAAATTATGAATGATATTTAGTGGTGCAGAAAATTGTGTATAAATAAATAAAATTGCAAAAATTTTGTGAAGGCCAAAATTAAAAAGTAAAGTGTTGGGATGAGGGAATATGTTTGGTAGAAGATATTGTTGGCTTATAAATGCATGAGTTGAGCTTGGAACTTATCAGTTCTAGGCAGTTGGAGTATTCATTTAAATAAATTAATATTAACTACTTTAGCTTCTACTTTTAAAATTAAATAAATAATATTTTAATTTAATTTAAAATTAATTTAATATGTATTCAATACGTTTAATAGTAAGCAAACTAAACTCTTATTCCTGTAATTTTCGAGGAGTACATAGTAATGATATAGATCAACTTAATATTGAATCATAGCAATTTAGCTGCATTTCGTTTTCCAATTTTAAAAATGATGGTGGAAAATTGGATGCAGGTTCCATGGCCTTCTTTTTTTTCTTTATATATATATTAAATAAAATAGTATATTTTTTAATATTTTATATTATTATTTTAAATCACATCAATTTATATGAGGTTAAACGTCTATTTAATTGCAATTGTTATTATTCCTAATTTAAATTCAACTCTCAATCTCATTATTTCTAATTTAAATTAAACTTTGGATTTTGTTGGAGTTTTAAAATCTGATTTATTCAATCCAGATTTGGAGATATTTAATCAAGAAAATCCTTAGATATTCAATTCAGACTTTTAAATAAAAGTAGATTTATAACAATTATAAAAAATTTGTACATTAAAAACTCTGACATAAAGAGAGATTTTGATGAATTTTTAAAATTATTTATTATTATTATTATTATTATTCTTTTCTTCTTCTTGTTGATAATATATAAGTGATAAAAGAATATGATAATATTTATTAATATTATTTTAAATAGTTAATAAAAAAAATAATTTAAAAATAAAATATATTAATAAATTATTATCAATTTTTTTTGAAAAATATGTATTTTTATATTATAAATATAATATTTGAAAATTAATATTATCATAATAAATATTACCGTTTTTTTATATTATTGAATACACTGTGTTGTTGGTAAAGTTAACTAAATATATATATTTTCTTTGTTGAAACTTTAGTTATATTTATGTACTTTTTACTTTTAAATTTTAATGCAAATTTGTAAATGCAGTTTTTTATTTTTTGTATGATTGTTTTTTGAAATATTTTGAATGAATTTTTTTAAAGTATAAAAAATTGTGCATATAATATAAAAAATAATGAATGTGTATGATATATTAATTTTTTAATCTATATATTTTTTTTTTTACAAAATTTATACACATAAGAATAATAATAATAACAAATAGAAAATATAAAAATAAATTGATATATTGAATGATAATATAATAAAAAATATAATATACAAAATAGTAGCATTATATATGTTACAATATTTCTATACTATTAATAATTATGTATTGTTTATTAATATTACCTATATTTTATCAAATATAATAATATATAGTAAATATATTATATTTAAAATTTGTGTAAATTTGTGTTTACATGAGTTTATATAATTATATAAATCACTAAAAAAATATTTCATAATTCTACCAAATTCATAAATCCGTAAAAAAAAAATAAAAAAATAAAAAAATAAAAAATCAATCAAATTTACAAGAATCCATTTAAATTAATTAATAAAATCCATCAAACTACTCTATAGGCTTTCTAAATCTACATAAATCCATAAAATATTTAAAATTCAAAAAAATCAAATAAAATAAACAACGGTGTCAGTTATGTGCTGATTGTGATTAGTAAGTACCCTGTACGAGCTATTGATAATAACAATAGACAATACACATAAGTTGTGTTTGTTTGGAATTTAGATTTTGAATTTGTGTTTTAAATAATAAAAATTTTGAATCGAAATAGATCAGATATAAAAAAAATATTTATATGATATTTTGAATGTAAAATTAACTGTTAATATAAAAATTAAAAATTAATTATTTGATTTGATATTTTTAATTTTTTTTAATAAATAATAATTTTTTATTTTTCTTTCTTTTTTCCCCCTATAATCCTTCAAACAAACACACTATTAATCTCAAAAAGAATTATTTAATAGTACGGAGGTGAACTCGTAAGCGGCCTAATTTGTATATTGGTTCATGAAAATTTAAAAAAATAAAAAATAAAAAATAAAATAAAATGTCATATGTCATATGCAACTATGCAAGACTAACGTTGCATAACCTTTCCTCCTCCAAGCATGCTTAGAATTTGTTTAGCTACCTCAAAGAATTATATTTCTAAAAATATATATTATACTTTTTTCCATATCTATATATTTATTTGTTTTTTCACGAAATTTTAGAAATATTAGTATTATATTAAGATAAAGGACGTGTTTGACAATTAGTTGATAGCGGTTAGCTGTTAGCTGATTCAATTAGCTGGTTTCACTAGCTGATTCGATTAGCTGTTTGTATTAAAATGTTTGGTAAAATAACTGTTTGACATTAACTGTTTATACGTAAAATGACAATTTAGGACAATTCTATTTTATTCTTATTTCTAGTATATTCAATTATGTTCGTTTGAGTTTAAAATGCTTAAAATTTTTTGTTATTAGTTATTGAAAATTGTAAAAGTGTTATAAAAGTATTTATTTTTATTACAGTTAGATTTAAAAAATAATATATTTTTTATTAAAATATATAAATAGTTTTTTTTATTGAAAATGATGTAAAATATAAAATAATAAATTTTTCGTGTATATATTTATTATGTTAGTTATCGATTAGTTCATTATATTTATAATTTTCAATAAATTTAATTTATTTAATTTATTTTTAGTATAAAATTTATATGATGTAATTTTAATAAAAATAAATAAATTATTAATATTTATATTTTTTATTTTATGTTTATTTTAATAAATTTATATTTTACAATTAAAATAACTTTTATATAAAAATTAATTATTTTAAATTTATAAAAATAAAACTATAATATAATAAAATATTCTAATATAATTAATAAATAATCAAAATATATTTATTTGTGTAAAATGTATAATAAATTTTTAAGGGCATATAAGGAATAAAAAATTTTTTTATTTCAAAACGCTGGGTAAGTTAGCTTTTCAGAAATTAGCTTTTTGGATCCAAAAAGCTATTCCAAAAAGCTAATTTACCAAACACCTAAATTAGTTTTTTGAATGGTCAAACAACTAAAAACTGTTCAATAGCTAAAAGCTTTTCAAAAAGCTATTTTTCAAACACCCCCAAAGTAAAAATAAAGGTAAAAAAACTAAATTAACCCTATTAGTATTGTAGATATAAATGTAATGACATTTGTGTAATATATTGTAAATTGGAAGGATATTTGTAATGTTAGATAGATAGTACAATTACTAAAAAAAATGAAATAGATACTTTATTATGTAACAGAACAAAATAGCAAAATGAATAAATTATTAAGGGACAGAGTAGTATATGATACTCCCTCCATCCCACATAATTTATCCATATTTTCTATTTTCGTCCGTCACAGTCCTTTCCTTTTTTGGAAAATTAATTATACATTTTAATCATATTGCAAAATTTAAAATTTAAAATTTTTTAATCTTAATTAAACTATTTAATTATTTTAATTTTAATTTATAATTATTTTATTAAATAATAATATTTTTATTAATATATTTCTTAATTACTTACTAATTATACTACACCACCACCCATATAATGGAACGGAGGGAGTATTTGTTTTCGTTAATAAACTATATAAGTAAACCCACAATTACTTTTCTCCGGTGTTTAAACACTCGTGTCTGTATTTACTTACTTTCATTTAATATTATTTGGCTTAAACAACAAAGTAGTTACATAGGCATTGAACACCAAGTAAATCTGAACCACTAATTTAACTTATCCCAAACAACGAACGGTGGAGATTCGAGATTCATCTGGCGCTCTGCTCCCGGAAGCTGCCGCCAATACTAACACCAACCCAAACCCATTCTTGTCCATGAAGATTTTGGAAGAAAAAACACAGATTAACATTTTAAAATTCCAACATCATACAGAGACAAAGATCTGAACTTGTCTAATCTCTGGATCAAGCAAGATGATGACAATTACCTTAAACTAATGTTTACTCAATCCGAATAGCAAAAACCCGACGATCATCATGATGATGATGATTACCAATTTTATTTTCTTTTCTTTTCAATTAATTAATTAATTAAATTGAAAGCCAGCACAGGCGAAGTTCCCAGTTCAGACCAAATTCCCAACAGCATCTCCCCCGCCTCCTACCCGACGCGAATTCCTCAACCATCAATTCCACGCCTTCAATCTGTTACTCAATTGCGGATTTCAGATAACTTCATTTCAATTTCTTGTCCAATTCAGGAACCCTAATTTTTTTCGATTTGGGAATTTTTTGATGAAGAAGCTCAAGAACTACTACCTGCAGTTGAAAAATCCCCAGTCGATGGAACGGAAATGGATCTTCCCTCTGGCCATTGGTTCCGTCGTTTCTCTTTTCCTGCTTTTCTTAACCACTTTGAACTCCCTCGACGGCATGCCGCTCTTCCCGCTCCGCCGCTACTACTACTCCGCCGCCGTCTCCTCCTCCGCCGCCTCCATCTACGTCGAGGCGAAGCTCAGGCCACTCCCGATTTCCGATTTGCCTCCGCCGCCGCGATTGGCATACTTGATTTCTGGATCGGCCGGAGACGGCCCGATGCTCCGCCGCACGCTTGAGGCTCTCTACCATCCGATCAATCAGTACGTCGTGCACCTCGACGCAGAGTCCTCCGCCGATGAGAGGCTCGATCTGTACAATTACGTCACCGGTCACCCCATTTTTCGAAGGTTCGAGAATGTTCGGATGATTACGAAGGCTAATTTGGTTACTTACCGAGGTCCGACTATGGTGACCAACACATTGCACGCAGCTGCCATTTTGTTGAAGGAAGGTGGGATTTGGGATTGGTTCATCAATCTCAGCGCATCAGATTATCCTCTGGTTACTCAAGATGGTAATTGATTATAATTAGTTAATTACAGTTTCTTCTAAGTTCTAACGTAGGGTTTCAAATAAGATTCTGTATCTGATGATTTCTGCAATTTTAATGGCGATGATGATAAAGATCTGCTGCATACGTTCTCATACTTGCCGAGGGATCTTAATTTCATTGATCATACGAGTGACATTGGCTGGAAGGAGTAAGTAGGATTAAATCAAGCTTTTGTTCTTGTCTGTCCCTGTTTCTTACATGTCTTTTAGGTAATACTTATTATGATCATCAAGAATTTGATGTTTCGAAAATGTTCCGTTAGGTTCCAAAGGGCGAAGCCGATCATCATTGATCCGGGATTGTACATGACCAAAAAATCTGATGTGTTTTGGATCACACAACGACGAAGTGTCCCAACTGCATTTAAGCTGTTTACAGGTGTCTCCCTTATCGGCTTTTTTTTTTTTTTTTCGAATGACATGGGAACCCCCTTATAGCCTCTTTTCGTTTATAGGAAATGTCGCCTAAAGTTGTTAAATAAGTCGATTAGCTTTCGAACCAAGCCTGACTTGGTTCGTTAATAGCTCGAGCTCGAGCTATTAATAGAAATAAATGAGCAAAGCTCGAGCTCGAGAATTATTATTTTTGTAAATGAACCGAGCTTGACTTGGGCTCGCGGGTTGCTCAATTGAGCTCGTTAGTAATGATATATTAGTATTATTTTATATATTAAGATAATATATTTATATTTATTAATGAAATTTGAATCTTTTATTACAATAAATAGTGAATAAAATTAATTATATTTACTATTTATAATAATAAAAATATATATTATATGTATGAAATTCGAGTCAAACTCGAGCTTGAGCTCAAGATCGAGCTTGGAATCGAGCCTATCTAGCTAAGCTCGAGCAATCATTTACCTGGAATCTTAAACGAGTCGAGTCAAACTTTTACCGATTGCATATTAGAGTCGAGCTCAAACAATAGATAATCGAACTCACTCAGCTCGTTTAACAATTCTAATGTAGCCTCCATTATTGTTGTTATTTCCGTCTCTTGAGTTGATCAATGCTACGATCTTTTCGCCTGTTCTTATCTGTGTCAACGATTTCTTTAAGCATCTCGATTTCTTGGTGATGTTTTTCTTACAGGATCTGCTTGGATGGCGCTCTCGAGGCCCTTCATCGACTACTGCATATGGGGATGGGACAACCTACCCCGAACGGTCCTAATGTACTATGCGAACTTCTTATCCTCGCCCGAAGGCTACTTCCACACCGTCGTCTGTAACGCTCCCGAGTTTCGCAACACCACGGTGAACAGCGATCTGCATTTCATCTCATGGGACAACCCTCCCAAGCAACATCCTCACTACCTCACTGTCGACGACATGCAAAGAATGGTCGACAGCAATGCCCCGTTCGCTAGAAAGTTCCATCACGACGACCCGGTTCTGGACAGGATCGACGCAGAACTTCTGGGTCGCGGTCAGGGCATGTTAGTTCCCGGTGGATGGTGCGCGGGAAGTCGGGAAAATGGGACCGACCCTTGCTCTGTTGTGGGTAATACGACGGTTCTCGTTCCCGCCGCCGGCGCTAAGCGACTCGAGAATCTCGTAAGCTTTCTTTTGTCGGATACTAACTTCAAACCCCGGCAATGCAAATAGGAAAATCTTGCCGCGGATGGCTAATTTGTCTGAGGTTTCTGTTAGAGGAAAAGGGAAGTCAACGGCATGATCCGAATTGTTGTTATTACAAGAGTACTACCCGGAGTTTATCGGGGTTCCACAATTTTCAGCTCCAAGGTATTACGGTGAAAGTTCACTGATTGTATACTTTGATCCGTTACTGATTCAACCGTTATGTCGACGATAGAATAGCGAGCGATCTGGCCCGTGAAATTTTACGAAACGAGATTTTGTTTATGCGGTCTTATGTTATACTAGGTTGTATCGTCTTCGATGTCTGTTTCTTGTAGCGTAGTTCTACATGATATAGTTACACATACATACATACATACATATATAAATATAAATCAATATCATTGTTTCAAAACAGAGCAACTCCTAAATCAACAGAACTGTTCAAAAATGGTGAGATGGTATCTGAGATCTCATCTCGATTCTATCTAACCAACCAAAAAATGGATGTCAGAGTTAGATCCTTAGTTACCTCGAAGGATAAATCATTAAATCCTGTTGACTTGAATCATGGTGTTCTCAGAAACATCGTAAGGGGCTTAAGTCAGAGGAGAGATGAGGCTTATAATCTTCTTACCAAACTCCATAGAACTAAGAACTCAGAAGCCTCATCTCTCCTGCGACTAAAGTCCCTCTCGTTTTCTGCCATTGGCACACAGACAGACACTCTTCTTACAGTACTGAATAAATTTATAGGTCCCAGATAATACATACTGTTCTTATCTGAGGAAGGCCTTAACTTGGTGGCCATAAATTATTATAATTATTAAACATGTTACTCTATAGTATCCAAAGTTACAGCTGTTTCTGAACTGGCAATTCGATCTCAACCTCAGTTATTTAACTTATTTCCTGCGTCACTGCTCTGACATCATCCTCCTGCATTCACCACACGTATGATATATATATCAAGTGTTGTTAAATTTCGTTGGTTGTGAGAAAATGACAACATGGAAGGGAACGGACGACTAATCTTATTACCTTCCTTAGGACACATAAATGCAAGAATACTGACAGCCAGTCCAGTCCCGGCAGAGAGCCTCGCCGCGCACGAGACTTGGCACTTGCTGTGCGACGCCGCCGCAGCAGCCGAGCAAGTGCCATCTCTCCTGCGAGACGAGTCGCCGCGCCGCGCAGTTTCTCCTTCTCCTTCCACTGCTGCAATGCAAGTTTCTTGATGATCATATCTTTTTGGGACCAAACTTATATAGAATTAAGATGGAGAATAGGACACAGATTCTAGTCAGATTCAAAGCATGTTAGAATTGTCAGATTCACACAGGTTGTTGATATATATATATATATATATACAGTGATGTATGTATTCACATTGGCATATAGTCAATCAACCTGATTTGAAATTTCCAGTCTATGTTGACTAGAATGTGGTGTGACCCTTTGCTTTTTTATTGATTCATTACTTGAATCTGAATTGGAATGTTCAATTCCCAAATGTGAATTCCAAACACATGCATACATCTTGAAAATTCTTTTAATGTTTAATTTTATCACATAGCCTTATTTTATTACAGGATTATTATGTTGCTTTTTATGGATTCAAATTATTTCTTTGTTCACAATGTGCTTCTTTTTGTGAAATATTATGCTTGATGATATGATCTATAATTTGATACATTTGAATATTTTGTGAATTTGTGGAAAGTTTTCAAGCTTAAGAAAAGGGAATTACCCTTAATTAATTATAGACCAACGCAGAAAACGTTGGACAGAAAGAGGAACTAATTGAAAAGCAGTGTCAAAAGTAAGAGAAAAGGTATGCATTGAATCGTGTCAAACAAATGTATTATTTTGATTTTTATAGTAAATTAATAAAAAAATATCGATTAATAGAAGTATACAAGATAATTTTGATATTTTGGTCTTTTTTGTATATCTGTACTAATTTATTTTTAATTTATGTAGAGATTAAAGATATTTTAGCATTAATATATATTTATTTTTATTATAATAAATAATGTATCCAAAAATTTAAATATTATAATTTTGCGATGGCTTGACGAAATTAGTGGAAAAATGGATAAATGTTCCATAGGGCACACCAGAAACTCCTAGAAAGAATGTTTCCTGTTTGCCCAAAATAAAATAAAATAAAATAAAAAAAATGGTTTAATGATCTGCCATATTTATCAGTTTTAACTCCCAAAGCTTGGTTAATGGAGTCTTCCACTATCATTGTAATTCCTAGTTGCTTTAATGAAACTCCTTCAACTCTCCATCATAACAAGTGTTAACTTTCAAGTGTTTAATATTTACACTTCTTTAATGACCATTATTGAAAATCATTACTTCAATAATGGTGTGTTTAATATTTACACTTCTTTAATGATCATTATTGACCATCATTTGTTTAGGGGTTTGAATTTTGAGTTGAGATTTGAATAGTAAAAATTTTGAATTTGAATAATTGTACGATGTGATATAAATATGTGTTGATGTGATGTTTTGAATGTAAAATTGATTTTTAATATAATATAGAAGATAAAAAATAGGTGTTTGATTTGATACTTTTTGGTGAAAAAAATAAAATGAAATGAACAGTATCTTTAAAATCCAATCCCCCAAACAAACACAACATTTACCCTATATGGCTCTTACAATATCTTCTGTTTGAGCTGATGTCCAGGCTTCGATCAATTTGGGTCATCTCTCTTGCATTTGAGTTATATAATATTCTTTTCGGGCCAAATTTTGCCACTTTAGCTATCATTTTTGTCAGCTTAATTGTCATTTACGTTCCAAAATGTGGCAAATTACTTAGTATAACAGATGCCCCAAAACATATATGTATGGATTGGTTTCCATGAATATCCAACAATTTGGTAATAATTTTGTTTTTCTCCAAAGAGTTTATTGGATCACCTTCTAGTGGCAAGAAACCTTATTAAGAACAAGATTTTTTCCTTACCCTTACCAACTGATGTTCCCATTGTTTCTGCAGCTTTTGAGCCTAAGAGAAAAGTTTTTTGTCCTTAGTAAATAATTTGGTTTAGATGTATTTAGTAAGTGCGAGTCTTGTATGTGTATAAATCGGTAACTTATTAATTGGGTGATAATGCCAATTAATAATAATAAGGAATATAAATAGGGTTAGATCTAGACGTAGTGTCCATTACTTTTTCATATCTAATGACAGAAACTCTAACGGTTTTGTTGCACCATATATTTGAAAAATACAAAATTCTCCGTCAATTTGCAGATTTGAATTCGACTAAGCTGTTGGAATAAGGTTAAACTTTATTTTTATCTCAATTATTTCAATCTAGAAGTCCTGATAAGTTCACGAGTGACTTATTGTCTTTTATTGATCGATGCTCCAAGGATAAATAAATAAATAGATAATTAAACTAACTCAAATTATTTAGGCATCAATTAAATTTAATCTAATCAGACATACGAACACCGTCGCCCCATCTCTGCGGACAGAAAGTGACGACATACTCATCCGCCGCGCAGCTAACCAGCGGCGGCGGTTCGTCGAAAGCGTAGCTGAAATAAGACGGGCAGGCATCCTTAAACACCTTCGAATACACGCTCGGCCGACACGTGTCGGGGCTGCCGTACGCATTCCGACAACAAAACGCATCGTGATCGAACGCCAAGCACGCGCTCCGGCACGCCACCACTTCCCCCCGCCGGTTCACCACCCGGAGCTCCGGCGGGCACGTGCTCTTCAGGTCCTTCCGGCAGCCCCCGATGCGGCACCCCCTGTCTCCCGCTGCCGCCGTTGTCTCCACCTGGACAGGAAGGTTGTAGCCATCCACAAGGCTGACGTCGTAGAAGCTCGGCTTCCGCCTGTCGGCCTGGAGGGTGAATTCGACCAACGTCGCCGGCGGGAGGCCGGTGGCACCGTTGCACTCGAGCCGGCCGTCGCAATCGCCGGTTTCGCAGGCGGGCTTGTGGTTTGTCGAGGTGAAATCGCATCCCGTGCGTGCCCATATTCGGCCTGACCAGTCCGCCGGCGCCTGGAATCTCCGGGCTCGGCCCGGAGGAAGGTGGAAGCCGCCGTCGGCCACCACCGGATGTCCGACGTTGGACGCCGTCGCCGGCCAGATTGGAAAGGGGCACTTGTTACTTACGTAGAATGTACATGCCCCCGCGAACAATTTTTCTATCAGAATAAAAAATAGATATTATCTTCGGGCAGCAGCGGCTACCGTTCCAATTTTAAATTCAGTACGGTGCTGAACAACATATAGTGTACTATTTATGTTAATATAATATAAATACATCACATGAACAAATAATACAATGCTATATTATATCTCAACAGTACATAGTATGTTGTTTGACAACATAAAATATTATTACAGACAACACATTGTATATATTAATATAATACAAATACATCAAATAAACTAACAACAACACATGTTATAGTCTCGTACAATTCACAACAGTTGATTTTATCACGTGACATACTCTTATCCAACTCACTTATTATTATAAAAAAACAATACATACATTTATTGTACACAATATGTGCTATATTTGGTGTGTGTTGTTTGTACATATAACATGTACTGAGTTAAAAAAAAAAAAAAAATCAATATGATGATAAATTCAGCATCCTAACAATCCCCTTATACTCGATATTTATTTTTTATTATTTATTTTTTTTAATGTTATAAAAGCATAAAAAAATTCAAATTAATTCAAAATGTAATGATTTTTTGTGAAGTACCTGATGACAGGGAAATGAAGACAATGGCGGGGAAGAGAGCAAAATATTTCCCTGGAAATGTCATTCTGATTTTGTAGATTGGAATCAGGATTGGTAACAATTCTGCATATATATATTAAAAAGTGCATATGCTTAGATTCAGTGCGATTAGTTTCTTGGATTCCACTGCAAGATTTGAGGTAAAAATTTCTTCAAGTATAAGAAAATTTTTGGCACGAATTAATATTGCAAAAGATATATTGATCTTGAGGGATGTAATAAGCATGTATTAAGGGCTACGTGATTGTGTTTTAAATTGCTTTTGGAATGGGGAATCTACAGTAAGAGGCCAAATGGCTTCTCTTATTAATGCATCTGTTACCTTTAAAAGAGGAGATTGAGACATCTGATTTACTTGACATCTATTATGTGAATGTAAATTATTTTACTTTTGTGATACGTAAAATTATCATAAAAATATCAATGTAAATTAATATAAAGTGAAATTCATATTTATTAAAAAAAATAAATACTTTTTTATTTAAATAATAAAATATACGCTTACCGAATAAGAACAATACTCCAAAAATATGTATATATAATATAATCAATTTATTTATATTGGGTTGGGTTGTGGTTTAGGACTATAGTGGACCGAACCCATCTCATAATTTTATTTAAATTTTTTATGCTCAATTTTATACTCAATAATAGGTATTTATGACCTGTTGTTTAGATAGAAATTTTCGGAGGTTTTGAAATTTTGAAAAAGTAAAAAATTAGTATTTAATTTGAAATTTGTGAGGAAAAAAGTGTATTTGATGTAATATCTTTTTAAAAATAAATAGTGCTAAATGATTAAAAATGTGTTGGATAAATAAAGTCTTATTCTTTGAAAGGTCTACATAATATACTTATTTACATACTATAAAAAATTAGTAAGTCCCTTAAAGGATGACCCTAGGTTTGAAATTAACTTTTGACTGTGAAGTCATGAATTTCTACTTTTACCTAATAATGTGATTTGTCTTAGCTTCGGCTGAAAGATAAAAACTGTCAATTTTTACGTTATCAAAAATAATAATAATTATTACTCTCTCCGTCCCATAACAAAGTATTTATTTTTTCATTTTAGTCCGTCCCATAATAAAATTTCTATTTTTTTTAAGTAACTATACTATCTGCCTAACATTACAAATACCCTTACAACTTACAATATATTACACAAATGTCATTACCTTTATATCACACATACTAATAAAGTTATTTTAGTCATTTATACTTTATTCCTACTATATCCTAATATAATATTAATATTTTTAAAATTACGTGTAAAAAACAAATGAATATTTACTTAGTAACGGAGTGAGTATTATTATTTGCATGATACGAAGAAAATCCAAGACAAGTGTAAGGTCGCGTATTTGAATTTGGGCGTGCGTTAATTAATGCTCCAGATGGAGTTAGTTTTGCATTAGTTTTAACTGCTGCAACTGCACTCCACCGTACATCAATTACTATTTTGATGGCTATATTTATCTACCATATTATTATTTCTAGGAAAAGAAAATAATAATAATAATAATAATAATAATAATAATAATAATAATAATAATACAGTAATTGTGATGGCTACGATGATCAAGATGCAATTATTATCATTTCGAAATATTGGAATTTATTGCTGGTATAGATTGTTGGTTCGTGCCTTAAATGACCGAAAATAGAAATTTTGAATACAGTCCAAGGGAAGAGCGTTATTCAATTCCCGTAACCTAATTTACGCTAATATTAATTCCCCGTACATTAAATTTAAAAATTAAAAAAAAAATAATACTATTAGATTCTCTCAGTAGGGCCCACATGCTTATTTTATTTGTAATTGGACCCTAATTCGACAGAAAGCCCCAATTTTCACCAAACGCCAATTCAAACCCTAATTTTTGGGCTCCCAAAGTCCCAATTCAATTCAATTCAATTGAAGTCAATTCAATGCCGAAGAATCTACAGAAATGAACAATAAATTAATCCCCAATTTCAAATTTTGAAATGGTGTCTGAAGATGATTCGGTTCTGTCTTCTGCTGCTGCTGCAATGGTGCGCAGGCAGCGAGCGCCCCACTCGGCGCCCGCATCTTTCTCGCTTTTTCTTTGACTGCCTCGGCGTCTGGTGTCATTATTCTCGAACCCCACTTTGACCATCCATCCTTTTCCCTCCCCTTTCCATAGCCTTTATTTTGCTCTTTTTGAGTCATTTCAACAAACACTTTTAGTGTTTATGTTGATTCTTCGATATTTTGTGCAATCATGAGCAACAAGGCTATGGAGGATGGGTCGCCGAACAACAGTCCCAGCAGCATTGATTTCGGTTCCAGTAGGGGTACTGTATCTGATATCACTAGCGTCGGCAGTAGCAAAATCAGCGACGAGTGTTTCGTCGATAAGCAAGTGGATCTCAAGAATGGTCACGAGGTCCATTCGAGCTCCATCAATGGCGGCGGTGGCTCTGGCTCTGATTCCTGTTTGAGAAGTGTTTTCCCCTCGAAGCCTCACAAGGGGAACGACCCGAGGTGGGAGGCCGTACAGTGCGTCCAGGGTAGGGATGGGCAGCTAGGTTTAGGACATTTTAGGCTTCTTAAGAAATTGGGATTTGGGGATATTGGGAGTGTTTATCTTGCCGAATTGAGGGGCACCGAATGCCTTTTCGCCATGAAAGTAATGGACAAAGGAACTTTGGTCAGCAGGAAGAAAGTGGTGAGGGCCCAAACTGAGAAAGACATTCTGGCTTTGTTGGATCACCCCTTTCTTCCCACATTGTACTCTCACATCGAAACGGCTAAGTTCTCTTGTCTGCTCATGGAGTTTTGCAGCGGCGGCGACCTCCACATGCTCCGGCAGCGTCAGCCCGGCAAGCATTTCTCAGAGGATTCTGCAAGGTTTGTCAAAAAATTAATAAAAATCCAATCTTCTAAACATTTTTAAAAATTTTGTAATCGATCTGTTTCTTGATGTTCTTCCCCAATTTGTTGGTAGATTCTACGCTTCAGAAGTGCTGCTTGCCTTGGAGTATCTACATATGATGGGAGTTGTGTATCGAGACTTAAAACCTGAGAATGTATTAGTTAGGGAAGATGGTCATATAATGCTGTCCGATTTCGACTTGTCCTTGAGATGTTTTGTGCGTCCCACGCTCATTGATGGCTCATCCTCAACAATTTCGTCGTATTGCGTCGAATCGTCATCATGTAAATTGCCGGCGTGTGCGCAGCCATCTTGCTTCCAGCCATCATCTTGCTTCAAGCCACGATTTTTAAATTCAAAAGCTAACAATCAAGTTCGAGGCGAGAAATCCACTCCGGCCGGATTGGATAATTCCCTCCCGGTACTTGTAGCCGAGCCCACGACAGCTCGTTCCATGTCCTTTGTTGGCACCCACGAATATTTAGCTCCCGAGATCATCAGAGGAGACGGCCATGGCAGCGCCGTGGATTGGTGGACATTCGGCGTTTTCTTGTATGAATTGTTGCATGGAAAGACACCTTTCAAAGGCAGCAATAACAGAGAGACTCTGTTCAACATTGCCGGGAAATCTCTTAAATTCCCCGAAGGATCAACGGCTAGTTCATCCGCGAGGGATCTAATTCGAGGCCTTCTTGCAAAGGATCCTCAGAAACGATTGGGATTCAAACGAGGAGCGACCGAGATCAAACAACATCCTTTCTTCCAACGCCTCAATTGCGCGCTTATTCGGAGCACGGCTCCTCCTCAAATTCCTAAGCCTGTCGATCTTACGTCGCTCCATCGGGCGATGAAGCCGTCGAATTTTCCGAGCAAGGATGATGGTAAGGAGCCTGGCTCGTATTTAGATTTCGAGTTCTTCTGAATAAACAACATTTGGTTTGTAATCTTGGATTCAATTAATTATGAGATTTTGTAGCTATGTAATACTACTTATGTAATCAAATTAGTTTTTTTTTTTTCATTGATATTAATTCTTGATGAAATTGAATGAATCCCTTCACTGGGAATTTTGTTGCTGCTGATTCCTAAAAAGAGAAAAAGCAAATTGATAGAGACAAATCACTGTACCAAATTCGACTGTAGAGTTGAACAAGAATCTACTATTACATTGTTGGGAATTCGTGCTATTTTCCATGCTGTCTTGTCTCTCTACCTGAATGATTATTTGCAGAGATCCCTTTATTCTTCTTCTTTTATTGGTAAGCCTTTTCCTTTTCTTTTTTTTTTTTGTTTGTTTTTCTAGGATTCTTGAAATTAAGAAACCCCTCTTTCCAACTTGATGAGTTGGTGCTTTTTTATGGATTAAGGGTTTTACTAATAAGTTCGAAACTATCTACACTTTCACCGAAGATTTAAAAGTAATATATCCTTATGTCTTTTTCAATATTGGCCATCGAAGTTTTCTTGGATACCACAATCGGATGCCCAAATACATCAAATGTCTCATTCACCACGGAAATTCCTATATCATTGGAGAATGACATTTCTTGATTTTTCATTTGTTTTTAAAAATAAAATAACAATTTAATACAATTATTACAACCGAAAATCCAATAATCATAATAACGATCAATCGTTGAAGCCAAATCGTGAATTTTTTTAGCTTTTATGATGAATGTGCAGCCGAATTGTAATAATGTCAGTTGTGAATATTCATAAGGGTAATTATTAATTATATGATCAATAGAATCATTATAATGTATCCGCGAATAGTCATGATTATCATAGTCTACCTAGTTTAATTCGTCAAAATTTGACTTGTTGATGGTAGCAGGAGTAATTCGATTAATGTCTAACAAAAATAGTCATATATGAATATTGGCTTTAGAAAACCATTAGAGAATAGACCGTAGGACATCTAGGAACAAATATTCAAACATAAAAAATAATACAAAGGTAATAATTTGAATTGTAATATAGACAAAATAAAATAATTACACTACGATGTGATACAAACTATTAACCGAATAATAGAAATAATAATAATAATAATAATAATAATCTGCAAAGGAGATACCAATTGAATTATCGGAGTTCCTCGTAATCCACAGAGTATCTGATTGCATAATCTGAGAAGGACCAACTTAAGGATAGCCAATTTGGAGATTGACCGATTTAAACTGCCTGATTTTTACAATTTGCACAATATGAAGAGTTACAGTGAGATAGTCCACTCCATTCTGACTGCGCGCAACTTAAATTTTGTTTGGATAATGATATATTTTATGCGCCTCCTATGTATCATGTGTCTGTGTTTGTGCATTCGGAGTTGTTGGTTTATGCAAACCGTTGAATTCATTACCTAGGTATATGTTGAATGAGAAATTTCAATTGTTGAAAATGCCAAATCTTTTGTGGTGTTTGTGAATTTAGGTGGAATTGAATTTTCTGGGTTTTTAAAAAATGATGTGCTAACAAGTGTTAGAAGAGTTTCGTTTAAATAAAACATGGATGAGAATTAGATTGTAAAATATATTATTCTTTGATCAGTTATGAGAGTTTTATTATTGTTAATTTTTTCCGTGGATGTAAATTTGTTTTGTTGTTCCACTTTGAAATCTATCTAATTTCGGTTTTTAAAATATTGAATGAGGGTTCTAATGGATTTTCTTTTTCCCGTATTATAGTTTTAGGCATGGTAAAACCTTAATTTTGTACATTGAAAATGTTTTAGATTGAAAAAGTAGAGATAGTTTTATGGTGATATGGTTATTTATGGAAATGAGACTATTGTTTTGGGACGAACAAAAATAGTAAACAAAACTATTGCATTGGGACGGAGGAAATATTATTTTTTAAATTCTGCGCCAAAAGTAAATATATACCTTAATACGGGACGGATGAAACATTAGATAAAAATATGTAGTTATGCTAATAAATGCACTTTATGTGCTGAACAAATACACTTTATATGCTGGAATCGGCTAGAGATTGTAATGGCTTTAACTATAACATGTAATATCCGTTCTATAGTGACATAATACAAATACATCATATGAACTAATAATACATGATATAGTTACACCAAACACATGATATAAGGATAGACAACATATAATATATATGGAACTAGACAACACATGATATAGATATAAATAACACATGAAGTGTTAAATAAAAGCACGTAATTGTGTTGTTTGAATACACTTTATGTGCTAAAATTTATTGTAGATTATTTTGTCTTTGACTATGACACGTGTTATCCGTTCTATGTTAGCATAATACAAATTTAACATATGAACATATAACACATGTCATAATAAAAGTAGTAAATATCTTTATGTCTCTTTTAATATTTGTCATCGATGTTTTCTTGGATACCACAATGGATGCTCAGACACGTCAAATGTCTCGTTCACCACGAAAATTCCTATTTCATTGGGAAATGACATTTCTTGGTTTTTCATTTCCTTTTATAAATAAAATAACAATTTAATATAACTGTTACAATCGAAAATATAATAATCATAATAACGAGTAACTGTTAAAACCAAATCGTGAATTTTTTTTTACTCCTATTATTAACATGCAGCCGAATTGTAATAATATTGTTGTGAATAGTCATTGTGGTAATTATTGATTACATGATCAATATAATCTTTATACCATGGCTGCAAATAGTCATGATTATCATAGTCATAGTTTACCTATTTGAATTCGCGAAAATTTAGCCACAAATAGTCATAATCCAATATTTGTTTTAAAGTGTCACACGAATTGCTTTGTTGAATTGTTGCATGAGCAATCCAATTGATGTCATACAAAAAAGTCATATATAAATGTTAGATAGTAGGACATCTAAGAATAAGTATTCAAACATAAAATATAAATATAAAGGTAATCATTTGAATTGTAAAATAGAAAAAAATAAAATAATTACACTACAATGTGATAAAAAAATCTAATCTTTGTGAAATTTTTACGGATAATTTGATGTATTTTTATATTTTTACACACATATTTATCAAAAAAAAAAGTAAATAACTATCTATAACTATTTGGTAACTTCTCATTAATGAAAAAAACCGACTAATAATTGTATGCTCAAATTTAGTCCCACATTTTATGAGCATAAGGAGAAACTAAAATTATAGACCCAAACAGTAAAATATATAATATAGTAATTTTTTAACAATAAATAATTAAATAAAATAATTCATTCTAGTATTTTTAGATGCAAATTCATCAATATTAATCTTTTCTAATATATTTTAATATACAACGTAGCCAAACATTTAATCGTTCTTGAGACTTACACGATAATAACTAAGTTTTTAATAATTTTAATTTTGAACAATTTATTTCGGCTAATGCTATTGTTACTGTTACAATTAATAAAATACGATAAGTTATAGAAACATTTGGAGAACAATCAGCTGTTTTAATAAATTCTAAAATTTCAATCGGTGTGATATTAACTTATTAGGTAACATTGTTTGTAAAATTTTTAATTCAACAATCATTTCTTCTAGGTCAATATAAAAAGTATTATTATGAAAAAAAAAAGTAGTTGATTATACAGTACAATATTCTCTTTAACTCTTCTTATCTAAATATTTTAATTTTTGTGAATTAAACAAAAAAACCAAATATACTACTAAATATTTTCAATTTCATAAAATTTATCATTTAATTAAGTAATTGTCATATTTACTACAACTAAAAAATAATAATTATTTTTTTCTTCTATTGTGCTTCTTCATTTTGATTACTATCATCAAATTTTTATTTTTATTTCTAAAAATATGACTTTTAGTTGGAAATACACATTCGATATCCATATTAAAAGCAATTTCGTTTCCAACATGCATACTATTACAAAATCCTTCATTTCTATATTTTTTAAAAAATAATAAAGCATATTCTATTTATTTCATAGTCGTATCAACACTCACAAGTTCATATTGTAATTTTTACTCACACTATTAATAACAAATAAAATATCATACAAAATAATCATACCAACTAAAAATTCATAGGATTTAAGTGAACCAATCAAACTTTCGATTTCACTTGTTGATTTAGCATCATTACATAAATTAAGTAAATCTAACAAAACTAATCAAATTTGAGGAATTTGAAATCTAATAGATTTAGCAATGCTAATTCTAATTTCACACTGAGTGTTTGACAAAAATTTTAAAGTAAAATTGGAAATATTATCAAGCAAAATTTTACATATTTTTCTCGAAGCTTGAAAATAATGTATATATACGTTGCATAATTCCAAAAAAAAAATGATACTATTTTTTTACAAAAATGTGTCATTCACAAAGTGTAAGATTAAAACTATATGACAAGCACATGACATGACATGTATAATGCTCTATGATTTATATCAAGTAATTTTTTTTGAACTCCTTGTGTTACCTTTTATATTAGATCTATTATCATTATATTGACCCTCAATATTATCAATACTAAGATCAAGATATTCAAGTGCATTTTTCAATTCATTATAATGTCCTTTTTATGTAACAAATATTCTTCGATTTTTATTTTACTATTTGACATATCTATATAACGTACAATTAAAATCATTTGTTCTTGATAACTAATATCCGGAGTACAATATAGAATTATTGAAAAATATTTTGATTTTACTGCTTGACATATTTTGTTTGGTGATGGCTAAGTTAAAAATCATCATTTTTTCTTGATTATTTATGTTGTTTGTATTGTAAGATATAGATTATATATATGGATAATCAACTTCCATTATTTTCGATATCATCTGCAAACAGGAATATTGTTTGCGAAGAAAATCAAAATTCGAATGGTGGAGTTATTGATAATGGGATATGGGTTATGTTCTATAATTGTTATGAGACCACGTATAAATACAAACAACATATAAAATACTCCTTTTGTCCTACGTTAATGTGTACATCTTTCTATTTTTCGTTCATTTTGTATTAACATATATATTTTCTTTTTTAGTAACTATGGACCCTATTTTTTCTTTCTACAAATACTTATGTTTTTATCACTACAACATTATTTTACACCAAAAAAGTAAGGGTAAAATTATATTTACAGAATTTTTAACTGCCTATTACAGTTAATATACTATTATTTTTAAAATTTTGCAAAAAAATAAATATATACCTTAACATGGGACGGATGGAACATTAAATAAAAATATATAGTTATACTAATAAATGCACTTTTATCTGTTCAACTAATTCACTTCATGTGCCGGAAATATTATGGGTGGAAATAGGACAAGTCAGGTCTATTTAAAAATTTGTATAATATTTTTTTAATTTTTAATTTTTCAAATTTAGTATTTGTTAAAAAAAAATAAATACGATTATTTATTATATATAATAAGTAAGTTATAATAAACTAATTTAAATGCTCTATCCGTTTCAATACAATAATTTTGTTTATCATTTTTGTTTGTTCCAAAACAATTATTTTATTTCCATAAATAATTATATTACCATAAAATTATCCCTATTTTTTCATTATTATTACACAATTACTACTACTTTTTACACTAATATACTCACAAAGGCAAAAAAGTTATTTATCCTTACTTTTTATCCACTACCAATATAGTATCAATATTCTTTAAATCTCGTGTAAAACTATACTTTTGGGACAGATAGAGTATTATTTATTGTAATCAAATATAATTTTTTATAAATTATAAACAATTAAAAATATATGGTGTGTTTACCGGTGGAGTTTTAGTTTTGGGTTTTAATTTTGAAAAGTAAAATTTTAAATTGAAATAGTTATTTGATGTGATATAAATATATATTAATGTGATGTTTTGAATATAAAATTTAATTTTAGCGTAATATAATAAATAAAAAATAGTTGTTTGATTTGATATTTTTTGGAAAAAAAAAATTGAAATAATAAAATCAAAATTCTACGCCCATAATATTTGTATATATTTGATAAATATATATATATATATATATATAAACAGGACGGCATGATAGGTCAAAATAACTTTTTATAAAGCCTAAGCTTATTCTATTTATTTAAAAAAAAAACATAATAAAATATATCTAAATTTAATATCTTTAGTAAAGATGACAGACCAAACCAGGTCTTATGCATGTCAGATGTAGGTTCTAGTAAGCCATCTAGCCTATTTTCATACCTAGTCTGAATCAACTAGAGATTGTAATGTCTTTGACTATAACACGTAATGTCTATTATATAGTGATATAATATAAATATATTATATAAACTAATAATACATAATACAGTTACACTCAACACGTGATATAAGGACGGACAACACATATTATATATATATATATATGCGGAGCTAGACAACAAATGATATAAATATAAATAACACATGAAGTGTTAAATAAATGTATGTAATTGTGTTGTTTGAATGCACTTAATGTGCTAAAATTAATTATAGATTGTATTGTCTTTAACTATGATATGTATTATTTGTTCTATGTTAACATAATATAAATGCAACATATGAACATATAACACATGTCATAATAAAAAATAGCATAATCTCTAGTTTATTTCAGCATATGAAGTGCATTTATACAACATACAACACAATTGTGTTCTTTTTAATGACATGAGAATTCGCAATCGTTACTTTTTGAGTGTGCTTTGTATGAACCTCCAACCAAACCTATAATCAGTTGTTAAATGATATTTGATTTGATTTTCATTATAAATGCATAATTCAAATAATAAAATTTAAAAGATAAATATTACGGAAATATACCCAAAAAGTTTTTATAGCTATTTTCACTATAGACATTATAAATTTTCAATAATAAGTTGTTTTATAAAATAATATCAAATAAAATTTATTTTTTTTCTTAAAAAAAATTTAATACTTAATTTAATATTCCCTTTGTTATAAAAAAAATATGCCGATCTGTCAAAATTATTTTTTAATAAAACAAATAAAAAATATAGTATCTTTTCATTAAAAATGAAAATGATCATACTTTTTATGACAATAAAAAATAAATAAATAAATAAATAAAGTGAACACAAATTTTGGTGACATAGGAAGCAATATTTTTTAAAAAAAATTAAACTCTATTTTGGACATGACTTTTGTAAATTTATATTATTCATTAATATTTTTTCTCAAATATTTATTTGTTATTTTTTTTTATTACACTAAAATTAATTTTATATTCAAAATATTAAATCAAATTATTATTTATATCAATCAAAATCAAAAGCATATCAAATTTAAAATTTTATTATTCAAAATGCAAAATCCTGAACTAACTCACCCTAAAACTTAAAAAATTTCTATGGTTCTCTATCATGTATATTTATTTAGCCGTAATGTTAGTGTGGTGTCATTATATTGCCACAAAAGAGGACAACTACAATTCCCTCGTTAACAACGAAATTGAAATCTCCGAACCACGTCGATGCATGATTTGTTCTTACATGCACCCTCACCAACATTCTCTATTCACACATACATATACATATATATAAATCAAGATCATCAATTCAAAGCTCAACACTCAATCCTGCAACAGATCATACTCAATGGGTGTCCACTCCAACTCAGATTCTCACACATTCAAATTTCCAAACATCAGCCTCTGCGATTCCCACGGCCACGAACATCACACCGTCGTCTCCGACCTCGACGGAACGCTGCTCATCGGCCGGAGCTCCTTCCCTTACTTCGCATTAGTCGCTTTCGAGGTCGGAGGAATTCTAAGGCTTCTTTTCCTTCTTCTTCTCTCCCCAATCGCAGGAATTCTGTATTACTTCATCTCCGAATCCGCCGGCATTCAGGTCCTCATATTCGCGACGTTCGCCGGAATCAGAGTGTCGGAAATCGAGTCCGTGGCTCGCGCTGTTTTGCCGAAGTTTTACTCCAGCGACTTGCATCCGGACACGTGGCGCGTGTTCTCGGCGTGCCGGAGGAAATGTGTACTTACCGCGAATCCTCGGATTATGGTGGAGCCATTTTTGAAAGAGTATTTGGGAGCAGATGTTGTTACTGGGACTGAAATTGATGAGTTTAGAGGCAGAGCCACGGGGTTCGTTTCCGTGCCTGGAATTCTTGTTGGTAATAATAAGGCCTTTGCACTTAAGGAAGTGTTTGGGGATGATTTTAGACCTGAAATTGGGATTGGGGACAGGAAAACTGATATCCCTTTTATGAAATTGTGCAAGGTTAGTTGCTGTTTAGTTATTTGATTTCTGATCCCTGGGTTTTAAGAAATTTGATTTTGGCCTGATTCGTTTTTACTGCAGGAAAGCTATATGGTTCCGAAGGAATCGGGAATCCAGCCGGTCGGTCCGGACAAGTTGCTGAAACCGATCGTGTTCCACGACGGCCGGCTTGTGCAGAAACCGGGTCCGGTCAGGGCACTTTTGATCATTTTATGGATTCCGGTCGGGTTCATCCTGGCCTGTCTGCGGATGGCCGCCGGAGCACTGCTGCCGATGTCCATCGTGTACTATGCATTCAGGGCGCTGGGAGTCAGCGTCACGATTCGCGGCAGTCCGCCGCCGCCGGCGGAGAAATCCGCAGGCCGGACCGGTGTCCTTTTTGTTTGCTCGCACCGGACGCTTCTCGACCCGATTTTTCTCTCGACCGCGCTCGGCCGGCCGATTCCGGCGGTTACCTATTCGCTGTCCCGGCTCTCGGAGATTATCTCCCCCATAAAAACGGTCCGGCTGAGCCGGGACCGGGTCAGGGATGCCGACATGATTAAGAAGCTTTTACAGGAAGGGGATTTGGTGATCTGCCCGGAGGGGACGACGTGCCGTGAACCGTTTTTGCTCCGTTTCTCGGCGCTGTTCGCGGAGCTGACGGACGAGATCGTGCCGGTCGCGATGTCGAACCGGATGAGCATGTTCCACGGCACGACGGCGCGTGGGTGGAAGGGGATGGATCCGTTTTATTTTTTCATGAACCCTAGGCCGGGTTACGAGGTGACGTTTTTGAAGAAGTTGCCGGCGGGATTGACGTGCGGCGGCGGCGGGCAGTCGGGGCAGGAGGTGGCGAATTATATACAGAGGATGATAGCGGCGACGGTGTCGTACGAGTGCACGGGGTTCACCCGGAAGGATAAGTACAGGGCGCTCGCCGGAAATGATGGCAGCGTGGCGGCGGCGAAGGCGGCGAAGTCGAAAGTGATGGGATGCTGATTTTGATGGAAGGGAATTGTATGGAAATTATGGCTTACTTTAGGTTTAGGGATGTAGGTGGATAGGCCATAGGCTTGTCTTGTTTGATGGTACTTAGGATTTTACGAATGCCCCTAGTGAACTTAGTTTGAAAGGCGTGTAATAATTGTCTGTATCTATGCTCGATTTGGATTTGGAATCAGCGGATTTTGAGTTTGAATTTAAATGGTAAAAATTTTAAATTTAAATAATTATATAATGTGATATAAATAGGTATTGATATGATATTTTGAATGTAAAATTAATTTTTTATATAATATAAAAAATAAAAAATAAATATTTAATTTGATATTTTTTTTAAGAAAAAAATAGAACGAATGAATCCTAAACAAACACACCCTAGTGTCTATGTGATTTTGCTTAAAATTATTTATTAAAAAAATAGAGTATAATACACTAAGGCAGGAACCTCGGTCCCGGCTTTGACCCGGTACCAGAGTGCCACACACACATATGTCTATATATACATGCGTATGTATATATAAAACTGCACTTCCTGTGCCCGGACCGAGGATACCTTGCGAATGCTACCTCAGTTCTCAAAGAAAAAGTACTCCCTCGGGTACAAATGAAAGAGGCTTTTGGAGTATTATAAATAAATATATATATTATTTTTTATCTATAGTAATGAAATTTTATTTTTTATAATATAATATTTATATTACATATATTTTATTAAAATATAGTAATATTTAAAACATATATTTTAAATTGATTTTAATTACATATATTAATTCTTAGTTTAAAATTACTAATAATACTACTATATTTTATAGGAATATAAATTAAGGAGGTGTTTGTTTTGCAAAATAGTTTAAAAGAATATTTTTTTATGTGAGACATAAAAAATTAGGGTAAATTGTTTTTTACTTTTCTAATTGAACCTCTTTATCATTTTAGTCTAGTAACTGGTGTCCGTCTCACATTAGTTTCATAAGTAAAATAATTTTGCAATTTTAGTCATCCGGCTCCGAAGATGCCTATGTGGCACCAGTATGACTCGCCGAATGACACATATCCGTCAGGTCAGCGACACCTGATGAACTCATGGATTTTTTTTTTAATTTTGTAATTTTCAATTTTTTTTGAAAACTTTTATTTTTTACTCAAAAAATAATAAATTAATTTTTCTTTTTTGAAAAAAAAAATTAGTGTCCACCAAGTACGGCCGACCTGACGGGCACGTGTCTTCCGACGAGCCAATCGAGTGCCACATAGGTATCTTCAGCGTTGGAATATTAAAAGTGTGAAAATTTTTCAGTTTGCTTCCACCTTCAATTACGAAACTAAAATAATAAAAGGATAAAAAAAAGTATGTAAAATAATATAAAAATAATAAATATATATAATATTTTTTTAAAAAAAAATGTGTTAAAAAAAATATACAAAAAGAACACACCCTAATACATTTAGGGGTTTGTTTGTTCTTTCAAAAACAAAATATATTTTATAAAAATATTAATTATATATATTATTTTTATATATTATTTAAATAATTGTCTATAATTCAAATAAAAAAAAATGTCTTTTTAAATTATTTTACGAAACAAAAATACTTTAATTTTTTTTATTAAACATATTACCATAAATATTTATAAATACTACTCCATAACCTATAAATTTTATTTTAATAATTGAAAGAGAGAAAAAAAAAAGAAAAAAAAAAAAAAAAAGGGGGTCCTATTATGTATTAGTTACTACTCCATAACGTATAAATTTTATTTTAACAATTGAAAGGGAAAAAAAAAAAGTCCTATTACGTATTAATTAATTTCAATTTGGTACTTGGTAGCATTTACTATGAAATTGTCCAATTTCAATGGTCCGCCATTTTTTCTTTTGTCCATAGTTTTCTCTTCTCAAATTCTCCTATTTTTCATTTTTGGGTTCCTTCCTTCAACGAAAGACTTCTTCCTAAAAAAGGATAACAAATAGCTTCAAACCCTAATAAAATCCTCACTGCATATTTCAAACACCCAACACAAATTTTTTGGTAGGGTTTTCAGCTTAATAATACAAACCCCACCAAGATTTACGTTTATCCGTTTCAAAGAAATTCACAGCTTTTGGAAGATCCAAAAAAAAAAAAAGAAATCTCCACTTCCATGGACTCAAGATTCCTTCTTTTGATTTGTCTGTGTTTCTTCGTTCAATCGTCTCAGGGGTATGCCATCTCTCTCGTCTCTCAGTTACTTTTAACTGATTTTGCGCAAATTGAATCTGATCTGCATTGCATATAATCTGGATCCTGTCTGATTTTTTTTTTTTTTCTTTTTCTTTTGACTGAATCAGAAAAGAATCAGCGTTGAGAGTGAAAACGAAAACCAGCGCTTCTTCGGTTCACTTTGATCCAACTCGGGTCACTCAAATCTCTTGGAAGCCCAGGTTCTTCTTCTTCATCTTTTTTTTTTTTTTTATTTTTTATTTTTATGAATTTTCTGGAATAATATTTGCAGATGAAAGCTTGATTACCTTTTATGGCGTGAGATGGGGCTTTTGGTTTATTTTTTGTAATTTTTTATTTTGTCCACAGGGCGTTTTTGTACAGAAGATTTTTGACCGATGCTGAGTGTGATCATCTCATTAATCTGGTTAGTCAAATTGTTCATTTTCCTGCAAATGTGCATTGTTACAAGAACAGTTCAAGATTTTGGTTATATGATTTACTTTTGTGTTATGGAACATAGAATCATTACAAACAATCTTTGGATATGATTCACTATGTATGACTTCGATTCATTTCATTGTTTGCTATTGCTGTCTGTCTGATGAATCTTGTCTAAGTAGGCCAAAGATAAGCTGGAGAAATCTATGGTCGCCGACAACGATTCCGGCAAGAGTATCGAGAGCGAAGTCCGGACAAGTTCCGGAATGTTCCTCAGCAAGGCTCAGGTTCGCAAAATGCTCGTAAATTTATATATTGTTAAGATTTGGTCACTAGCTATTATATATGGTTTTCGAATTATCTATTTCTTTGTTGTTGTGTTTTTTCCTTTCTATCGAAGGATGAAGTAGTTGCTGGTGTCGAAGAAAAAATTGCTGCCTGGACTTTCCTCCCTATCGGTATTGAGAAACATTTCTGGCGATGCATTACAATGTTTTCATCGATTCTGTATAAAACTTCTCAGTGTTTGAATAAATATGTTGTGTAGAGAACGGGGAGGCGATGCAGATTTTGCACTATGAGCACGGCCAAAAGTACGAGCCGCATTTTGATTTTTTTCACGACAAGGCTAACCAAGAATTAGGTGGTCACCGTGTCGCCACCGTGCTCATGTATCTGTCGGACATAGCCCAGGGCGGAGAAACCGTATTCCCCAATTCAGAGGTTCGTTCACAACACCGATATACATATATATATGTATGTATGTATGTATGTATGTATGTATGTGTGTGTATCGTTTATGTGGTTTTGATTTATTCACAGGAGAAAGACAGGCAGCCGAAGGGCGAGAAGTGGTCGGACTGCGCAAAAGGAGGCTATGCCGGTAATAACACAATCCTACATGTCTGTACATTTCATTTAAGACAAAATTATTTATAGCTCATTTGTGGTTTCAAAAGTATGTACAACTATTTTTCATGATTTAGAAATTACACGAGACTCGCTTGTGTTTTCGAGAAATATTCGACAAAATCTCTTTTTTAGAGGATTCTGTGTAATATTTTGAAAATACAGAGAGGATCTCATACAATTTCTAAACGATTATGTCCGAAAGTCTCGTGCAAATTCTAAATAATGAAGGAGAATGGGGCTTACTTTCCAAACTAGCAATGTTGCTTTTGATTAATCCTATAATAACTTGTCAATCCTATGCCACATTTCGTCCTTACAGTGAAACCTCGAAAGGGCGACGCACTGTTATTCTTCAGTCTCCATCCGGATGCAACTACAGACACTTTGAGCCTGCACGGTAGCTGCCCCGTGATCGAAGGGGAGAAGTGGTCGGCAACAAAATGGATCCATGTAAGGTCCTTCGAGTCCAAATCGTCCGATCCATCGGACGGCGACGGGGATTGTGTTGATCGGAACCCAAATTGCGCGACATGGGCCCTCAAAGGAGAATGCGAAAGGAACCCTGTGTACATGGTTGGTTCTGAAGATGGTACAGGTTTTTGTAGGAAGAGCTGCAAGATTTGCTCCTCTTAAAAATTGTCACTTTGTTACCATTCAATGTAGTTTTATTACTACAATTATTGTTGTTGTTGTTAAGACATGTCTTACTATATGTAAAATGTGGAATGGTGATAAACTTCCTTAGGAAAATCAATACGAACAGACACATGTACGGACCAAAAAGAGGCATGTTAAATATAGTAAAGAACTGTTGCAAAAATGAAGGGAATGGAAGAAAGGGTTAAGGAAAGCAGATTATGCTTGCCATATCGATCGACCGATGAGCGCATTGCAGAGATCGTCCTACTCATTCCGGCGGCAGGGCTCCTCCGGCCGCATTTGGGACAGCAGGATTCAATTCCCCGACGCCAAGTCGTCGACTCCGTCGCCCCGCGACAAATCCGGGGATTTCAGCTTCCATCCCATCTCGAGATCTAATCGTCAGCTCATCGATGCATCTCCACAATCACGACGATCAAATTCCACGGCGATGGAGGTGAATACGCCGCCGTCTGATCCTAAACCTCGTCGTCGCGCCCTCGGCTCTGTTTTTGGCTGTTGTGCCTGTTCCAAGACCTCCTAAAAAATTTCCTCATCCACAGTATACATAGAATTGTCTTATTTTTTTAGGTTTGTTTTCAATTCTGCCTTGTGGTAGTATTTTATTGTTTGCCATTTTCTTATTCACTGTTCTATTTGTAAATAATGTGCAATAATTTGTAGCCAGTAGATGTGGATTGTAAGCCTAGAATAGACATGTACAGATCTTGTTCAGATTGTAAGATGATTTAGTTAATAAAAATAATTAAATAAATCAAAGGGCTATATAGATAGCAGGATAAAGTGAAACTCGATTAGGTAAAATAGAGAAAAATAGTTAGTACTATGTTGTACAAAATTTCATTAATAAGCATGGACTACCCATTGTTTTATGTTCATATCCTCTGGGAAGGAAAAGCAGACTTCAAACAGTAATAATAACAACTCAAGGTAACAACAAACCTGTTGGTAGAGTTTTGGAATCAACAATCTGCAAAAACTAGACGCCATATTTAGATCATTTGTTGATGGAGATCGGCCGCCTGCTGCGCTAGTTCTACAACCATTGCCTCATCAAAGAATTTGTTAATGCTTACGTCCTCAGACATTCCCTGATAAACCGGTGATGAAAAAGTTGCAGTCAATGGACTTCGTCTTTGAATATCAGTAATGGTTCGTATTGCACAATGAGATTGCAGAAAGAGAATTAAAGCAGGAAGAATACCTTCCTACGCCTGGTCTTGACCATAAATTCCCGAGCCAAATGCTGGATTGGAGCGGGCTCCAATGGGCGCAGAACAATACTCTTGTCGAGAGGATCCCCGGGAACAATAGCCCAATGATCAAACACAGATAAGCAAAATGCTTGGCCCTGTGTATGATACCTCAGGTCTGTTTCAAAGCCAAATGACTCGATAACAGGTAAAAATGCCTAGAGAGAATGAAGGAAGGTCGTCACAAAAACAGATGGATCATGCTCAACCAAAGAATCAGAATGTAAAAATTAGTTCACCGTTGGAAAAATTGAAATTCAGGTCACAAACCTTAACAATGTAGGCAGGGGTCCCTGGTTGTGGAACATCAGCAGTAACATGACCACGTCTACGCGACAACACCGTATATATTGCCGAAACACAATCTATTGGAGTTTGTATCTGTAGCACCATACACTTTGGTTAGCCAATTAGACAAGACAATGTTTAGGCGTACCATGTATGAAGAACCTAGAGTGGTTGTATGAGAGAAAAATACAATTAACAATATACCTCCACGTAATACACAGGTTCCATGAGCCTAGGTGTTGCCATGAGAAAAGCTGAATAGGCAACACGCCGAGCAGTTGGAATGATCTGACCAGTTCCACGATTTAGTGGTTCGGGTGCAATTTTAGCATCCACTATTTTGAATTTCACATTCCTGATGGGCTCATCACAGAGAGGACCTTCTCGTGCACCCCACTGAAACCTGTACAGAGGAAGATGTAATGCAGCAGAAGAAGCAAAGAACATGAATATGAGCAGGCTTGGAAATTAACTTACCCTTGAACAATAGAATCTTTGACTCCAGAAAGCAAGCCCTTATCAACTTCACTTGACAGCGTATCATCCAACAAAATATTAGGTCCCTTGCAAAACCAAAAACATGTTATCGTTGAACATAATAACATGAAGTTAACCCATGACTTCAAAAAAGCACAGTTAAGTAATGTTTATTGAACTTTATTTTAAGAATTCATCAACCAACCTGCTTATCTGGACCAAATGCCCAAATAGACCGTGCAGCTAGCAGATCCCAGTCATATTTTGTCTGGAAAAAATCACCAAGCTTCTTCCGTGGCCAATCAATGCTTACAACACCATTTTCTATGTCCTCAGCAAGCCCTCTCTCCAATGGCTCTGCAATCTGGAATATGACATGTATTGAGTCAGTATATGTTTTTAGATTTGAATTTTCCAAACAATATTGTTCACTTACCATGGTGATTTTATTTTTCTTGTTTGGAGTCTCAGCAAAACATTTCATTGAAGAGGATTCTACAACTGTTTCACAAAATGACACAACAGGATCTGCCACCTAAGGTTGAGAGGAAAGGGCACAAGACCAAAATCATTAGAAGAAATCCAAAGACCTAATGAACAAGTATTAGGATATGAAAATGTCAAAGAAAATAAACACCTTGACTTCGACTTCAGAATAGAGCTCTCTAAGGTCCTTCATTATAGAGTCCAAGTAGAGTTCTCCAGTACCTAAAATGGTATGCTCCCCTGATTCTTCAACCTTTGTTATGGCTAGTGGATAACTTTTGCTGATCTTCCTAAGACCCTCCACCATTTTTGGTAGCTCACTAGGATTCAGGGGTTCCGTGGCAGTTTTAACCACAGGAAGGGTATTAAACTGGAGGGGCCTGAATATATACACATCATCATCGTATTCCAAGTTGCAGAGTGTAGCAGTCTTCATAATAGATGCATCCACACCTTCAATAAGAACCCAAGAACCAGGAGGAGCCTTGTTAATAGGAATCCTATATCGTGATTGATAGACCCATAATTTTGTTACTTCCTTCACTGTCATGTCCTCTTCGTCATCTGGAGAATATCCTTCTCCTAGTACGCGGACAGTTTGTCCTTTCAAAATTTCACCACTATAGACTCTACCAAAGGCATCAAACACACTGCAGTCAGATTTGGGATACAGTTTAGTTACATTAACCATTAGAGGACCTGCTGCGTCACAATCAACCATTGCCTGATAAATTGCAGAATCCTTAGGCCCAGTGTAGATGTTATCAACCTTCCGAGGCGCAGCATCTTTAGCAGATGGAATGTGTTGAACCAACATGTCTGTAAACCCTGTGGCACTACCAAAAACTGAGCTACATGCTAATCTTAATAGAGGTCTAACATTTAATCGGTAGGCTGCATTGCTCAAAGTTACACCAAGTTCACTAAGGGTAGCCTCCACGCTCTTTTTATGTTCTCCAATCACTTGGCTGTATATTTTATACAGAGGTTCAAGAACAAACTGGACAAAGGATCGTTCCACTCCACTAGCAGGTTGTTTCTTCTTGAAAGTTCTAGTATCAGGATCAAAGTAATAATCACCCCAAAGACGAGAAGCAAACTTATTAGCATCAAATGGAATACCATGGAGCTTAACGTATAGTTTAGCATAGGACTGCAAGGTAAAGGACCATCCTGCACTGGCACTTGCAAAACAAACATTTCCAATAGCAGGATCAACAATTTGGACATTTCCAGCAGTTGAAGAAACAGCACTTATGTGGTTGTTTATTACTTCAAGTGTGTGTCTTAGCTTATGGTAGGCATCCTTCGGAGGCAACTTCAGTTCGGTTATTAACCTGTCAACCTGATTATTACATATTAAACTTAAAAGAATTACTTTCAGATATACATATAGAAAACACATCAGATATATTTACACACGAATTTGAAATATGACCTTGTTTATTACAACTACTATGGGAAGCCGTTCCTGAATTGCATGCCGTATTGCTCTCTCCGTGTTTACCTGTTAGCATATTCAAATTAAAATACATGTAAGTGCATGTATGTAGAAGGAACATAGATTTCAATCCAGCATCTTAATGAGTGCACCAAATAGCTGCCAGTCACAGGTCGTGGTTGCTGCAACTCAAGTCAACATATTGAATGCACCATTATGAGAGAAATGTTTATCATTGTCAGTGACATGTCTCCTATCAGCTAAATAGATGGCATTTTGGTGATATGATTATTAACAGTGTAGACACTATTAAACAATAGTCAATCCTAGGCCTAGCAATATATTATATTGGCATTCGCTAGTTTTTGCAAGAGATTCCACAGCATATCCTAGAATTATATTTCAGTTACTATAGCTAAAGAAAATTTCCACCTCAAATAAAATGAGACCTAATGTGCAAATTATAATCCAACAAAATTGTAAGTAGTGTGATAAAGGCTTTGACTGAATAGTTAGCAGAACATTTGGACAAACATGAAGAAAGTTGTCCCCCCTCAAAAGGCAGAAGCCTACACAGACAACTCAAGTTAGAATAAATAAATAAAATAAATGAGATATTCTACCATCACTCCTTCTGCAGCATCCACAATTAACACTGCACCATCAGCAAGCCTGAGCGCTGCAGTCATCTCATCCGAAAAGTTTACATGGCCAGGTGTATCCATAATATTGCACAGGTATGATTTTGAACTGCTATCCTCCAAAACAAGTGACATGGGAACAGCCTTGATAGATATCTTTCTTTCCTGCTCGTCAATCCTTGTATCTGTGTATCTCATATGTTTCTCACTGTTCTGATCAAAGGTTGAAATGTGATGTGTCTGCTCAACCAACATGTCCATGAATAATGTTTTCCCATGATGCACGTGCCCAACCAAAGCAACATTCCTGACCAATGTAGGGTTAGACATGAGACCCAAAAGGAACTCTGTTGATACATAGGTGGATGAGTCCTTAACCCCCAACTCAAATTTAAGGTTTTTCACGGGTTTGATGATAGGCTGTTCAAGAGGCTGCTCATCTTCATCCATTACTAAAGTTTCAACTTCTTCACCATAGACCTCCTCAGCAGTAGGGTAGTATTTCTTGTCCTCTGCTAGAACAATCTGGTTGTCCATATCAACATCTTCATTACTGATCAGCATCCCATTTGGTCTCCCAGGGCCTTGCTCATCATCAGACATAGGATCCTCGTTCTCTGCCCTAACAGGGAGTTCCTCCTCTTCATCCCTGTCACTCTCCTGATCGGACTCAATTTCAGGCCCAATATAGTTTCCAAATTCGTCATACAGACTATCATCCATGACCTACAAAAAGGTAAACTTCAAACACAAACGTCAATCTTAGCAGATAATCTAAGCTATAATTAATATATAGACATATATGATTTTTTTTATATAGTTGAGATATAATACTATCTCCAATCATAAAACTTCATTAAAAAAAACTTCAACCTTGAACTAGCTACAGCTCAGTTTTGCAGATTACAAAGACAGAAGCATAAAGCATTATATTAATCTAACTGATTCACACTTGAAAATTCTCCATTGCCATAAGGAAGCAGAATTTTACTCTAGAGAATTCAGATTTCAGCAATTAAAGTTATTTTAGCAGATTTGTGATATATTTCAGAAAGTTCTAAACAAAAAATATAAAATTCATGGCTTCTGAAAACATAAATAAATTGTCTTAATTTAGATCTTAATTTCCACATTAAAGTTATTTCATTGGTGAAATAAATTATAACATAAACCGCTAGATGTTGATTGATACTTAACTCTTATTTATTCAAGTCGAGATTGAAATATGAAGCTAAAAGTTCAAAAACATTAAACTGCTCAGCAATAGGGTAGCCACAAAATGTTAAGCTTTATCTAACCTCCACAATTATAAATACCAAGATATCTGTAAAATAAAGAATCAGCACCAAAGTAATCTTCTTTCTCTTGACAACTAACTAACAAAAACTTAGGCAAGGGCAGCTAAAACCCTAAAATAACGGATCAAACCAGTTGGCAGTGAAAATTGCTGCAAATGCTGGAAATGTTCTCATACTCGTTTCTCTTTTTAGCCATAAACCAATGGAAGGAGTGAACTTACAAATTTCTCACAGCTGTAGGAAACGCAGGTGTCAGAAGCAGATATGACCGCCGGCGAAGCTTGGCGGGGTGGCGAGCGACTGTAGAAATGCAGGTTCAGAGGGTTTTGGCAGTACGGAAGCGGGTGTTGGGATTTCGTTAGGGATTTGGCAATCGAAAATATTTGTTATAGTATCGTCGGGTTTATTAGTAAAACCCGATCTTTCTGGGCGGGCTACTGGCCCGTTCCTGCTTTTTGGTGGGACAAAATTGAAACAGTAGACCCTAAATATATATTTTTATATTATAATAAAAATAATTTTATATATTTTTAATGTAAATATTAAAATAAAATTAATTTTTATATACTGGAAAATTAAAATATAATCCAAAAAAATATATGATTTAATATTTTTAAATTTTTTTTTTTATAAATAGTCAAAACTTTTAAAAACAAAATTTCAAACAAAAGTATTATTTAGGGTGTTTTGTTTTGTATTTTGATTTGAAGAAATATTTATGATATAAGGTGTAACAAATTATGTAAATAATAAAAAAAATAATTGGTTCTCTTTACCTGTAAGATTTTACTTCTATTTTACTATTCCAATTTTTTTTTCTCAAAAATATCAAATCAAACACTCAATTTTTATTTATTTTATTATACTAAAATTTAATTTTACATTCAAATTTATATCATATCAAACATCTATTTCAATTCCAAATTTCACTATTCAAAATCAAAACTTCTCAAGTAATATATTAGTTGTTTTAAAAAAAATATACTGAAAAATTTTTGGTAAAAAAATAAATCCATTATATAATACACAATTTTTTAAAAAATATCACCAAAAAATATAATATAATATACAAATTTAAATATATAACCATAAAAATAAAAATATTAAACAGACACAAAATATTATTCTCTATCATATCTTTATAATTTTACATCATTCACAGCAAAAATATATAAAATTAAACAATTAAATAAACACAGTAAAACATATAAATAAATAATTTAAAAATTAATATAAACATAATTTATTTAAAAAATACATGAAACAAAATTTTTATTTAAAAATTAATTTTATTTATTCTTTAAAATATTTAACAATAATAATAATAATAATATATATTTATATATTAAGTATATAAGAATATATATATTTGGGGCCCAGAAAAAATTGGGCCCTGGGCAAGGCCCTGTGGCCCTGGCCCATGGCTGGGCCTGGCGGGCTATAGTCCAACTAGTACAATATAAACAGTAGAATAGGATCCGGATTCTGACTCAGACCTGTTATCGAACTCAGACCCGATTATCGAATAAAAATATTTATCAATTAAAATAAAATAGAAATAAAGGAGTTTTAAAATTGATTAAGATGATTTATATTTTTTTAAGTATGTTTTGATTTAGTAAATTTTACCAAGGCATCAATTGTTATAGAATATACAAAATGAAAAATATATCTTAGAAAGTATCTTAGAGTGTGTAATTAATAAATTATTAATAATAAATTATAATATTATTTTACAGAAGCAATATTATTAATATTTTAAGCATTATATTACAATAAAATATATGATAAATTATATAGTAAATAAAGACCTAAATTAAGGTTAGTTTTATACCAATAACTAACACAAAATATCTTAAATAATTTTTTTTTACTGATGTAATTTAAATAATCAAACATCAAGTGTTTCACGTAAAATATTAACACAATAAAATTTTACACAACACATATTTTTTTCATTTTTACCAAAAAAAAATATATATATATTATATAATTTATTCTAAAATATATACCTGCAGTATGAATATGAGAAAATAAAATTTTATACTCCCTCCCCGCAGTTCAAAGGATCTCTCTTTTTTATTCTTAAAAAAAGTAATTATTTATTATTAATACAATAATAATTTTTGGTTAAATCACAGATGAACACATCTTCTCCGAGAGTCTGAGGCCACCAAATCAAAGTATTGCTACAGGTAACATCACCGAATATCACAATGCCCAAACGATGAACGGATGGATCGTTTATATTTATTGACCATGAAAGAATGTGACTTTAAAGTTTTTTTAACATTAATTCGTTACAATCTCAGTATAAATCTGTACACTCACTCCTCTGATATCAGCACTGTACAGTTGGGAAGCAGTAGCACAGACTGATATGTCGGAACCCTTCCTTCCATTGACAATACAAAAACAAGAGCCTCCCCGTCCATGTCGGGACCAGACAAGCCCCAAAACATACCTCTCAAGTTAAAAAAGTTCGATTCAGAAGCTCAGTTGGCAATAGTTAGTGTAGTTGATTTCCTTCAATCTCAGACAGAACAGAATACACTCGGGAAGATCCTCTGGCTTATTTCCCTGCAACGATATTCAGAGAAACTCAGAATCCGAAACATTAAGACAAACTGAAGCTTAGGTTGTAATATTGATCGATACCTGAATAGTAAGACCAAAGTCGAAAACACAGTGCTTGATTCTGTCATGAAACGATTCAAAACCTTTCCGTGCGAGGTAACTGAACCTGTGGATATCTAAGTCGATCTCAAAATAATTTTCTCCCTGCAAGGTTCCCATGTTCGACTTTTTTTAAAAATGGAACAAGAAAGCATTTCAAAGCAAGTAATTAAGACAACTTAAAAGAAAGGGCAAACATTACCAAGTAAAACTCATGCTGAGGGCGCGAAAGAACCGGCTTTTCATTGTAAGCCTGCATAAGTTTCCTCTCGGCAGCACCTAATTGAAGATCCTCGACATTTACCACACGGCCTAAGATCTTTAATCTTTCCCGTACGGGCGCATTTGTATCCATGGCAAAGCCTTTGATCCTCTCAGTTTCATTGGCAATTATCCTCTGCTCGACAAAGAATGTAAATTTATGCCATAGATGTAAAATAAATGCCGAAGATTTGATGTTAGAAAGGCTTTCGTTTTTTACCTTTATGTTTTCTTGAAAATGAACTGGAAGTAGTGAAAAATTCTCCGAAAGTTTGCAATAGAAAACAAAGCTCACTCCGGGCCCATCGTACTCGCTTTGAAAGAGTGTGGCCGGGTAAAGAGGAATCTGACAGAATTATAAACAAATCCTCTTGAATTTCATAAAATTTCATAAAATTCCGAAGAGTTAACACTGCAAAAGAATTCGATCTAAGATCTTTACCTGAAGGTTTACAACAAGAATAGGGGGGACTTCTCCGGGAGAATCAACAACAGGGAGTTCAACATATCTAGCAATGTGATCGATCTTGCGGGGACATAAGAAGGCATCCACGCCGAAAGGAATATATGCAGCGTGGTTTGGAGCAAATTCTTTCTTTTTATCTCTGTTAGCATTTAGACAAGATATAGGCTCACATTATCATGTCCGGCTACATGGAAATATTAAATAAATATCTATCCTCACAAATTTCTCACCTAGTATAGTTTCGTCCACGTACTTTAAACATATTTGGCTCAATTTGAGACCAACTCTCGGGTACATTCTTCTCCAATGAAGATCGCATAATTTGAGACCCGGCTATCGGTCTTTGAACAATAGCCTTTGGTGATGCTGCAATATAATGAAGAAAAAGAAATACATTATACATATATATATGTATACATATAAGTTTCACAATAATCGACATCCAAACAAAGTAGGCAATTAAATGAACTACATTCAACATAAATGCAACTTAAACTTACGCAAGACGGGATTATCTTGCCCTTCTCGCCATTTCAGAGAAGGTGTAAACGATAATTTCTTCTTTATGATTGCACCTCCGACAGTCGGAGGTTTTTTTTTCCCATCAGAGTCTTCGTCGCAAGCAAGACAAGGGAGACAAGTATTCGATATACACCCACAGCTGTGCAATGCTGCTGTGTTGGAATTTTCACCATCGCATTGAACAGAGGACTTATCAAATGAAACTGAATTTTTCACCTCATTTTGAGGATCATCAGAGCTCAGCTGAGAATCAGTGCTGTTGCCGCCGCCCACGACATTGTTGGAAAATCTCGGAGTTACAACATTGGATAAGGATCCAGCTTGGGACACATCTGCAAGTTCATCGATTCATCAAATGTGTGTTAGTAATTCAGAGGATTAGTTCGGTAGAACAGTAGTTTGATATGATGGCACTTACCATCTTGAACGCTGTAAAATTCATCCTCCCCGTCGGAATCGATTTCGATGTCGGGATCATACCATGAGTCACTATTCCCTGTTCAAGCCACATAGTTCAACACAGGTTTAAGTTATCTAAGAAAAACCAGTTGCATTCATCTCAAAAAATTCTTAAAAATCCCATTTGAGATGCATTTACAAAGATGGAAAGATAGTAAGTGATTCAAAGAGGATCATGTTCATCTGGCAATTTTTTCTAAACCCTAAATCTGAGCAGTCCGAACCTCCGGAGAAATTGCTGCTTATAATTAGTCCACCGCTACTCAACCGACAGCCACCGCAAGCAATATCAAAGTTCTTAGAACTCGAAACAGACTCAGGAAAACACTCGAATTGATTCCTCCATAAAAACCCCCCAAAAAAAACCCTAGAAATCCAATCATAAAAAATTGCAGAAATTGGAAGCAGAATCGGCACCTTGGAATGCAGGATTGCTGAAAGAAATATCTCTCTGACTCGATGGCTCGACCCTATTTCGATTATTAGCAGAGTGAGCCTTCTTAATCCGCCTCGTTCTCTGCCGATTCCGCTTCCTCTTCAATTTCCCTTTCATTCCAACACACGCCTTGGGCTTCGACACGCACACTCCCATCGTCTCTAAAGTAGAGAGATCCGAAGAAATTCTCAATCGCGAGCTGAAATCGCAATCCCCCTCCCTCCTCCGTCACATTTATGTGGAGATAGAGAGAGAGATGTCTAGGAAACTGTACGTGATTCCACTTCAGAAATCAATGGATTTGGTGCCGATGAAAAAAAAGTGCCGCTTCTTAACTTCATTGAATCGAAGTCCTGTTCAATAAAGAAATATTATTTTATCCGGCGAGGAGGAGAAAATAATAAATATCGGCAGAGGAGAATCGGGTGTAGATAGAGGATCCATTACTGGTCAGCCATGGCGAGTTCCTGTTTGACTCCTCCAGCAGAGCCCGCGACGCACCTGTCTGGTTTGCACATCTTGTATATACTAAAGGTCCCGGGACTATTACACCAGACAGATCTCTATCGTCCATACAAAAAATACACGGCGCAGATCTATCTACACAATTAGAATCAACCGAATACGTTACTAAAAAAAAAAAAATCACCTAATTTTCGCGTGTAATTAACCAAAATTTCACTTTTTTTAAATTTTTTATGCTAAAATAAAATTGTACAATTCATCGTGATTATGTTTCTAAATGTGTAATTTAATTTCTTAAAATTTGGGTAGTAAGTTGGTTAATGGGTAATTTTTATTGGTAGGTAAGAAGCATAATAAATAAAAAGGAGTGTTGACCAATATTTAATTTTATATCCAATTTTTATTATGAAGTAAGGATAATAATATTAATAATTATAATAATAATTAGAAACGCGCGTTTAGGACAGAGCTGAAAGCGTGCTTCTATATTTCCGGTACAGTGGCGTCCACGTTGTTGTAATAAAAGCGCGTGGACGAGACAACGCGGGACCACGTGTGAATCTGTCAGAAGGCTACTGTTACCTGCGCCTTGTCAATTCATTTTTGGTGTGTTTACTGTCACCAGTACTCCATCATCCTAAATAATTTCTTTTTAATTGTCCTATATAATTTATTATTTTTTTTAAATATGTTTATTTATTTTAATCCTATTTTAAATTTTATAATATTTTTAATTTTAATTAAAATATTAATTTATTTTAATTTTAATTTATAATTATTTTTATTAAATAATAATTATTTTTATTAATATATTTTTTAATTATATATTAATTATATTTTATTTAAATTTTTGTATCTACCGTAACATGCCCAAAATATATTGAATGAAGGGAGTAAAAATTTTGAATTCAAATAATTGTTTGATGTAATATAGATATGTATTAATATGATATTTTGAATACAAAATTAAATTTTTGTGTAATAAAATAAATAAATAAATAAGGGATTTTATCCGGCTGTATCTCCGTTACAGGACATGTCCTAAATGAAACGTCCGTCACCCAATAAATTGGTGAAAAGTCTTAAGAGGATGGATAGTCCAACTAATTGACAACTGATGAAATTTGCATTTATTATTATTATTGTTATTATTAAGGTCTTAATTAAGGGATTGGAAAAAGCATTGATTGAGTGACACGTTAATCATAGGCGTTAATGATGGGCACTGCGACTTTAATTATTTCGGATAAAAATTAAAAAATCTACAGGGTTTTGCCTGGGTCTATAAATAAGTGTTCTCCTGATATATTTTATTTTAATTGTATTCGGCTTTAAATGTGAAATTCCGCCCTGTCTTTAATGGGATAGAAAACATGACTGGATTTAAATTTACTGCCAGATCCTCCTTTAACATGGATTCGGATGCCTAGCTCATATAGTACAAATAAAATTGGATCGAGACCCATACTCGAATTAATAAGAAAATATATCCAATTAAATGGGTTTAATATTGTTTTGAGTTGATCTCTCCAATCATATTTACTATTTTTGTTCATACTAAAACAATAGTCTCATTTTCATAAATAATCGTATCACCATAAAACTATCTTTATTTTTTCATTATTATTACACAATTGTCACTGCTTTTTACACCAATACACTCGCAAGAGCAAAAAAGTTTTTTACCCGTATTTTTATCCACTGCTAATATAATATCAATATTTTTTAAATCTCGTGTAAAAAATAACTCAAACTATAGTTTTGGAATTGAGAAAGTAGAAGTTTAATAAAAAAATATATATATATATCTTAAATTAAAGAGGAGTGATGTATATTTGTAAAGATAACAATGAGTCTGTATAGATTTAAGTTGTGATTAAGACCTGACTTATTTATTTGAAGTTGAATCTAATTATTTGAATACAGACTCCAATATGGCTAAAATGTTATACTATATATCCTATTCAAGTTTGGGTATGGTTTATGATTTTAGAATAGACAGGGAGTGGAATCCAAATTTGATCCAATTAATATTAATAATACTTCATCCGTCCCATTAAAGAGTGACAATTGTTTTTCTAAGTAGATTTTTTAATATTAATATTATATTATATTGTAGTAAAAAGATAAAAATACTCCTATTAGTATAATGTAATATAAAAATAATGATATTTGTGTAATATGTTGTAAGTTAAAAGGGTATTTATTAGGTTAGATATGTTAATTACTAAATTAGAAAACGGTAACCTTATTTTGAGAGTGACGAAAATAAAAAATAATAACTTTTCAATAATACTGAGGGAGTATATAAACAAACCATATTTTAAAAATTCTAAATAGTTATATGAAAAATATTTTTGTTGAATTTTTGTTATTATTATTTGGGAAAAAAATCATTTTTGGTTCTAATATAACCAAAATTCATCAATTTTTGTTCAAATATATAAATCTTATAAATTTTGGTCTCAATATAACCAAAACTCATCATTTTTGTCCCAAAATAAAATTTTTATCAATTTTTGTCCCAATATAACCAAATCTCATCATTTTTTGTCTCAATATAATCAAACCTTATCTTTTTGGTCCCAATAATTTTTATTACACGAATTCAAGCGTCGTTCCGTGAATCAAAATCGGGATTCATCCCGACGGCAATAAGATCATGCAAGGTGTCCAAAAATCTGGGATGTCGATCCTTGCCAACGCCGGAATCATCGATGCTCGAACGGTTGTGACACAGGGACAACGGAATCCGGCGAATTGTCGACCGAAGCTCTGTTGCGGTGGCGGCGGCATTATCTTTGGCCTGCCTCGTGGTCTCGCCACCGTCGATCGGAAGAGCTATGGTCGCCATGATCTTGGCCATTTCATATTGCGAAATGTCGAAGTTCGTGATGGCCCCGACTCCCCGGAATTTGATGGTTGCTACATCATAAGCTTCAGCTGCCTCATCCTGTGTGCTGTCGATAAATATATATATATATAAAGAACCAGCGGAACCAGCAGTAGAAATTCACAGAGGTGAAATATCAATTTTTTTTTTTTTATTGATTCAATGTTTTTTTATTTTATTCATAGTCTATGTCAACATTTTTCGTCGATTTGTTGGCAGCGAGACCAAACAAGATAAGATTTAATTATATTTGAACAAAAATGATGAGTTTTAGTTATATCGAGACTAAAATTGATAAAAAAAAAATTATATTGGGATAAAAAATGATAAATTTTGGTTATATTAGAACAAACAATGATGAATTTTGATTATATTGGGACAAAATTGATAAGATTTTTATATTGAAACCAAAATTGATAGAATTTTGGTTATATTGAGACCAAAAATAATTTTTTCCTCTATTATTTTTATCATAATAATATTTTCTACGACCCAACTAATTTGAGTTTCGGGAATTGTAATTAATAAATAATTAAAAAATATATTAACAAAAATAATTATGATTTGATAAAAATAATTATAGATTAAAATATGAATAAAATATATAATTATATTTAAAAAAAAAATTATATGTGACAAACGAAAAAAATAAAATTAAATGAAATATAAAAAGTATTAAATGAAAAAAAGTCAATATTGATCTCACAAATCAACCCATATCATTAGCTCATCTTTTACATCATATACTTAAAATTTGATGTATCTAGTATACGTCCATTCGGTCGTATATCTGGAGTCAAGTCCCATGTACATCAAATTCAGATCGAATTTAGGGTCGGCTATTTCCGACCCGCGGCCATCGTGCCCAACACAAATTCCAAGGTTCGATCATACTAAGAAGCAAAAACCACATAAAAGCAGCAGCTTCCACCAACATATACTCCATCAACCAACAAGAATGTCGATTCCAATACATACATACACCTATACATATATATATATATATCTATATATATTCATCAAAAGTGGAACATTGTGTTGCACAAACTACATACACACACACAGCGTCACCCACGCAGCTCATGCCTCGGCTCCCAGTCGAACGGCTTCCCGAACAGCATCGGAAACTCATCGGTATCCTCCGACAACCCGTGATCCCGGCCCATAAACTTCAACGACTCGTAAACCTGATACATTGACCACCGCTCTTTTGGCTGCGCCGCCACACATTTGCACGCTATCCTCACAAACCTCACCACCTCATCATCCCGCCCCTCCCCGCACAACCGCGCGTCGATCGCATCCTTAACCCGACCTGCCGCAACAAGCTGACTCACCCAATCCACCAAATTACCCTTATACCCTTCCCCCGCGGCAGCCCCGACGTCGAGAGGCTTCAGCCCTGTCGCCAGCTCTAAAAGGACCACGCCGAAGGCGTAACTGTCCCCTTTCGCCGACGCAACCATCGTGCTCGAATACTCCGGCGCGACGTACCCGACTTCGCCTAAATTACCAAAAGCAAAGCTACTTTCGTTCCCTTCGACATTCGCGACGAGGCGCGCCAGCCCGAAATCCATTATCCGAGCGTCGTAATCCTCGTCGAGCAATACGACGTTCGAGCTAATGTTTTGATGGAGGATCGGCGGGTTGCAGCCGTGGTGGAGCCACGCGAGCCCCCTCGCCGCCCCCACCGCGATTCTGAACCTCGTCGGCCAATCCATGGCGGCGGCATTATTACTTAGTATCGAACCTAAGGTTCCATTCGATAAATGCTTGTAAACTAAAAGCTTTTCTTCTTCGACGAGACAGAACCCTAACAATGGCACCAAATTCGGGTGCCGTAACTGTCCTAGCCGATTCATCTCCATTCTGAACTGCTTCTCCCCCATCCGACATGATATAAGCCGCTTCACGGCGAGGACGGAGCCGTCCGGCAGCGCCGCCCGGTAGGTCGTCCCGGTGCGGCCGGAGACGACCACAGTGTCGGCGCTGAAATTGTTCGTGGCGGCTAATATATCGGCGAGCTTAACCTTGACGAGAGGCTTCTGGAACAAGACAACCTGTGTGAGCTTATGTGTTCTTAAAATCTCCACCCAATCGCTGCCGTCGTCTCTCCGGCCAAGTCCGTACCCCTTTTTGCCAGGTCTGGTGAAGTACCACCACCAGAGGCCGAATCCGAGCAGCAATGAGGCGGCGGCGCCGAAAACTCCGGCGGCGATGATGATCGCCAAGCTTTTTTTACTCAACCCGCCGCATTTCCCCAAACGTCCGCCGCAGAGCCCGCTGTTGCCGCCGAAGTCGAGCTCTAAATCGTAGTCGAAGGACGGTACACGCCCCGACAAATCGTTGTTCGCGACGGAGAATTTCTTCAACCGCCGGAGGCTGGAGAACTGGTAGGGTATGGCTCCCGACAATTTGTTCCCATCCAGAATCAAATTGTTCAAATACGAGCAATTCGCGAGATTCTCCGGGATTTCTCCGGTCAAACTGTTCCTCGAGAGATCGAGAGTCACCAAATAGGGCAGCCATGTGCAGATTTGGGGAGGAATCGGACCTGAGAGAGCGTTCCCTGCCAGATTTAGGGTTTGCAGGCTGTAACAAAGCTGCAACGAATTAGGAATCCTCCCTGCGAGGCTGAATTCCTGAAGGTCCAAACTGATTAATCGATTCTCCTGCTCGTTCCAGCACGTAGCCCCATCGAATCTGCAGATGAAACCCGGGGTGGTGTTGGAGAACCTCCAGCCATTCAGCCTGCTCTCCCTGTCCGTCAGCGAGTTCTTCAGCTCCTGCAAGCACCGGACGTCGTCTTCGGCAACTGCACAGAACCGCAGGGAGAGGAACAGCAGAGCGAAGACGATAGATCTGGGATGCAGCAGGTCATAGCGATTCATGGTGGAGATGAATTGAAGATGGAGGAGGGAGGGAGGGAGGTCAATGTGCAGACATTGCTTTTGGGCAGCTCTCTCGATTGGGTGGTCAGTGAACCAAAAGTGGGTCTAGAATAATTACAGAGTGGATTACTATTGACCAAAATTTTTAAATACTCACTATAGGCTGCGTTCTTGATTTTTCAAAGATTGGAATTTCGTGTTTGACCGTGAGTTGGAGATGATGGGGAAGAAGAAGAGGCCCTCCTCTCTCTGCTAAGGTCCACCCGCTGTCGTTTTGTCGATTTATTTATTTTTTATTATTATTTTTTTTAACAGAGGAAAAGTTGACAGGGAGGAGGGCTCTGCAACATTTGCCCGCCTTGTTTTGGGGTGGGTGGGCAGTGCAAAGGTGATTGGGAGATGGTAAATGGTTTGTGTCTGACTAGTCAAGAACAATACGGCTCCATTTACACTGACTAGTTTGGAGCTGCGGAAAAATTTCAAAATAAGTACTAAACAGTTAAATATTAATATGTTTTTTTTTAAAAAAAAACATTAATCTGATTTTATATGTGTCTCATTTTAAAATATTTTTATTTTTTGTACTTTATAAAAAGTATTATATACTATACTATCAATTAAAATTATATATATACTCCTTACTTCACACATAAAATTTACAATTATTATTGGCGAGTTGTTTAAAAAATAATAGTATTTTAATAATAATAATATGTAGTTAAAAGTAATATAATGATATTTTTTTTTATTTTTTGATGTAAAAATAATAATGTGATGTAAAGTAAATATATATGTGGAAAAAAGTGAGATATTTAATGAAATGTTTACTTTCCAAAATAAAAATATGTATACTTTTTAGATAGACGGAGAGAATATTAAAGTCGTGCTGAAAAATTTTAAACACAAATTTAAAAAATGAGGAAATATTTAGTATAATATTTTATAAAAAAATAAATTATTTTTTTATAAAATCTTATTTCTTTTCATCTCATGTAAAGATAAATATTTATTTTTGGGCCAATATTTCAAAATAGTATTATTTTAATTAAAATGTATAACGATAAAATAAATATATTTATTATATTTATGTTATATAATTGTGTTATATTTATTAAAAAAAATGTATACTAATATAAGGTAGGTAGGACAAAGAGAGTTATCTTTATAAATAAGTGTTAAAAATTATGTAAAATATAGTTTAACAAGAAAAAAATGTATATTCGTAAAAAAGAAAATGTATATATTAACGTGAAAAAGATGAAAAAATATCTTTTAATGTATTATTTTTCAATTTCGTTTCAATTCAATTCAAATTATTTAAAAAAAATTTTGGTTAACCAAAAATTCAGTTACAAAAATTTATGGTTATACACAGTTTGCTTTGCGATTTCTAATATTTTTTTAAGTCAATTCAAATACCAAATCCCTGTGTATATGCAAATAATTCAATCATGTCCACCCCTATTAACATGATATATAAAAGTTTTAAAAAAATGCAAAATTATGAAAAATATATATATTATTTTATTTTTAAAAATTATACCAAATTTATTTTTTAATTCTCATACTAATAATGGTCATAACGGTACTTTTCAAAAATTTTTAAATAAATATACAAATAAAATAATTCATGTGACAAATATCTCACAGTAGCCCAAATCCTCACGAATTGTGTTTTTAAAATGGATGAATTAGAGAAAAATTTCACGAATTGTATACAAGCCCATCAATAACACTTGCCCCATCAAATATTTCACGAATTGTGTTTTTAGGTCCACGTGTCAATGTACTGTAGGCCTATTAAATATCGGCCCATGTATATAAGCCCATCAATAATATTGCACACGCCAAAAGTTTTAAAAAAAGTCGCAACCGATGGCGCCATAGGGATCCAGTTCCAGTTTTGGCGCTCGCCCAGAACGACGTTCGCTCCCGTGTTGTTATTGTCAGATGATCAATTATCGACAAACTGGCAGTGATGCATGCAAGTTCTCTAACAGTTCTTCTCCGTTCCAAATCTGTCTAGGTTGTCTTCGAAAGATCGGCTATCGCTAATGCTTTGGGAAATGGAGGTAACCTTGCGAGACCACCTAACTGATCCGCTAATTTGTAATTCAATCGCTTGTTTGATTAAGTTGTTGGATGCAGAAAATGGAGACGGCGAAGAGAGAGGTTGCGCTTTGCAGAGACGGTGCTCACAACACTCTGAAAGAAGCTGCGGCGCGAGTAATGATGGCGGAACGAAGAGATTGTTGAGTGGAGCTGGAATTGGTTTCCACTTCCACTAACGAAGAATCCGCTGGAAATGGAATGCTTGGCTGACTAAACCAAACGATCGATGCAAAGGTACATTGAAAAGCTTTACATCTATAATTTAGTTGCATTAAATATGAGCATTCTATCATTTATGTTATTTGATCATGTCAATCAGTACGAAGAATAGTTGTTGTAGTTTTCTGATTTACCGCTAGTTTTTTTTTTCTTCCCGATGCAACTTCGCAGGTACATTGATTTTTTACATCTATAACTTAGTTGTATTAGTTATGAGCATTGCATATGTTATGTTATTTGATTATGCCAATCAGTATGGAGGATAGTTGCTGTACTTTTCAGATTTGCTTCTAATTTTCTTCTACATGCAAATTCGCCTGAATTAACCTTTTATATAAGAAAGTTTATTAAGTGAAAGATAGTATATCGATTATCCAATTTAGAAACAGGGTATGGCTCTGGAGAAGTTCATGTGATTGAGAACTTATTAGGCCACAGAGCAGGATTGTATTCTCTAGATGGAATCATTATTAAAAGAATTGGTATCCTCGCTTGACAATTATGAGTTACAGTTCAGAATAAACGTAACCACTTTAGTTTTTAGTTGCAGACTAAAGAAGCAGGGAATGGCATCATTGAAAGAACAAGTAAACGTTTAGAAGCTAAAGGAACAAAAACCAGATATAAAAAATGAGTTTGCAGAAACAGGTAGAGTGGCATCAAACAGCACATGTAGCAGCCAAACCTTTCGTATCATCCTGGAACACAGCGGCAGAAATACTAGCTGCTGATGGCAGTAACACATTGTTGAACTGGAGTTTCAAATAATAAAAACAAAACGCGGAGTTGAGTTCTAAGGAATAGATGCACACAAAGGATTCATGCAGCTTCACTAATGAAAAGCCATTTCTTCAAGTAGGTAGATCTGAAACAGAAGAAAGCTGAAGTTCTGGTTCAGAAGCATCACCTCATGTAACACTTTCGAGTTCAAGAACCATGGCAACGAGTTTCCACATCTAACATGGTGAAGAGAAATTTATTCCAGAACTCACAGGTATTGAAGCTCTACCAATTCATGTATTGGATAAATATGCTGATGAAACAGACTAAGCTAGCTTCAAATCTTAAAATATATCTTCATCAGGCAATGGAAGGAGATCTCCATGATTCAACCCCAAAGAAGCTTTTTTGCTAGCTGGAATCTTATTCTTAAGTAGTGCAAAAAAGTATAAGAGCTTAAAAATGGACTGAATCATTATGGCGCATTAAGCAAATTGGGTTGACCGCTCACCAGGTTAGTAATAATTTTCAGAATGTCCATTCTTGTGAGCTTTACAACTGATTGAAATGTAAAATTTAATTGACAAGTAGATGGAATTTGGTAATGTGTTTGAGATTTAGTCTTAAAGATCATAAAAAGCTTAGACATTATTTTTACCCTGCTTGCACACAGCCCACCTTGATTATTCATCCACCGTAGTAGACCATTCAAAATTTTTAATATTTCAGGGTTCAAGTCTAGCTAATTACAAACCACAAGAAAAAGGCCCTCACTAGGCGTGGCAATAGGTCGATTTGTGTCGATTTGAATGCTTTAAACAAGTTAAATAATTTAACTCTATCTCAATTCTTTTATTATCATGTCGGGTTTATGTTGACACGTATACATAATTAAGTCAAAATTCTTGATTTTGATTCAATTATTTTTTGTCATGTTGTTGTATTATGTTAGTTTTTGTTGGTTTATTTAAATTGAATTTAGATTAGATTAATATGGGGTTAATTATTAAATTATAATTATTTTACATATATAATAAACATTATTAATATTAATATATTATAATCGAATTTTCGTGTCGAATTCGAGTTGATAACCTCAACCTTAACTTGACCTGTTTATTATTGTATCGAGTTCATTTCAACCCGTATGCATAATCGGGTTGAAATTTGAAATTCTTGACTCAAATATAATTATTTTGTATCCAATTCATATGGAATTTTCGTGTCATGTCAGTTTTTGACATGTCTGCTCAAAAGTCAAATTCTCTTTACGAATGAGTTCATATTGATCTGCTACAGACTTCATTAATCTCTCATGCGTAGCTTAGCTTACCTCTTTATCTAAAATTGATCCAAAATCAACAGGTATTGTGAATAATATCTTCCCTGATACAGTAGTAGTAGTAGTACTCACATACTGCAATTGCTAATGCTCTTGTTTACACTGCCTGGTTAGATAACCCACGTAATTGATTGTCTCTGATCATGCTACTTGACCAAATTTAATCATTTTTTTTTTTTTTCCTGGAAATAACAACCAGTTTATGTGCATAGTGTATATTCTAAAATAGACATACTTTTTATTGAATTTCCCTGTTGAAGATATGGATGACATTTTTGGCTTCTTATTATATTTGCCTGCTCCGTCTGGTCACTCTTCACCACAAAAAGGGGGAAGGGTTCGTCATTAATTCAGTGCTAACAACAGCTATCCTTTGTGGTGTGGAATTGGCTGACAGTTGAAATTGCTGAGAGTAGGCCACCCACCTAATTCTGTGTTTTTCTTTCTCTTTCTCATTATTATTATTATCTAAGAAATGTTCATAAGGGAATGAGGTTGAAATGTCCCCGCAAAGGCTCTACAAACCTCATCTGTCTGTTAGAATGTCTCAACCTGTGAAAGCTACATCATTTAATACTATTATAATATATTTTTTAATAATTACTTGCCTGCATCTTTCAGTACACTGAGGCCAAGAAAGTTGGTTGGCTTATTTAGTACGGATTTTGGATTCCCTATCGTCGGAATTGGCCGGAAAACTTTGGTAGTGTTAGGTGCCAAACTCTTTGTTTGGCTCGGCATAGTGCTTTGAAAATTTTAGATTGAAAATAGTTTTTAAAAACAATGATTTAAATAAAATTTAGAGTGTTATAATTTAAATAAAAAAAGATTGATATAGTATTTTTTAACTTCATTAGCATGTCAATGGATTGCTTGCTTGCTTGTTTCTTAAGGAAATAGTAGTAGGAGATGATTTCTAGGAGCCTTTTTACCACCTCGATTTAATAATATATATAGTGCTATTCCGTATTTTAAGGCATATCGTACGCTTTTGTCTCGTGGGTTTTGTTAATAGCTTTAGTAGGCTTAGGGCATAGGATATGCCCCAGTTTATCTGAAACAGTGGTGTTTGTCTGATTAACGTTGCTAGAACTTACCACATAATTTTAAATAAATTAAAATAAATTCATCATTAGAATACAATTGTAGGTTTCTATCAATTAATCGGTACACGCAATATGGCTAGTAATATGTGTATCTTTCCTCTCAAAAAAGTCAATGACTTGAAAGTTTGGTAAATTAAATTTTAGACAAACCACCATCTTTTATCCACATGTCATTAGCAAATTGATTCCGAGTTTAAACACCATTAGACTTGTTCTATACTATTTAGATATACAAATTTATTACCAGAACAGATTCTAAACTTAGGTAGTTACATGGAAACAGCATATTCTTGATCATTTTTTATCTAGTAGAAGTGTTGATAGTTTCAGATGTTGACTGAATCCTGTTCATCAAGTTTTGATATTCTGGTTTTGAAAATTATGGAGGGGGAGGGATTAAATTTCAAGATTCCAACCGAATTATTCGGTTGAAAAGATACGCATAATCTCGCCATGTGATGGAATAATTAGATGCAAAGATAGAATATGGGTAATACATTGCTACAAAGATAAGCATATGCCACGATTGATTAATTAATATCATATTTCATATGTTTTGATATAGAATTATTTTATCAAATTAGATTATAAAATCTAATAATTTATTTTTTTTCCTATTAATTATAGAATTAATTTAGTAATTAACATTATCTTTTGAAGTAATATATAGTTTGTTGATTTTGGTTTATGAGTTTGTTTACTAAAGGAGTACAAGTATATTTAATATTTATTTTTATTTATCAAATTATAAAACTGCAAAATCACGGGTAAACGCCAGTCATATATTTTCATTACCATTTTTGCTCTATGAAATTTATAGAAAAATTATTATTATTATTATTTCACTAAAACTACTATCTCTAGAAAAATACTTCGTCTTCAAAATGTAATTCAATTTCAAATATAAGACAAATTAAAGATACATTCAAACACACACCTATCTATAGACTAACATAAAGAGTATCGAAAGATATGAATGCTAGAATATAATATGTTCATTTTACGAAGAAGTTACTTACTCCATTATAAATGAAAATCAAACTATGCAACTAATTTTGTAACTTTCTAGAATTAAACACACACCATCACGTCTACAAAGATAGATTAAATATGAAGATACCAAAAATTGATCTCGAAAATAGGTTTGTAATTTGGTATTTTTGAATTAATGTATTTTTTAATTAGATATGAAAAATTATATTGATAATATAAATTTTTTTATTTACAAATACACTTGTTTTAAATCACATCATTACTTTTATAAAAAAAAAAAAAAAAGTCTCATATACTGTGTCTGCTACGCTATAAACACGATATTTGAGGAGGGGTATAATTAGTAGATAATTAAGAAAGCATTAGTGAAAATAATTGTGTTATAATATAAATAATTATAAATTAAGATTAAGATAACTAATTAGTTTAATTAAAATTAAAAAAAATAAATTAAAAAATTTAAAATGAGATTAAAGTATGTAATCATTTAAAAAAAATGACATAAAATATGAGACGGACAGAATCGATAACAGTGAACATGGTATGTTGAACGGAAGGAGTATTATTTTTTAAACACTTTCATAAAAATAAATATTTACTTTCTACGAGGGAGCATAGATAAAACTAAATTTTCAAGACGAAAAAAATATTTATGAAAACTCGTACAAACAAAAAATATTAAGCGAAGAAACACGTTGTGATTTTTGTATATTTACAGTAAACATTTATATATGTAATAATATCTGACGACACTGATTTAGAAAATATCTCATGCCTTAATCTCAAGGGACAAAAATTAATCGCTCAAATCTCTATATAAGTATACAAGTTACTCCACCCCCAGATATTTTATAAACTTTTTCCGTAAAACAAATGGCTGGCACGTCCCCAAAAATTTCAATATCAATATATGCCTAAATAGCAAAAAAATAAAATAAAATAAAATAAAATAAAAACAAACAATATCAACATCAATAGTAGTAGTAGTAATAATAATAATAATAATAATAATAATAATAATAATAATAATAATGAACACAGTAATTGGCATCTGGCAAGTAGAGAAAGAGAGAGAGAGAGAGAGCGTTGGACACAGCCACACCAGTCCAAGTGCGCAACACAACAAAAAATATTAATTAATTTAGAGAGAGAGAGAGAGAGAGAGAGAGAGAGAGAGAGAGAGGAAGATATGAAAGTGTACCTTGACAGAGGAGAGGGAGAGGGAGAGGGAGAGGGAGAGGGATCCTAACACAAGAAGTACGTGACAATCACGTCCAATGATCAGCCCCATGATGGAACCGTGTGAGGTCCTCATTCTGGTTCTCAAATATGCCACCCAACCCATTTCCCACATCACCCTCTTTCTTTCTCTCTCGTAATTGCCGCTTCATTTCGGCACAACCTCATCAAATCCTTCTTCTTTTTGTCTCTTTCTGCAGTGCAGTGCAGGCCAACGGTACAATACTCAAATCAGGCCAATTGCTTTGCTTTGCTTTGCTTTGATATGGATATTGAGAGAGAGAGAGAAAACCATGAGGATTATTTTATTTGATGTACCTGAATTCAATTGAACTGAACGCCTTGTGGATTGGGTTATGGACTGCTTGCTTGTCTTGCTATTATGGAGAGAAAACGCAGAGCCTGGAAAATGATCAATCGCTGGTTTCTGAGGAATAATAATCATAAGAGACCCAATCCCTTCCAGCTCGCTGCCGAAATTTCAGGTTTCTTCCCCTTCAATCATTCATATATTTATACTTAATCTGACCCCAAAGACCTACTAGCACATGTATTGTGACATCAATTACCTCACACAGATGCCTGCGAAGATGACGAGGATCTATGTTCTTCTGGATCGCCCGCCATGGATCCATGCACTGCAAATGACGACTTAAGGTGAGTTTTCTAAACCTAGAACTACAACAACAAAACAAAGATGCCCTCTTTATATTCCGCTTTATAATTGCAGAATCTTTGTGGGTACCTGGAATGTAGCGGGAAAGTCTCCTGTAGGAAGTTTGGCTGTGGATTTGGACGAATGGTTGAATCTCAGGGATGCAGCTGATGTCTATGTTCTTGGGTAAAATCCATTCGTACAACATATGGTTTCCATCAATCACTGTTCTTCATGATCAAGTTTAGCCAAATGGTTTCTTTCTCAATCTGCAGATTCCAAGAAATCGTGCCGTTGAAGGCCAAGACTGTGATCGGAGGGGAGGATCCAACAGAGGCTACTAACTGGAATCTACTCATCGAAAAAATCCTCAACGATAAATTCGGATGCCCGTGGCTAACGTCTATGGTGTACCCCGTGACCAGCGACAACTTCAGCCATGTCGGCGAGCCAAGCTCGGAACCGCACCTAGCAGATCCTGTAAAAGACCAGCAGAGCATTGAGTTAAACAGTCGAAATCAATCCAGCAAGTACAAATTAATAGCAAGCAAGAAGATGGTTGGAGTGTTCATAAGTGTGTGGATGAGAACAGAGTTGCTCAATAAGTATGATGTCTCGGGAGTTAAAGTTTGCTCGGTCGGTTGCGGCATTATGGGGTATCTAGGAAACAAAGGATCCGTCTCAGTCAGCATGTCGATAGGCGGGACTAGTTTTTGCTTTGTGGCAGCTCATTTAGCCTCCGGGGAGAAGAAAGGAGACGAAGGGCGAAGGAACCAGCAAGTCTCCGAGATTTTTAGGCGAACATCTTTCGCGAGGATACCAGAGGACGGCCACAAGCCTCATCCATTAACCATCTTAGGACATGAGTAAGTTGAACATCCAGATATTGTTGGATGAATCAAAACCTCTGTGATTTTGGTAAAAAATTTAAAATAAGGACTCTATCTTTATGATGGGATCTTTTCCTTTGTAGAGCAGTCAGGTATTCTGGTTTGGAGATCTCAACTACAGATTGTACCTGGAAGACAACTTAGCAAGAGAGTTAATAAAACAGCAAGATTGGAGAGCATTGCAGAAGTTTGATCAGTTGCGCCACGAGCTAGATCATGGTGGCGTATTCCAGGGTTGGAAAGAGGGGAACATAGAATTTGCACCTACTTACAAGTATTCTTCTTACAACGGCAATAGATATTCTGGCGGGATGCCAGGTAGAGCTGGAGAAAAACAACGAACTCCGGCATGGTAAAATTTGTAATGCCGGTTTACTTAATGCCATTCTCTGTTCCTGTTAAAAGCAGAAAACTATCCAAAATATTCATATATAAGGTGTTTAATACTGTGAGATGGTTACTACTACTTGCAGGTGTGATAGGATTTTGTGGTATGGTAGGGGAGTAAGGCAGGTGTCTTACATCCGGAGCGAGAGCAAGTTCTCAGACCATCGTCCCGTGTCAGCGCTTTTCTCTGCTCGGGTTGTAGCTAAATCTCCAAGCAGAATGTGCTCTCCTGCGGTGTCAACAAACTCCATCGAAAAATCGCCCGGCAAACCTGTAAGTAGTAATGTAATCATAGTGAGATAAGAGAGAAACTCGTTTGTTGACTTGCTAGTATGGATGTCACATAAAGAATTATTCTTGGACCTAAAATGAGAGATGAAAGGATCAAACATTTATTTTCTTATGCCAATCACTGTAGAAAAAGGAATTGCCTAGTGAAGAAGCTCCTCCATCCACATTGCTGTCATTACTTGTCAACGAAATTCAAGCTTCCCCGGAAATTTGAAGAGGGTTCAGATGTCAACTGCATCACAGTCAAGCTTATTGAGTGGAATTGTGATTAGAACAAAGAAGAAAAAAGTTTGGAGAAAATTGTATATTCATTCTCTACTTGTAAAAGTTTAGAGTAGGAAAGTGACCTTTTCTAGTTACAATTTTTGGTTGTGTCGATTCATCCGAGTGAAATGAACATCAAGAAAAGATAGAAAGTCAACTCTGCTTTTTATTGCCTCATTGGAGGTAACATAATCATTAGTCCATTATATATTGATGACTGCTACTACTGTTGTATTAATATTTCTGTTCAGGGAAATGCATAAAAGGTTAGATCATCTTCTTGAGATGATCTTTTCTGCATCTCGTCTCTCAAAACTGCACAATTTCATTTCAGTTATCTAACTTTTTGAATTGCTTCGGATCTATAATTTCTGCAAACCAGAAAACCAATACAAGAAGTATTTTCGTATTTTGCAAGCAGCAGATTGACTAATTGTTCTAATTAGTTCTAATAAATATAGCTTCAATCAAAATTTGCACCAGCACATTTTCCAGCAACAAAATGGAAAAAGACACCAGCATATATCTATGAGGGATTCAAATCCTAGAAAATAAAATAAAGAATGCATAATAAATTAATCTTTGTCCAAACCAAAGGTAAATAGTATACAAATATGCACTAAATACTTGAAATTTTTGGGTGAAAAATAATGCGTAAAGAAGTTTTAAAAAAACGTGAAATGCGAAATTCTACCCATCCAAATGATGTACATATTACATGAACAGACGCTAATATATATGCAAAACAGTAGAAGATGCCTCGAGGTTCGAGAACCGCCAATTTGAAGCCAAGTTTTGGTATCTCATTGTTCTTACGTGAAAATTTTAGTGATTAAGATAAAAGGCACACAATCTCGATTCATGTACTTGTTCCTGGGAGAAAATAATGTTTATAATCACACTTATAAGTAGCACTATATGACAAAAGCCAGATCGCAACGTGATTCTCATATCATAAAAGCAAATCACAGAAAACTGCTCAAGCTTTACTTCTAAATAATCATGAGTTCGATATTATTAAAACTCAAAGGGTCGAATCGAAGCCTCGTTCATGAATAACTTCACGATTCGTTTTTCCTAACTGATTCATCCGCTCCAGATATTTTATATATTCAAATCCTTTTGTACGATTTGGAATTCACTAGTCCGCATATTTCTAACCAAAACACTACAAATAAAAAACTGTAATGTCAACCATGACACAGAATACTTGTACGGGAAAATAAGATATCAGCCATGCCTGCGAGCTGCTCTGGTTTTTCTCCTCGAGCATTTCCAGTAGCATAATCACATGTTGCTAACCTTATGCACTGCATCTGAAAAACCACTTCGGCGCTTCCCGCCCACAAAGCGTTCTCTCTCTCTCTCTCAACTAACGAAGAAGGCTAACGGAATCATATTAAACTAAAATCTTTATATAGTAGCTATCTTTGGGCTTCCAATACCATATTATGGGCTTCCCTAGCAATTTACTTTCAGATGGGCTTAGTACAACTGAACCACAGATAATTCCCTGCATCTATGCTTCGAGAGGCGCCAATGGGGCTGGCGCACCAACTTCCCACCACATGCTTGGAGCTGCCAGAAAGAAAGGCGGATTTGGAGCAACGGCCCTCCCCTCCATGCCCCCTAAGTAGTGACGGAATCAGCCGTAAAACGTCGAAGGAGGCAGAATATCAATTTTATTATTTTTTTTTTTTTCGATTTCTCCCTATACATCTGAGTATAAAAAAAAATTAAGTGTTATAGAAAAAAGTTTTCAACGAAACTATATAAATTTAATATATTTTACTAAAAAATAAATAAAATTTAAAAGTTAAAAGTGTAAATAAACAAATGAAAAAAATTGTTATCTTTTACACTATGAAATAAAAATTAGAGGGTGGGGAGAAATTAATAAAAAAAAACATAATTTTATTATTTTTTATACTAAAATTAATAGTCCATTCGTCCGTCTCGTCACATTTGTTTTTTTGCATCATTTTACTTAATATTCAAAATATCTTTATATTTATATAATTTTTTATTTCAAATATTCTTCTATTAGTACTGTAAGACACTAATAGAAATATTTTTTAATTATTTCTTAATTTATACTACGTTTTGATTTAATAATTAATATTCAAATACTAACTTCAAAAAAATAAATGAAACCTTACAACGGGACTGAAATAGTATAAATTTTGAAAAAAATTAAATAAAATCTTACAATCGAACTGATATAGTATAAATTTTGAGGACTGGGTCAGCTGCCCCTAAACCCCTGTGTAAACCCAAGCGTGTGTGTTTCTTGCCCACTGTCAGGCTTCCTTGTCCGCATGAATGTATATGGAACTGGAACTGCAATAGCAAGTATTGGATTCGGTGGCACCGGAAAAGCACTTCTAATATTTCCAGCAAAACTTTAGCAGGTAGGGTGATTAACAGTTCATCTATTCCGGTAGCCGCTGATTCTTCTTGTCATAGAACCTCACCGATAATGTGTTGTACTAAAACTTTTTCGGCAATTGATTGATCCATCGACATACCAAGACGTTGCATTGATTCTATTAACTTTCGGCTTCGTAATTTCATAAATGCAAGGAAATTAACAGTGCACGGAAGTACAAATTTAGAACATAAATGCACAGAAATAAAATAAATGAAACGAAAAGGAAAAAGATGAGAAAAAAATTGAAAATTATACTCCCTTCGTATGCAAATGTGCGTTCACTTGACACGGATTTTAGTAAAAGTGAATAATAATTGTTATATTTTTCTTTTATAGTAAAAAAAAAAGTACAAAATGTAATATCTTTTACTTAAAAAAAGAAACAATAATAGTTTTTTATGACAATTTAAAAGGAAAGTGAAAATAAAATTAAACGAAGAAGACGGAGTAATTGGTTTTGGATGTGTGTTCCTTCCTCTCTTGCTGGTTTCATGTTATTACATCACCTTATTTCTTATTTTTCTCTTCATCAATTTTCACTTCTCTCGTACTGATATATATATATTTTTTTTCACAATTTCCTTCACACATTGTTGACTATACTTCTCTTTGGTTGAATTGCAACTTGGGCTTCCTTATTTTTCATTGGGCCTCCAATTAAATAATATATTAGTGGATAATAAATATATTACACATATATATTTTTTATATTATACATTACTAATATGAATTTTTTATCTTTTTATTTATTTATAGTACATATAAATAATAACATTAAAATTTAAAAAGTTATGTGCAAAACTCAGTAGATTTCTTTGGATTTAGTTTGAAAATATTTAGTTTAAATTTTTTGATATTTAAATAATATTTGATAAAATATTTTGTTAGTGAAAAAAAAGTAGTATATATATTTTTCAAACAGAATTTAAAAGAGTAAAATTTGAAAACTTTTAGCTAAATAAACATACATTTTATTTCAAAACCAACAGAGCAATACATACTTTCTTCGTATCAATCCAAAGAGGTCATTGGGAGTTTTGTAAAAAATTAAAAAAATAATACTTCTTCGTCCAATTTGAAGGTATGCATATTTTTTTATGCAAAATTTTAAAAATAACAGTATTTTAATTGTGGTTGATAGTTAAAAGCATAGCATAGACAATTTTACACTTATTTTTTTAGTTTAAAAATAACGATGTTATGGTAAAATAAATGTATTTGTACAAAAAAAAATGAGATAATTTTCAAATAGTTACTTTGTAATTGGACAACAAAAAATATAAGTATGTATATTTTGTGAATGAACATGAGAATAATATACTACTCCCTCCATCCCATTAAATTAGTCCAGTTTCTTTTGGGCAGTTTAAGAAGTATTGTGTTAAGTAGTTAATTAATTTGATTAATGGATGTAATAAAATGTTATATTAAATATTTTGTATTTGATAAAATATTAAATTAAAAGTTAAAATATTTTTTACTTTAATTTTTAAATATTGAATTTTTTTAATTTACTGATATTATTTAAAAAATAATAATAATAATTGTATTTATTGTAAATCAATACATGCATTTAGATTAAAAATATATATAATTTTAATAACTTAAATGTAATTTATAAAATAAAAAATGTAATAAAAAAAATTATATAAACAATACATAAAATTTTTCGAATTTGGTTATTGTTAGAGATAGTTCGTTATGACATACCAAATTTAATACCACATCGCATACGTACGGTACAAAATTTTTGGTATGATATTTTACCGCACCGTACAAATATTTTGGTATACCGAATTTTCGAATAAAAAAGACTAAATTACAGAAATAACATGCATACTCGTAAAAAAATACCGAGAAAATTTCAAAATTTCGATACAATATGATATTTTTTGTATGATAACGTATACAATAAGATATTTTCAGTGTATATAGATAATTAAAAAAAAATGGATTTTTGTATATACTGATTATTTGATACAATATCGATATCTTTTCTTAATATATTTAAAATTTTGGTACGGTATACAATATATTTCGATATTTTCGGTATACTATCTCAAACCATCTCTAACTAAATTGTATACATGGTATTAGAATATAATATTTTACGTCAAATACCGAAATTAAAAATAAGTTTATAATTTTGCTTTATAAATAAGTTCTATTTTTTTTTTTGAACAAAGAAAAAAAATCAATATCAAATTTCATTTTTAATTAATTTTTCAGCCATAAATTTCTAAATCAAACATAAAATTTTTAAATATATTACATTAAAATTTAATTTTAATTTTAAAATTAAATAAATATTTATTTATATAATATTAAATATTTATTATTTTTATTATTCAAAATTTTAGTCCAACTTCTAAATTTGCAATTAACAAATAATAAAACTAAAAATATTAATAAGTTAATAAAATATAGTTAATTTTTTTTAATTAGAAGTATTAGTTATTAATTATTATTATAATAGGAAAGTAGACTAATTTCGTGGGATTGCTGAAAAAAAAAAAGTTGACTAATTTCGTCGGACGAATGAAGTATTAATCAGTAGAAATGTGTAAGATAATTTTGATATTTTTATTTTTCTTACTTTATACATACAAAGTAACGACATATGTAATTTATGTAAATATAAATAAAATATTTTGATATTAATATAATTATTTTAATATAATAAAAAATGAAATACTTTAAATGAAAGGGATAAAAATAGTAATATAATATATATATATATATATATTAATCGGAAGAGAAATGAGTATATTAGTAGTAATATATATACGTGCCTGAATTTGAACACATTTTAATTACTGTTTGAGTTGGCATAGTGCACTGAAATCTCTGGTGAAGTACAGTCCCTGTC